TTGCATACATTTTTCGCGTGTCTTACTTTTATTTCCGGAGCCTTCTTTTTTTTTTTTTTTTTTTTTTTTTTTTTTTTTTTTTTTTTTTTTTTTTTTAGTAGAGCACCATAAACGAACATTCGTGAATTAATGTATGTGGAAATGCAGAATACGGGATATCTAAATAAACTACCTTATATGTATACCTAGGTATTTCATTCTTCGGATGTGAAAGTTCCTTCCATAACAGCGACGCTCTTTCCACGCCTTCTCTTTGTTTCGTCCCTTCTGTGACTTTCGTATCAGGCGTATGATAGAAGGTACGGCACCGATAAGTCAGGGGAGATATAAATCAGTTGCTACCTACCTTAGGTAGGTACCTAATGTATATAAATTCCTAGGCAAGACCGATAAGGAGCAAACCTTCTCGCGCTAAGGAAGTGGAAAGGAAAGAGCGATATCTAAGTTCTTTAGCTACTAAAATCGGAACTTCCTTCCAACGGCGAAAGATTCGGTATAAGTGGATATGTAAATTATATAAATACGTCCCGTTCCCCCCGGAACCAACATTTCATCCCGTCTGTTCTATCTATTCTATCCCATTGACTCAATGCACAGAGTACAACCCCCCCTCCTGTAATATCAACTGCATATTACACAGCTAGTCGCGACATTCAAGGGCTTTCTTGTTTTGGGACTTAAACTTCAAACCCAGAACACTCATTAATCACTGCGCTACTGATATCGGACAACAATCCCATTCAGCATCACCAAGTATCAAGATCCGTCAGCTATTTACTAGGTCTTCATCTTCGTGCCTTTAACAAGATTACCTTCGCAGGTAAGATTCGTATAAATATCCAGTATCCTCTTCCCTCCTCCTCTTCCCCTTCCCCCCCTTTCCAATCCCACAAGGCCTACAGCATGACTACCTGCCATCCTATAAACTAATCATATAATTATTACCCTTACCCTATTATTTAATATTCGTCATGCCCATGCTATCCTTTGAACATCAAGCTCATCTCAAAACACTGCTTTAACAAGAAATGCTTTTATGCTAACAGTTTCGCGAAGTACCTATACTTTTATGTCACACTATATCACGATGGCATCCTAAAGTACTGCCGATGCTCGCGGAGATAGCGAAGAAGTACTCGGGAGTTGGATTCTCCGGAGCATACAAGGCAACACGCAAGACTTTGATGAGTACACACGTCGAGCAGACCTTGCAGACAAACTGAAAAACTCCGAGGAGGATTACGCAAACTTTATGGAGTGCATCAAGTCCAATGACACTTACGAATGTGTAGTAGCATATCTCGCCGAACTTCAGCTACAACGCGCAAAGCCTGGTAGTGAGCAGACCACTTCGCACGGAGAGCATCTATCTACACAAATAGAAAAGGGCCAAACTACTTTTTCGGATCACGAGTCCGACGTCGACTTCGATCTAGAGTGGGACACCTAATCCGATAGCTTTTACTATCGCAATGATCCAGCTCCTCTGACAGATGTTACGTTCGGGCCTGAATCCGTGGCCTACCATTGGCGTTATCGTTATGATTACATACCATGGGTTAAACGTATCTGGAGCGCCCTAGATCCGAAACTACCAGCTGTAGCAAAGGACGCTGCTGCAATGATCCTTCTGGGCAACGTAAATCAAGGCTGCAATGCAAGCAGTGTTTTCCTGTACATCAATCGCACAGCCAGATCCATGATCGAGGGCAAGGAACGTGGACCTGTTCCCCGCCTGTACCTGGCAATTCTTCAAGCCATGGCCTTGAGCGACGAGCGCGCCAAGGACGAAATATATAAGCTCGTTCCTTCTCTGAAACCCGAAGGATACCCTTCTCATGAAGGCGAGGGTCTCCAGAGCCCTCATTGTACGTGGCATTGGGGTTCCTCCAGCTCTGTTGTGGACGTATACCCGCTTATAAGCTCGACGACATTCTCGCAAACCCCCACTAGCCTTGATCTAACTGACGACTCCCTATGGCCCGTACGACGAGATTTTTTCAAGCAGTGGAGGGCGCCTGGGGTGGAACTCATCTGTTTCGACAACATATGCACAGACTGGGAAAGACATATGGAAGAAAGTAGTCGGGAATCGAACCCTAAGCGGTACAAACCACGTGTTTCAATTGAAGAGGGAGCCGATTTAGTAGTTCTAGCCGAGATGACCCGTGAAATTGTGCGGGAATACATGCAGCTCGAGAAGTACAAGCAGTCGGCGGCCAAGTACGAAGCCTTGACAGCTCAGCTGAAACTGATGGTCAGCAACGGAAGTATCGATGGGGGTGTCGTTGGTGAGCTCATGAAGCAGATTGAGCATCGCACTATCTAGACTTTTGTCTACCTGACATCACTCACAATTTGCTTTCCATGACGGGATGTCGACCATGAGGAGGGTGGGAGGGATGGTCCATAGGACTCCATTGACCGTCATGTGTCTGGATAATTGTAATTTACTACTAGGTCTTGTAACAGATAGTAGGCTACTTTTCCACTCAATACCAAGTTTCTACCCAGTACATAGAGTGGTTCGTTAATAATACTCACCCGTGAATTGTTCACCGAATCAACCGTCCTTCTTTCAAAAGTTGTCAAAAACTGATCTAGCCTATGCTGTTATTTCTCATTGCGTTTCTGGATGCGAAACGTCGCAATAATCATTTCATTGGGAGGTAGCTTTTCTTAGTCGCCAATGTACATACGTTCCGAGAATATTGCACCGCGAATTCTGTCTTAAATGAACGTGCAATCTTGACAACAAGTTGTTTTCAGCACGAACCAGTCCCAGGGCTACAGTGGGTTTATTCCAAATCTGCTGGCTATTTAATCCGATACTGTAGGTATATGTCTTCATTCAGCCACCCTGGTTTCTTGTCTGCCAGCTGCAAACAGTTGTCATATACGGCCTTTGGGTGGTCGTGAGCTCATGGACGTAGGTTACTTCCAACTGCTCTCATTGCCATTTTACGCTATCGCATTTAAACCGTCAGAGGATGTTTTGCTGTAGTCGATGGTTATGATCGATTAGGGAGGGGTTGAAAAGGGGGGCGGCGTGGGGCGGAGCCGTCGAGAGAGTAATCATTCACAGAACGCGACAGACATATTGTTAGCTAAGCGCTGTTTTCAAACGGCAATTTCAAAGAAACCTATGGGTTATGGAGGTGGTGAATAAACGCCAATTAAGGGTCTATATTTCTTGTTTCACGCCTAGCAAATCTATTGCCAGGTCGCTACTCATCCCACTGTACGTAGCTGTCCCACAGCATCCTCGATACTTCAAGATCCTATCGCTAGGTAGCCATGTTGCTCCGCAGGAGTACAATGTCCGTCGCGTAGACCTTAACACTGAAGTTGGTTGTTTTCTTGGCACTTGCGGTATAATAACCCAAAAACACGGCGACTTTTGGGCTAGCGTCAGTGGCCGCTTTTAACCACTCTGTTGTCTAGAACAGACAACAGATTCAAACGGGTATATTGTTCCTTACAAACGTACTCTCTTATGGTATCGCATGAGGGACACCTGATCACCTGAATTCCACGTGACTATATGACAGATAGGTACAAAAAAAAAAAAAAAAAAAGGGGGGGGGGGAGGGCAGATCGGGAATCCCGGGCTATGTTATGCAAGTTGCGGCCAATTTCCGTGTTTTGTTGTGGGGTTCCCGACTTAGGGCCGGCGGAGAAAGCTAAAATGGCGCCTAAACGGGAAACGAGTCGAAAACTTATACGAGTATTCGCTCCTCGCATTTCGCTCATCAACTTCAACCTTTCATGCCTGCCGCCAACCTCAGCATTTGCGAATCTTCGATCCACGGTCTATTGTTATCCACCCGCGTCTGCCTCGTGCCCATTTGAGGATTCGCACTTTAACTCTTCCCCATGGTTGGTAGTCGCCGCCCTCACACAAAGTCCAGGAAGGGATGTAGGGAGTGCAAGCGCCGCAAGGTCAAGGTATACTTGAGTGTGGTGTACCCTAAGCCACTCACTATCCAGCGCTGACATGCCTGCAGTGTGATGAGATACAACCGTCATGTTTCAATTGCACTCGTTACGGAGTCACCTGCCACTATGGGCCCGACACCCCTAAGCCGGATGAAGTTTGGGACCCTTCCGCAGATAGTACCACGTCCACTGTTACAGCTGGGTCTCCGGCAGTGGAAGGCAATCCGGCGTGCCATTCCAGTGCGAAATCATTTTCTCTTAATAGACCGGATAGCCTCCATCTCGGCCATGCCTGGGGACGCGATCTTGAATTGATGCACCATTACTGCACTGCCACAAGCGACACCATGGCCACGCAGGAAGCCGCACGACATGTGTGGAGGGTGCTATTTCCGCAAGAAGGCTATGCTAACGAGTATGTGATGCACGGTGTCTTATCGCTCGCTGCACTGCATAAGGCATTCCTGATTCCGGATCGGCGCGATATCTACCTTACCCGCTCGGCATTTCATCACTCGATGGGCCAGCAGCACTTTACGACCCTTCTTTCCGACGTAAACGTTGCTAATTGGCGATCTGTCTTCTGCTTCGCTACCATGGTCATAGCGTATGTGCTGTCCATGTCTATGCAACCGGACGACGAGTCGGAGGTAAAGACGACGGCTATTTTGAGGACTTTAGAACTAATCTCCGTCACGAAAGGCGTTAAGGCAATTCTATTACCATTCATACCCCAGCTCAACAAGACCAATCTGGCACCGCTTGTCACCAGTGTCTGGCTGACCCCAGTTGATCCTCTACCAGATCCGTGGGTTCTTTTCCTCCGAAATCTAACAAGTCATCTAGGTTATTAAATGGTTATATAGGAAACCGTCCCTCGAATACTCTCTGATTCCAAGTGATGTATACAACGCACTTTCTCGCCTTCGTCGGTTCCTGACTGAACACGTCTCCCTCAAATATAAAGGCGACTACGAAAAGGCAGTCACAATCCTCGAAGTCTCGGCTGTGCAGATAGCTTACGCTGATGTCAACGTAGAAGTTGGGGCGATACTGCTATGGCCGTTTTTTCTCCCCGAAATCGTTGTCAGTGACATCAAGGACCACAAACCCCAAGCTTTACTAATATTGGCTTATTATGCTGTATTCGTCAATGCTTTGGATAGAGTTTACTGGTTTCTCAGGGGATGGGGTCGGAAGTTGTTGAAGGACATCAACGATCAGATTGAAGCGCAGGAACCGTGTAGAGACCTCTTAGATTGGCCGCATAGGCACATTTGCGAATGATTATAAGCTCAAGACATGTTAAAGAAACACAATCTGTATACCATTCCAGGTCTTCCCAGCGTGACTGTTATCTGATGCTATGATCAGTTTGTTCTACCAAAACAGCTCGCTAGGATGATAGTCTCGATTTACTGTTCAGTCTGGATGAGACGAAGAATGGGTCTGTACGTGTGTGCATCAAAAGAAGTAGAAGTTTCATTTACCTACCTATATACATGTAACGTGGCAATACGAAATACGATGAACTACCTTTAGAGAAATGCGAATCCGAGTATAATTCGCGTACATAATTTAGGACGATCCAAGGTCTCAACTCGCCCCAAACTTTCCGTGAAGCAAAAAGGAAACAAAAAAAATCGTTTGCTTTACTCTTCATCCTAAGGGGGTGTTCCGTCCTCCTTCTGTCACTTTTCTAAAACATGTTGCTTATCGAATCAAGAGCCTTACGCCCATCCCAAAGCTTCTCTGTACTTCGCAACAGAGGAGCAATTCGACCGTTCCACGCCAGTAGAATTCAATCAGTGTATTCGAGTAAACACACAAATGAGCGTCATCAGGTTGGTCAAGGTCCAACAGAGGCCAATGCGATACGACAATTGAGCACCGTCCGCAAAGAAATGGCTCTAGAGAGCCAGGAAGGGCATACCGGATTGGCGTCTTACGTTCTGTATGTGTGCAAACGCTTGAGGACGAGCTAAAACTCACGAAATTGCGCCACGCAGAACAACTCTAGACCAGATTGCAAACTGGTCGCGCGAGAGCTCCCTATGGCCCCTGCCCTTTGGCCTCGCCTGTTGCGCTGTTGAAATGATGCACCTGTCAGGCCCACGATACGACCAGGACAGGTTGGGGACTTTTTTCCGAGCCTCGCCGCGCCAAGCCGACGTCCTAATTGTTGCGGGCACGGTAACCAACAAGATGGCGCCCGCGCTGCGGCAGATCTACGACCAGATGCCTGAGCCGCGCTGGGTCATCAGCATGGGCAGCTGCGCAAACGGCGGCGGATACTACCACTATAGCTATAGCGTCGTTCGTGGCTGCGACCGCATTCTACCCGTCGATATATATCTGCCCGGTTGCCCCCCGACGGCAGAGGTATTGATGTATGCGATGCTACAGCTAAGGAGCAAAATTCGAAACACGAGAAAATCTCGGATGTGGTACCGCAAGTAATAGATGATGAATTTCAAAGCCGATGTGCCGCGGAAATACGATGTCTTCCCATTTCTATCCCTCCACAGTAAAGTCATCACTAAATCCACCCTCTGCTACCTCGGCCAAACTTGATCGGTCGGAAGGATGTGGTCCTTTGGAGAGAAGTTGTGAGAAATAAAACGTATCGTGACTTTATGACTTTGTTATATATACTCTTGGAAAGGAAAGAACCCAGCCAGTCTCACAACGTATCTTTTTTCGCATTGTGTCTAACGTCTCGGACGCGTTCTGGCACCATGGGGTCCGACCTTTTCCCCGGATTTACGCAACAGTATATTAATACTTCTCAAGGAGTATCTATCTTTGTCCGCACTCTGATTGACCAGACCAAACCCCCACTTCTCCTGCTACATGGATTCCCTCAGACTCACGTCGAGTTCCACAAGATCGTTCCCTATTTACGTCCTCATTTTAGTGTCGTCCTGACTGATCTTCGTGGCTATGGTGCCTCGTCCGTTGTCCCTAGTGCAAACGGCTCGGCTTATTCTAAACGCCTGATGGCTCAAGATTGCGTACAAGTCATGACAGCACTTGGCTTTGAAAAGTTTAGCGTGGTTAGACATGACCGCGGGGCCAGGGTTGCGTATCGTCTCGCATTTGACAATCCAGAGATACTTCACAAGGTCGTTGTGATCGATATCATACCTACTTCAGCCATGTATGGAGGATTCGGCGATGTAAATGCCGGACTGAGAGCATACCACTGGCTTTTCCTCGCGCAGCCAGAACCATTCCCTGAGAGAATGATACAATCTGTGGGAAATGGAAGATTGTTCTTAGAACATACTTTTGCTACATGGACAGCGTAACGAACGTTGTAGGATTTTGACGTCTTTGCACTTGACGACTATCGCAAGGCTTATTGTGAGACAGCTAGGATTCATAGTACCTGCGAGGACTACAGAACGGGGGACTTTCTTGACAGGGTATATGATGGAGAAGACTTAAAAAATAGGAGGAAAATTAATACTCCTTTGTTGGCTGTGTGGAACGGTGGGATTGTTCGCTGAAGCTATGGAGGCAGGGGCGCCTCTATAGATATGGCAAAAGTTTGCACATAACGTTTCTGGAAAGGCATTGCCATGCGGACACTTTGTCCCCGAGGAAGATCCCGAAGGATTGGCTGAAGCTCTTTTGATGTCCTTGCTGTAGTTAGCCTGTGAAATAAATACGTATACAGGAGTCTAGGCCTGTCATTCGCCTACAGATCATTCAATTTAAGTCACACGCGCTCAAGGATAGATATGCACGACAGTACGTAGTAGACATCAAGGGTTGATGAAAGGAATTCCCCCAAAGTTGAAGCTGAGTAACCCTGAACAACTTGAACTATTCAAGGAGGTCCGAAAACGGCAAGTGCCAAAAACAGCAAGTCGAAAAACCACGCAAATCCCCAAGCTCTCGAACATGGAAGCGAAAGTAATGTGTATACTGTAGCGTATATACGGTTTGCAAGCAACATTCAGGCATGATGCTATCATTGAAGCTTTCCAAGGAACAATTTCTCACAGTCCCTCCAGATGCTTTTCTGTGATCCTTTTACCTGCCTTGGCCACGAGCCTCTGAGCATCAACAATTGCTCTTTTATGCACCGCCGTCCCGACCTCGCCACCATCATCCGTAGCTATAACATCGAACACGAAGAGCTTGCCCTCTTTGCCGGTATATGTCGCCTTGGCAGTTACAGGCGCATTTTGAGGCGTTGGTGCAGTATGAGAGACATCGATGGTTACGCCAACAGACAGCTCGCTAGATTTTAGGTACGGCTGGAGCACACGCGCACTGGCGATTTCCATCAAGGCCACGAGACGGGATGTTGCGAACACGGCGGGAAATGCGTCTTGAGCGTCGGCCGAAATGGCACTAGCAAGATCGGCTGCGGATACCTGAAGGCTGGCGGAAGAAGATATGCCAATTGGAGGAGTATTTGAACTAGACATCTTGATCGTATGGATTGAACGTGTAAATAGCCGTAACATTTGTTCGTGTTTGTCGGTCTGTCGTGATTGATGATTGCGAGATTTACCAAGTTGCATGTGCCCTAAGTTTGAGAAGGGTTATTATGTCGTTTTTGTTTTTCTTTTTTTGTAGGAGGTCCTCCCTTTCGATTAGGTGATCCTATATAGTTGTGGATGTGGGTTATGCTTTACCAATCGGGGGTCTGCTTGACAACTACTAGCGGTGTCTCGTAGCCGGAATCGCTTTTTAGCTTAAGTAGTCCGGAACGGCTGTGGGCCGGGAGACTACTAGATTTTAGTCTAAGCCGGGCCGAAAAGGGGGGGGGGGGGCTTAATGATTCTTGCTGGAAACCGCATAGGGAAAGTCTTACTGCGTACTTTATTGGGGATAGGGCAAGACATCTCCAACGAAGCACCAGCTCCACTAGCAGACCTGGTGTTCCTTTTTGTATGTACCGTAACAACTTCTTTCATGAAAACTATCTTTAGCGAGCTCATATTAAGTAATATATTCTACCCCTGGAGAGCCTACCCGACGCAGAGATTCGCCGGTTGGTCTGAAAGAAGACACCAGGGCCGCGCGCCGTTTGCTACCTCTTTTTTCTCCATATATAGAAAATTATGCGCACTTTTTATTGTTTATAGCCTAAGATTCAAAGATTACATATACTCCCCTTGTGTTGCAAGTTTGGCCGAGATGCTCGAGGGAGGTGAGCGAGTCATGGCTAGAACTGAGGTGGATGTATGAGCTCAAATTTTTAGACAGCCTTTTGAAGGAGTCTCACCGGATACACACTAGAGATATTGGTGAGTAACTCTATTCTAGGCTCTGCTTTGAAGAAGGTTTAGGGTCAAGATGAGATCCTAGGAGGAAGCTGGTTTCATGACTAACTACATCACCAGCAACCATGAGGCGGGTCGCCGATGAGAATATCCAACTTTCAGACGGTACCGTCATTCCTAAAGGTGCATTTTCCATCGTTCTCCTAAATTGTTTTAAGGATCCCTCAGTCTACCCAGACCCCGAAGTGTTCAAGCCACGTCGCTTTCTAGAGATGCCCCAACAGACCGGATAAGAGAACAAGTGGCAGCTGGTAAGCACCTGCCCTCAGCATCTTGGCTTCGGTCATGGGCAGCACGCCTATCCTGGCCGTTTCTTTGCGTCTAATGAGGTCAAGGTGGCCCTCTGTCACTTATTGCTCAAGTACGAATGGAAGCTCCCAGACGGCGAAAGCTGCTCGGCGGACCTTGTCTACGGAAGTGAAATGGGAGTGGATGGGAATGCAAAGGTTTTATACCGAAAGAGGAATCAGAATGCCTTAAGTGCCCGGACTTGTTCGGGTTCGGGCATTCGGGCATTAAATTGCTACTCATCCCACTATATGTAACTATCCCACGGCATCTTCCGTACTTTAGGATCCTATCGCTAGCCATGTTGCTCCGCAGGAGTACAATATGGTATCGGCCCAGCTGTCTGCATGAATGATAAATCCCTGGGAAGTAATGTCCGTCGCGTAGACCTTAACTCTGAAATTGGATGTTTTCTTGACACTTGCGGTATTCATGCTAACTAGCACCGTGGGGGCCGAGCTAAAGTCCCTCGTGAATCTAACTAGAGCTTCGGTCCTCTCTCTAGGCTGATCCCACGGTCTAACAGAACCCGTATTCCAAGTACCGCTATCGAGTTTGATCTTCTCAGCCGGTGACGAAGTTGGAGCCGCCAGAACAACTTCAATACCAACCGACCGGAACTCGAGCTCCGCAGTTACCGTATCGAACTCTACCTTGATCCATAACGCCAGGCCTTTTCCATCTTCCTCGGCCTTGACGTGGTGGTTCTCTAGGGGTATCGTGAAGTCTCCTGTCTTGCGAAGCCTCTTCTTCTGGAAGACTTCATCGCTGCCGGACATAATGACTATTTCGTCAACAAGTGCGGTCTGGGATGAAAAATCCACTGCCACCTTATTGTAGTAGGAAACGTTGTTCGGCATGCCGTGGAGAGGGAAAAGAACGGTTCCGTAAAGCTCACCGGCTTTGGTCGGTCGTATTATCGACCCTCCTTCGTTGGCTGTGATGCTGAAAGAGTTGTCTAGAGTATTGATGGCACCGGCGCCATGAGAACATACCCACTGCATCATCTTGATCGTACCTAGTGATGTAAATCACTTGGGTTAGTTTGCTTATAACAGATTCTTAACCCTTTGATCTAGGTAGATAGGTAATTAGTACCAATGCACTGACCAGTCTTTCTCAAATCGGTGTATACTAGGTATCGCTCTATCCGCCTCTCTGTGAAAAGTAGTGACTACGTGCGCTGTCGCTATATGTACGTAGTACTATAAGAAGAGCTCTGTGTCTGTGCTCAAAAAAAAAAAAAAAAAAAAAAAAAAAAAGCTTGACACTTAAATTACGAAGGCTAAGCTCTGAGAAGTTGGTACGGTCATTCTAAGGCTACACATTTATCACGCTTATACAATGTCGGAGGGAAAGAGAGGTGAGGACAATGATTCAGAACCAAATACGATGCTAAGGCTTACGGCAAATTCCAAATAACTAAGACCTTGGCTCTTTCACACACCAAACTCAAGCACCTGTAACGACTAACTACATCTACAGCCTTTTGATAGGAGCGGTTTCCCCTAATACTAGCTTGATCATAATGAGACAATAATCCCCAAAAGGGTTCAAGCGCAGGGCTCATCTTTTGGAGATCGGCGTCTCTATGTTTACATCTGATTCATAAGGTTTCATACGATTGGGCGCCGCAGGAAGGACACGGAACGTTGAAGAATCACTGCTCATAGTCCTACATGGTGCTAAGGCCGGGTTGCGGCCGCAGGCTGCAACAACGGGCTGACTCCTTTCTGCTCGCCATTGGAGTTACGACCGACAAGATGGTCGAGAACGTTAGTTATGTAACAGTCCATCCCAAATTCTGTAGTTCAGCGAGCCCGAATACGCCACTTGGTATAAGTTGGGTAACAAGTCGATGGTGAAGACCTGCGCATAACATCGAAGAGCCCGATGACACAATTACTCAGGTAAGTGAAACAAGAAGGTCATAAGCCAATGAACGGAATTTACATATTATTGTGAAGAGTTTTTTCAATGATATACCTTAGGTTACATAGGAGGTACCTAAGGTGACCACCAAAGCGGTACATGAGGTAAACGAAAGATACTACCCTATTTAACTTGTCTAAGAAGTTCATCGCAAGCTGAATCACCTTTCGGAATCTGATGGCTTCAAGTCCTAAGTATTCCTGCAACCTATGTAAGACTATACTTTAGGTAAACTTCAAAGCGGTAGAAAGCTGTAACTTACCCCGCACATTTACTCTGCCACTACAAGCTGAAAAATACGCTTTGGGATGCTGGCGGCCATTAACCACACAAGATGCATATACTCACAACCAATGACGGGCACGTATTCTAACGCCGAACTCACCTCAATCAAAAACGAATCAGTTACCTTTAAAGCTTCATTGCATGGTAGCTATACTAGAACATATTGATTACCTAAATCGTCACTTATAGAAGACAACGTCTTGCTGACCAAGGCAACCTAACCCCTCCTTTAGATCATGGCTTAGACAGCTACTAGCATATCAGGTACCTTAGGCAAGTATGGAGATGCCGTAGAGCCCTTGTAATGGCGCTCTGCGGTCTTCACAGGATAAAATGTCCTTCAGGATCCAAGGTGATATTCCAATCTCGGACACGCCGTCTCCGGGCGAGCCGCGTGGCATCTTGTCTAAGGAAATGGCTACCTGAAGACATGGGGAGGATGCATGGCTTCACTGGGAGGCTTCATTCCGTTTGGACATCCACGATGCCGATCTGATCGTGAAAGGAAGTGTCGTGATCTTCAACACCGGTATGCGTAGGCGTATAGCTCATGGAGAGAAGACAGAGAGAAGCTGAATGAGTACATAGCAAGATACCTACGTGTTCGCATGCAGATGGATAGATAGGCACTCCTGCAGAGCAAGCCTCGCGATTCATTCCACAGATGAGGTGACGCGTAAGGTCGGCGACTACTTTGTTGAGGAAATCTAGATGTCTTGATGTATGAAGCGTGATAATCGGTTGCTTCTTCAATGTCCTAGAAAAAGTATATATATCGCGGTCTTCGACCGCCAAAAGACAACATAACAACTCATCCAAAGCACACACCTCAGTCCAACTACTACCAAATCCACCTAAAAGTAAGACTTAGGGAACTATCACATCTCAGAGTTGTCGAGCAGCTTGTAGTTAGGAGGTAGCTAACGAGTTCTTAGAAAAACTTTCGACTTTACGTCAACACATACCAGCAAAATGGCTACTTGGCTCTCTACCCACGGAATTGGTGCCATCAAGGACAGCAATTCTAGCTTCGCCATCGTCGCCGACAAGGGATCCGCTCTCGTCAAGCCGACCGATCCCAACGCGCTGAGCGGATGGATCCACTTCACCATCCCCAGCCCCCCGGTTAATAACCCGAACCTCAAGGTCGTCGCCATCGACTTCTCTTCCCAGTCGGCCAACGTCGAAGCCGTGGCTGTCTACCTTGCCAACATCCAGAAGTACAAGGAGGAGGGGCTCCAGAGGGGCCAGTCCTTCACCCTCTCGCTTCCCTCCAACCCCCAGGTCCTCTACCAGGGCAAGGGAATCTCCGTGTCGATCCTCGTCCAGTTCGACAACATCTCTTCCAACCTCAGGCTCCAGTCCGTCGGAATCCAGGTCTAGGTGAGTCAGTACAAGACGCTTCACATTTACTGCGAGTTTCATCTAATAGAGTTGCTTACTAGACAAGCTACAATGTGCCCTACGATAGTCTAGCTACAACGCACTAGCCTAGAAAAAACTAAGGGGAGAGAAGTGGAGAGTGAATGATCCGAGCTTATAAGCTGGATGGATCTATGTGGAAGTCTTGTTTTCGGGTACCCTCGATGGGACCTATTCTCGTTCTATGTTGGAAGTCTCTTTAAACATGTGCACGTGTTATCCGATCTTTACACTAGCTCCATAAGCTAATCCAACAAAACATCTCTACCATTTGTCCGACTTATAAAACTAGTGTGCTTTGCTAATGCTTACCCGTTCCACCCGCCCCTATTAGTACCGTACTTGTATGGTGCCTTTCTTCATAACACGGCATGCCTTATAAAGCATAGTGCGCAATTTCTTGTAAAAAGATGCATGAGACATTAGGAGTGAGAAAGTCAAAAGGGCAAAAAACAAGAATTAAAAGATAAAAAAAAATAAAAATAAAACGTACAACACCGCGGATTCGCTGGTCGTCACCGACCCAACTACTAGTGCGGCGGTATCCAGTTTGTCTATGGGAGAGCGGACGGGATCCCGAACTTTCTAGATCCTATGGTCGTACGTGGTAGTCAAGTCTGCTATGAGCATATATATGAAAAGGCTTTTGTGAATCTCTCCCACCTGCCCCCCTATGAGGTACCTCCTACCTAGGCAGCCTAAGTATTGTATGCCTCCATTTTAGATAACTAAAAACAGGGAGATGTAGAATCGAATATAGGGGTATACAGTCTTGCCGCTTCATCGTACTGGCTGGGGTTTGTCACAGGTATCATGGGTAATAATGTGATCACCGGGTAATACTGAGTTTTTGCTGGGCGAAGCCTACTAATTATAAACCTTCCCAATATAGGTAACATGAATTGTTCAGTCAACACCTCAGCAGCACCTCAACTACTAACATCAAGAGATACGATATCTCCTTCAAGGCGGGAGGCTCAAGACCATTTATAAACAATCTGAAGTATGTATCTTACAACGTGAACACCGGTTGATCGCCGATATTCGTGCAGCAGGATGAAACTTGCATGTCCTCAGGACGTTCGACAACCAATAGCTGCATCTTCACTCATCCTAACCACCCTGTCGGTTGTCTTAATACTTCAACACTTCTCGGCAACGTCGCCGTATAACAACGACTGTCAACACAAGGTTCGACACAGCGGCTAGGCTAAAAGGTACGTGTCTAGAATGAGCATACGAAGGTACAAGATCTCACAAATTCCGGGGAAATGATCACCAAGGCCCTTGAGACAAAAAGAAAATTACTGGTCGAATCTGGATACATGTTCCAAGCTCTCGTTAGCCCTTGTCACATCGGTGGGGAAACCTAACCGCTGCCACCTATCTCACCATGCAGTATTTTATACCTATATACGGCTTCAATTGGCTTTGCTAAACACGTCGATTGGCGATAATGCATGTAAATTCTCGAAAACAGCATAAATATCATTGTACGGTACATTGTGGAGAGGAAATTTATAGGGGCGACATGTGATATGCGCAACCATGCATTAAAGAATGCTCCTTCATGCTTGCCATCGTGAGAATAGTGCCTCTTATCTGATGAACTAGATGGCGCACTTGGTACCTGCCAGGTAGGTAGGTAGATAATGTCACCGTTTTTTTTGTTTTTTTTTTTAAAAAAAAAAAAAACGTACTGCGCATGTCAGTTCAAAAGCCACCTCTTTAGCCACTACAACAACCTGGTTGTTATGGCGGAAGATCAGCACGTAAAGAGAACCATCCACCTTTGGTAGATCGACCCCGTATGAGGTAGGTACCTTACTCGTATTGCTATAAAATCTAATCTTGGAATTTCGGTTGAAAGTGACGCTACAAGAGTAGTTGTGTGCCTAGTAAACCTACCAACCTAACCTATTTAAAGACGGAGCTACTAGATATAAAGGAAGTTTTTCATTTTCCTATCCATGTGTTGTATCCCAAACAGTTAGCGCTTTGGATCATTGAGCCGCAGCTTCGTAATCTTGAGTTCACTCCTCGATTTCGGCAAAGGCTTCTACTTTTGTAACAGAGCGTACAGCTAAGGAAATGATGTCGGCGAAAATGATGGTCTTGAGTAAAGTATTTAAGTCCTGTAGTTAGGTACCTACCGGTACATAGGGTATCTACGTAGTTGTAGTTATACTTCGATGATCGATGATCTTCACGATCGTCGGGTTCCCCGAGTTGTAGTTTAATGTATATTTGCCCGTGAGAACCGACATTTTTGAATATAAGGTACGTACGCTACTACCTCAGGTACCTGTCTTATAGGTGAAGTAGCAAGTACAACTCCAATTGCTTTCGAACTGTAGCAATTAGTTGTAAAAGCCCTGTGACTGTTTGATAAACCAGTATTGCACGATGCCAGAAGTTCGTTTAGGTTCGTCATCGAGTTCCTTCCAGTGGTTTCCTACTTCCCAGTCTACATCTATACCCTAGGTAGGTACTTTGCCCTCTATTTCACCCCTTACCTTAGGTACGTGAGTTCGATCGTGGTCTTCAATGCAATTTCATACGGGCTTCCCGTCCTTGCTTGTAGCTTTCTGCCATTCAAACTTGTCGCAACCAAACTTTGAGGGCCCATTGGTGACAGTTTTATCATCTGAGAGTAGAGTCTGAGTGACCATATGTAATGAATGACTAAGGGAATAAGACTGCAGTGAACCGTCCGTTTCCGTATTGGTACAAAGATGGTACTTCAATATATCTGCCTATAAATTATATACTTGACAGCTGCCACCTATCTTATTGTACATACTTGTGAGGCTTTAACACAATTAATAATTTGACACATTATAATTAGTGACTTAAATACCTGTAAGATCCTTGAATATTATCGCCCATACCTAAAACTGCTATGAATTGTGATGAGGTGCCTCCTATATCATTCTATACACCAAACAGTTCGTATTCCTGGTTTAATAACCTATAAGCACCTTGTAAAAACTCCCCTATCAGGTGCTACTTTAGGTGCTTATATCATTACACTCATACAAACTCGTGAGTAAGATTCTGTCACGTCGTAGAGCATGAGGTAGGGAAACAACTTCGTTGTTCCGCAAGGAACTCCAACTACCGTAGCTTTGAAGCTAAAGCTATATACAAACAACTCTCTTGTTCCCCAGGAGTCTCACTTGAGACTCCTGACAGATTCTAAGGAATTTGATCTGCAATTCGCCCCCTCCTTCGTTCTCCCCGTATGCCGCTTTACTTGGCGAAATCTCAACAAATATCAGCCATCGGCGATCAGATACATTCGTTATACGACATGATTTCTATAGCCGACCTGTATCAGACGGCTACGCTGCCAAGAAATCCTGGAGTATTAAAACAGCCACCAGGGCGGTTGGAATAAGTAAGGATGAGGCTATTGATTATAGTACGAGGACATGCAAATTTCAACTTGCTACACGAATATCGGCGATCAACCGGTGTTTGGGATGAAATATATGTACTTCAGAATGTTTATAAATAGTACTAAATCTCCCACCTTGAAGAAGGGAGAGAGTCCAAGGACCTGGAGGCTCTTAGAGAATTATTATTAAATTTTAATCCTCATCCTAAGCCTTTATCACAACTCGTCCCTTGACTCTTCTCGAAGAATTCCTCAAATATTATGATAAGTTCACACATGAGATATATTCATTCTTGCTTTTAACCGAGACGTACCATGTCCTTTTCACTACTCCAAGTATCGAAGGACCTTTTTGCGATTCTTATCCATTATAGCTACTCTAGCTTGCGTCAATACCTACCTAACAAACCACGTCTTATTATATCTTATGAAAAATACATATTAACATTACCATATAGCTCAGCAAGTACGTCTTTTAATATTAACTAAAAACTCGTAAATATATTAATTATTGAAAGGAATTGGTCGATTATAATCACTATAATTAAATTCAATTCATTAAATTGATTGAGCAGTTTGGAGGTTCGGCGTTTCTTATGTCACTTATTGAACCGGTCGTTGAACTAGATGAAGAGGAGTTTGTACTAAGCACTTTTACTTAATCCAAAAGTATGAAGGTTAAGATCCGAAAGCGTAGACCTGCCTGGTTAATCTATACTAGCCCTTGTAGGGGAAAAGGCCTTAGAAAGGACAATAATGCTTTATATTCTAAATACAACAGTACCTTAAGCTTCGAGAGTGAAGCTAAGCTGAAATTAGCTAATAACTTTTACGTTAAAACAGTTTTTGGATTTATAGTTGTTTATTTCTAAAGTTATATTGAGAAAGTTGGTATTTTTATTAGTATTAAGGAGGCTCTTGGCCAATTTACTGTGGTAGGAGCTTTTAAGTTCGATTGATTTTGGTAAGGATTATTTTGTATTTAGTTTTGATCCAACTTATTAACTTTATGTTTGCTTTTTAGGGTTGATAAGCCCTTTTTCAGAATAAGGCCAGAGAAGGTAAAGATACTGGGAGAATAGGAAGTGTTATGTAAATATTACTGTTTTATATCACGTAACATTCTTTACCATTACCATAATTGTTAAGTATAGCACTACGAAGGGTAAAGGATATTATCATATAACAGAGCCACTAGCACATATAAGTGGCTATTCCATGCCGGTGCAGCACAATAGCACGAGTTGATAGGTAGTTAGGTCCCTAGGAAGATTATTGATGCTATACTGTACCTCAGAGCAAAGCAATTCTAAGTACCTGTCACGCTGCAAAGATCATTTGAAATATCTTGGTATAACTTTGACATAAAACTTGAAATTCTTTGTAATCATTTAGTGTCGCCAATGTAGTTTCCCAAACGACTTATACACTTTCCAGTGGAATTCTCCAGCAAAAGCGTGTAAATTAAAAGCAACTTTGTTTACGTGGTTGAGTACCTAAGAAATTTACAAGGGTCACTGTGTAATAATCTTAAATGTGTTTAATGCACGGGTTAATTTGGACGTGAGTGGTGCGGAAGAAGGCATGATGGTAGCCTTGGCTGGTAACTCTCCACTCCATTCTTATCTCTACTGAGAAAGGGAGGAGACTACCAGATAACGTAGTATGATAAAGTGGCTTCTATTTCCTATTATTACGGTTGGGCCAAAGATGATGGTGAGAAGTTGAAGGATGTCAAAAAAGGTGACTGTTCCAATCACAGTTGACCATTCGGCCTCTTCGGCACAGCTTTACATAGTCTAGATGTGTACATAGGATACCTAATAATGGATTACCTCTGGTAGGTACCTATACCTACCTAGCCTACTAATATAGCAGAATACCAGGTGAGTAGAGTTTCAGGATCTCTTGATATTAATCGATTGAGCCCGATCCTAATTCTACTCGTGAAAGGGCTGCCAAGTTACGAGAATTTGCGGTGGGCATTCGCCTGAAGGCATGGGGTAGTGAGATGATACAGGAAATCTTTCAAGTGGTATGCTTCGTGTTATATAGAGGCTTCCTTGACGAATTGTGTGGCATTGCTCATTATGGAATAGGCTTCTACCAAAATGGAAATTTGTTCGAAGGCGTACGGGGTAAAAGTCTCTACCCAAGATCATGACAAAGATATTCTACATATCCAAGTGACTGGTCCTAAAGAAGAGTATCTAAAGATTGTTAACCCCCCTGGTTCGTTGTTTCTTTCGCATACCTATTAATGACTTCTACTAATGCCATGGTTAGAAGTGCCTAATGAATTAAATCGAGGTACGCATGTTATTTTAATCATTAGGCAAAGATAGAGTTAATGAGAAAAAGTATTTACGGACGAAGACATTTTCGAAAAACAGTCAGCACGGATCAACAGCGCACCTACTTGAGCCGCGTAGCTGTCCGGTTTGGGGATATCATCAAACATGCCATGGGTACGCAACTCAATGAACAATCAATCTTACCTATGAACCACCAGTCACCACTCATGGCTCATGTGCAGGGAATGAGCAAAATATTCACCTCAACGATTTTCTCAAGAGGAACATTGCTAGAGGTTTGAAGACGAACAAGAAGAGGAGGATAAAGAGGATAAGTGGGGTTTCACACATGACGAGATACCATGTTACGAATCGCGAAATATTGTGTATGGCTTTTCCTGTGATCTGTCAGAGAACTATACATATCCTAAGCTGGAAGGATTGCTCACTAAGCCGTTCTACTGCTTGGGATCATGTACTGGAGATATTATCATGGACTGTATTCAGGAATTATATTTAGGCACCCACGGCGGCGATTTTTGCGCTGTAAGTTACGATAAACATCACCGCGATTTTGAGGTTTTCGAGTCTCCTTATATCTGATTTTCATGCTAATTAGCTTCTTACCTACCTAGGTACTCAATAGTTTTCGAGCTCTGTACTACTTTATTCAGACAATAGGTACGGAAGTGGATGAAGCTCACCTCGGCTCACGTATCGAATGTCATTTTGGTCATCTACGACCTCATTTATGAGACGATGTGCAAAGTTTGTCTGAGTTCTCAAGTCAGACGTGCGCCATTGAAATTCTTTGAAGAAGGCTTTCTCGGCTGTTACCATCGTGCAATCAAGCATGCGGAATTTCTTCTCCGTGTCGAATGCGAAGGTCATCTGGTCACCAATAACCCCGACTTCGAGCGTCTCCTGGCCAAATACCGAACGGAGCGCCACAAAGAAACGACTGAATTCTTCAAGAAGACCTCGAGACCCGGGAACGAACCCCAGAACACGGTCTTTACGAGAGCGCCCGATTTCATGGACCAAGTCTACGGCAACGCACACAATGCGCTTAAAGCGTACTACGAGATAGCTCGCGCGGGGTTGATGGACGGCATTTCGCAGCAGGTATTCAACCACTTCCTGCTGCGAGGCGAGCAGAGCGTCTTCCAGGTCTTTACCCCTGAGCGGGTGCTCTCCATGACCAGCGAAGAGGTACGAAGCATCGCCGGGGAGAGCCCCGACGACGTGCGTCTTGGGGAGGAATTGGTGGGGAAACCACAGCAGGTAATTAATAAGCTGGAGAAAGCTCTCGACATACTTCGAACCTAAGGGGACAATTCGGATGAATGATGATCGTTGGGGAAAAAAACAAAAACAAAAAAAAAAAGACTCACGTTTTATTAGGTAGAATAAAGTGAGTTAATTGATTCTATTCGATACCAACGTAAACGAAACAAAACCGAAATAGAATAACTAGAAAGAAGAAGAAGAAGAAGAAAAATCATGTATCATCCCGTCATCTTGAGGCACACTGCATAAAACTCGTGCCTAACGTCGGGCGGGTGCATAAAAAAAGAGAACAAATTTCTTCGCAGTCCAATTCCATTCCGAGGGGGAGGGGGGGACAAAGATCGTGTGCACCATGCAGCTTACCTCTCACCTCTTACCTCTTACACGACCAATATCCAAAATATGCAGCAGAGTCGGAGATAACGCCGTCGTATTGCACCCGAGTATTTCTCTGACATGCATATACAAGGTACCTAGGTATATATAACCTAACCTACCCATGGCATGCGTACAATACATGCATACAACTTACAGGCCTGACCTTGCCTTGCATTTCAATATATGATGCGTCATTAGGTAGGTACCTACCTACCTAACCCAAGGGGAAAAAAAAGGAAGGATGAAGACATCGCGAGTTGGCAAAAAAAAAAAAAAAAAAAAAAAAAAAGGTAAAGATATTAATCCCTCATTTAGAACACCTCTCAGTTGCAGTTGCAGTCACAGTTGCAGTTGCAAGTCGCAAGTCGCAAACAACCTGACAAGCTGCAAGACAACAAACCGAACAGATAAACAATAACCAAAAAAATGGCCCTCGCCCGAGATACCTAACCAACCCTCAATTTCGTAACCCTGTAGACTCGTAGTCGCGTAGTCGGATTCGAAGCCAGGGAGGTGGATGTGCCCTGTTAGACCCAAGAGATCGGGCACCAAGAACGGGAAGGGAACCTTAACATCGGTAAGTTGTTTGAGTCTGGGTTGCGTGGGGGGGGGGCCTGCAGCAAAACAACAAAACAACAAACCGAATACTGAGTTATCACAGAAGAGGGGGGAAAAAAAGGACATTTACAAATCGATTTTCGATCTCGTCTTGTCATATTGTATGTATGTATTGCATGTGCCTAAATGTACGTATAACGGCGAGAGTTCCATTGGGTTAATAAGCTAATTAAACTACCTACATACCTGGATAATATATACTAAATTCGAGCATCAACACCATAAAAATCAATATTCCGTCTTTCTCATTCTTTCATTCGTTATTTCCTTGCTTCTTTTCCGACATGACGCGTATCCAAGAGAGGGGGGGGAGGGGATGAGAGAGCATAAACATCAAACAAATAGTAACAATAACAACAGTACTGAAAAAAAAAGACAAGAAACGACAAAAATTTCCAAACCCATATTTTACCGTTTCCGTGAATGACAACAACAACAGTAAATACCCAAAATAAAATGTCTCATGCGCTATGCTGTGTTCTAGAACGAATCATTTCATCTCGACGTGCCCAAACGAAACCCAATGTTTGTTTCCCAGTAGTTAACTAAATTATGTTTCGTCCCGCATCTAGGTAAGGGGGTATATAAATATATATAACGATACGCCGCTGCCATGCCTGTATTATACGACAAAGGAAATATAAGGTAAGGGAAGGTGAAGGTGAATATATATGTAGGTAAATAGATATATATGTGCTAAGTTAAGTAAGGTGAGATAGGTAGGTTGGGTACCTAGGTAGGTATATGTATGGTAGAGGAGGGTAGAGGAAGTTGGGTGGGTAGGATGCGAAGATTTGGGTATAGGTTAAGGTAGGTTTTTTTTTAAAAAAAAAAATAATAAGATCTAGCCCTATGCGGGGTAACATTAAGCTGCCTCTCGGCTCGCGAGACGCAACCGCAGGGCCGGGACTGGGACGTTTGGCGGCTCGTCATGGAAAATCCCGGCCCAGTAAACGTAGATCGGCAGGCCACAACCTGCACTGGTGGTGCTTTGGGAAAATGTATTCTTCGTTCTTCAGGTTGTGCAAACACGGCGTACCCCAGCTGTCAAAATATGCATCTTCCGGTGACATTGTGGCTTTGGTCTCGAAATTACTGAGCACGGCCTCCATTTTATCGAGATACAGGAGCTCCGGGCCGGCCCATTCATTAATAAGTTTGGCGATTCGCTGGAACCCTTGGGTATGGCCGCCGCATTCTAGAGATTGAAATCCGCAATATACGAACAAATAGCTGTGAATGAGCTCGTGTATAAAGGTCGAGATGAGAAGACGCCTGTTGTATTTCTTGTCCTTGAGGATGTGGCGCGATAGGAAGATAAGCGTTTCATAGCCATTAGCGCGCGGCGACCATCTCAACGCGGTAGTGCCGATGAGGCAGCTAGGCAACTCCCTCCACGCCCATGTGACGCGACCCTTAAGCTTCCCGTGGAAAAAGATTTCGTTGGCCGCGTAGAAGATTCCTTGCAAAGCGACATCGTCTATATCGAACTCAGCCTCAGGCGATTTAGGGCAGATGAGGCTCCTCAAGATCCGCTCGTGCTGGGAAACCCTGCTCCTCCGCCGGGGGTTCTCGAGGTCGGCCGCAACGCGCATGGCGGCTTCTTCATGGGCTCTATCAGTAGGTGTGGGACTGTTCATGGCGGATGAGTCCGACTGCACCCTGAAATGCTGGAAAGAGTCAGGCCACACAGCAGGTTCCGTGCGGCGGGGGACAGAGACGGGGTTTTCGACCATGGCCTGGCCGAGCCGAGATGAGCCGAGGCCGGAATTTCCCTCCTTAATAATGTAGAAAGCCGGACGGGCCAGGGTCTGTTCAAAATCCATTGTTTCGAATGTGTCGGGGTTGTCGACAAACCGGTGGCGCTTAAACGGTTGAAATACTTTGAAATCATCCGGGAGGCTGTCAATTTCAGAGTAGCTGGGACGGCGCTTCTTGTGTTCGAAGTGCTGACGATGATGACGATATGGGCCACCGGGGAGACTGGAGTCACTTGAGGAACGCGACATCTCTGTCCCGCCAACGTACCAGCTGGCCATTTGACATTTCTCGACAAGGTGATGTATGAGTGTTAATAGAATAGAAACAAAGGTCGGACGTGGTACCACCCAGCGCGGTTGGGAGATAGATAATAGACGACGATGTGTAACTCGGACTTTGCTGTCAGAGAGAAGACTTGCGAATCATCACCGAGTTTTCTGTCGGGATACTCGCGGCAGAACCCATATAGCCCATATAGCGGAGGGGAAGCTGAACGGAGTCGACTACAGGAGCGCCACGACAATCAATGGTCGTGCAGGATTACTTTTGGGGAGATGCGGCGTCGGATTGGTATGTATGGACACACGCAACAGCGGCAGCTGGCTAAGCTGGGCTGTAAGCCTCACTCTTTAAGACAGGCTGGGTTTGTGCCTGTTTAACTGGCGGGACGGGCAGCGATATGTGGAGGTCTTAAAGGTTACAGCCCTCGGGATAAGCAGACAAGGCCAGCGCCTGGGAATCCACTTTCTTTTAAGAGACGTCCTACTACCCAGACATCTGCTTGGACGGTTGTGAGATCTTGGCTGACGGATTTTATTTATTTTTTCATTTTTGAGTGTCCGAAAAGTGCTGCTGCCCTCTTTGCGAAGCTTTCTGTACCCTGTTGTTGGTACGCTCCAAGACCTTTCCGTCTTCGCCTCTCGTAAATGTCGCCCACCTCCACAGCACCAGTTCTTAAGAGCCGGGACGTAATAGTGGAAAAAGCAAGGGGTGGTTTATTATTTCGATAGGGCGAATAAAAAATATGAAATAAAATAATAGTTGAATAAATAAGTTAAATAAGATAAAATAAGATAAAAAGCACTCACTCAGGTCTAGTTGGGCAGATCGTCGATGGGCTGGTACATGGGTGGATTAGATGGATCTCTAGGTAAGAGGAGCCATTTGGGACGGAGGGAGCGGTGAAAGGAAAATTACGACGGAGAGCCGGGGAAAGAAAAGGCTAGACCTGAGAGCCAGAAACACAGAAACAGACAAGAGAATAAAAGAGAGAACCGATATGCAGGAGCGCAATGCTTACAGTACGTGCCAGACCAACTTCGAAACGGATTGCAGTAGTGCAGTGGCGTTAGTCAAACCGGTCGTATATCCTACTTGCTTAACCTTACCTTACCTCTCTTTGCTTTACCCATTCGTGGTCTCGGGTGCCGGGTTAGAGAAGGTCTGGGTGCTCCAATACCGGGACGAGAAGTGCCCCAGGTAGTGATGGTGGTTCAAACACACAAATGCGCATGTAATATTTTTGGAGTATTTTGGTTTGTTTTTTTTGTTTTGTTCTCTTTGTTATAATTTGTGGTAACTTGTACAGCGAATAGGTACATCAAATGCGGCGGCGTAGAAGAAAATACCGTCCCGAATTTGACAACGCAGCAAGTAAGCATAGCAATGCTGGACGAACCGTGGTTCTCGGCATTACGTGCCCATCTCCCTGGGAGAAAAAAAAAGCCGAATGCTGAAAACTGTAGCAAATGGAAGCATGGCCGGCATAGCAATGATTAACAGGCCCCTACGTACGAGAACCGACAAGTAATAGAGAGAAAAGAAAAAAAACTCTGGCCAAATCTTGCCAGTCTAGACTTGAAGATGCAACTGCAATCTACGCGGCGTAATGCAGTGTGCGGGTGGCAATTCGATGTGTACTAATGCTGAGCAACACCGGGAGTGGGAAGACGCAAGTCTGCTGAGACAGAGAGAGGCGAAAATAAAAATGATTGGTTGTTCATTCATGCAGGCGGATTGCTGGCACTATTTTTTTTTTTTTTTTTTTCTCGTTAGTGTAAGAAGTACCTAAAGTAATAACCTTTGACGTACCTGGGGCGGTATTTAGTGGTCACTGGTCGTTACCTAGTAGCCCTGTAGGGGCTTGTGGATAGAATATTGTAGGGGATTTGGGGATTAGGTACCTACTATGGATGTACAATACCTTGTACAGGGAGTAATGTAGGGAGGGGCCGGAGGTGTGGGTCAGAAACCAGAATTGGACACCCCCCTGTCCTTGTCCTCATTTCCATTGGTTCCACACAAGCCCCCAAGGTTGGACCTGTCCTCTGATTTGTTGCCTCACGTTTTTCAGTTGGCTTAAACCGTAAAATCAATAGCTCTCTCTAATGCTTTAATCATTGATTTTTTTTTGTTGAGGCTAACAACACACGTTTCCATTTTCAGATCATTCGAGAAGAGACATTTATGGAAGAGATCCCATGTGAGGAGGGAAGAAGGGAGAACAGGCAGAACGGGATCAAAAAAACGGTGAGAAGAGGTATCAAGTGATCAGAATCGTCAGGACTTATCAGGATTCAAAATTACAAGAAAACTCCAAAAGCCAAGTCACGGGATGCAATCGACAACGGATGATCCATCGCCCCTATCACATCCACTGACGTCCTTCTTGATCTACCTTGTATTTCTACACTACCTCCCACCTATCAGTCTATACGGCGGGGGTGTAAACGCCTTTCGCCTCCGGAACCCAGCCAATGATCTATGAAACCTCGTGATAAGATAACGCAATCCGCCTCGATTTCTACTGTTTCATCGCTGCTCCGAGACTGCCGATCCCCTTCTTGTCCAACGTGGATAAAAGTGGTAAAAGTGAGATCATGACTCAACATCTGCGTACGAAAGGCAGAAGACAAGTAGAGAGTAGAAATCAAAGATTACGGCAATCTAAAATCTGCTAGCCCGCGTGTCTATCTGTGTGACGTGGTTAAATCTCCTTGCTTGGTAGAGCGTGCCGGAGTGTACCATCAAAGCGGGACGAATCAGATGCAAAGTCTTGTTACTGTTGCTACTGTTTTATGTTCCGCTGTGGAGGCGGCCAGCCCCGAGATTCTGCACGAACCGGACGTCTCTCGCCTGTCGTTCCAGCGCTAGCCTCATTCTCTCGCCGTACATCTGTTGCTCTTCGTCTGCCGCGATATCTTCTGGTGTCCTGGTATTTTCTTCGAAATCCTCCGGGGAAAATCCAGGTTGCGATGAGAAGCTGAGCATCCCCAACCTCTCACCTGTCCAAAAGAGGATATCTTCGTCGTTGGCCCGAATTTCGCCCTCCTGCCCCGGTGTCCGTGTGGATAGGATTTTTCTTCCGATGTCGTCCGACCCGGGCATTGACCCAAAGAGCGAGCGCTGGGCGACTCTTTCGGACTTACCGATCTTGTGTCGACGCACCTCTGTAAAACCGTCCCTCTCGACCCACTTCAGGTACCCTTGTCCGTCGGAGAAGACGATTCTGGTACCGTGATTTATGACGGAGAGGAGTTTCGATTGCGAAGCAGTCTGCCGATTCTTCAAGGAAGACTTCTGGATGACAGGCTCCCGTGGTGAGTCGTCCGCGCCGGAGGACAGGCCGTATAATTCAAGTGATCCCTTAGTGCTATACTCGCCGCATGCTATTAAGGTCCTCCCATTAGTGTTCCTTTCTTTATCAACCGGTTCCCCGAAAGACTGGAAACGCTGGCGAAGATCACTGTATAACGTGGCGAAAGGAAACGGAAGCGACGTGAGACTGCAGAGCCGCGCCCCAGAATGGACTGAGCCCTTGATTGCTGGAAACATACGCCTGTCGTAATGTAAAATATTTGAGAAACGTCCGGCTACGAATATGTCATTTGACAGTTGACTACTGTCTGAGCGTCCGATGTGGAGAATGCTCTGAGGTCCCGACTGAGCAAGTGATGCGTATGGGGCCAAAGGCCTAGGATCTAACACATGCGACAAGTCCCGGCCACTTTTTCTACTAATATTGTCTATTTGTATATTATGCTCGCTTCGATATTCCGATCTCGCTCTAGCATCGTGAAAGTGTAAGCCATGAATCGTACCGACAGTTAGAGGGACGTTAGGATCGGCAGCGGAAAGCGTGGTAATCGACCATTCGAACGGGTGGTCTCCAATAACCTGTAGCGTCTTGAGGTCGACTTCGATAAGATCTACCGAGAAATCAGCAGTCGTCTCGAGGTATCAATAAAGAGGGAAAAACTTACTGCTCTGTATTGCGAAAAATGCTACATGATTTACGCTGTCTATACTGACGCATTCGGTCACCCCCGTATTAATCATCTTCGAACGTCTAGATAGATCAGCACCCGGTCCGTCAGCGCACAAGAGACCGGGACTGGATTTGGAGAGGATTGACCCCTTCTTAGTTCGAGTACCCTTCACATCCCACAGGCAAACAGAGCCGTCCTCGAGTGGTGATACTGCAAGGAGCTCGTTTCTACCCGACGGATTATATAAAGCCATACCACAGGCATCCAGACGGGTCCCGAAAGAGTCGGACTGAACATGAGGCTGTTCAAACCAGCTAGTTACGATAGGGCCATATCGATGAATATATTCGGTATACCAATCCGTGTTTTCGTTCGGAAATGTCGGGTCCCAATTAGCAGCGATGCGAATTTGTTCCCGCTTCCTCTTCCTGGCTGATAGCTGAGCTAGACTTTCTAAGCGGTTCCAATGCGCCTCGCTTTGATCATGTTCCGCTTGGTTTGCTTGTCCCGTCGCAGCAGCGGGCGTGCCGCTCAATGTTACACCATCCTCATCGATCCAATCCGAACCTAGACGAGAGAGCCTGATGCGTTCGCTCACAGCCGAAGCGGATAAACTTCGATCTCGCCAGAAATTGCCATCTCGACATAAACCCAAGAAATGTTTCGAAGTGCTTTGGAGGACAACGACATCGCTGGAATCTAGGACTGGTGACAAATTCCCTGTCAGTGGGGAAGTGGACCTTTTACATGCGAAACAGAACAGAATCGTCGCAAAGATTAGGTACTCGATACTCACAAGAAAGAATATGTAGAAAGATCTCGTGAGGAAGGCTTTCGAGCGGGCTGATAACAGTCATCGTCCGCAAGGAATCCTTAGCGATATTGTAGGTAATGCCTACTTCGTACAAGACGAAATAGAATTATTGCGACGAAGAATACACAAAAAAAAATAGAGACAAGTATACTCACAGCCAGCCAACAAAGGTTTAGGAGAAGCGAAAAAGATATTATTAGCTGAAACAATTTGGAGCAGTTCTAACAAAGATAAGATCGGACCGGAGGAGACTTTGAATAGAATTGCCCCCCTCTTAAACTTATCGGGAGTTGAATGACGAAAGCGACAATGATCGATGGATCTAGAGCAATCCCTGCAGTTTTGCTAAATGCCGCTAAACTTAACGAGGCAGTCATGTACCCAATTAGGGGAGGAGATAGGGGGAGATGGGGGGAGATGGGGAGGGTCGCGGGGGTTTCAACTTACCGCACCAGGTTAAGGTCCGAATCTTCGGGAAGAGGGCCGTGCACGATTTAAGTTGCCCAGTTGGATAAGAACCTTGGAAACATGTGCCAGTGTGGTTCGGCATTATGAGTACATCGGTACGGGAGCGCTACCTAGCGGCTTTCTGAACTAAGCCACCTGTGGCGCGCCATTTCCAACGACATCACCTGCAATCCAGATCCATTAGGTACCTACCTACATGTACATCATCTTGAACTTTCTTTGACATCGTGATACCTATTATAGAGCTGTCAAGAAGAGGATTATATTGCATTGAGACCGGTATGAAACATCATATTCTGCCTTGATTCCTTATTCAAATGATCAACTTCAAATCACTTAACTAGGGACGTTTCTGCGAGGACATTGAGTCGCTACTCGTCTACTTTGAAAAGAGCCCGTTTGCTTAGAAGACAAGTAGTGAGCAGAGATACCATTGTATAATTATCATGCGCAAGAATTCCATTTCTGGTGATTTATATTTTTGTCGCCTTTCACAGGTGCATGTTGCTGAAGAGTCTCAGTGTGTTGAACGTATTACTCCTGGTTCATATGCCTATTACATGACCAAAGGCTGACAGGAAGCTGGATCTACTCGACAGAGAAGCTTGAAGCTTTTGTGAGCTTAATTTAGGTATATTACAAACTGTACTAAGCAGATGCTATTATGTCCTATCGCTTTTTAAGTCACAGGCCTCCTCTGAGGGCCTTGTCTAGGTTAAAGCCTCTTGATATACATGCGTACTGTATTCCATGTGAAGCCCCTGAATTATATTCTCATCTGTGAAATATATATATATATTCAGATGAAAATTTGATAACCATATGATCCTTGAGAAAGCCTACATGATCATGATAAAAGAGAATAACTCCACTAGGTAGGTACATATATAAGTTAATCAGCCACTTGGAGGAAATATAAACTACATGTCATCAGGTACGCAAACAGACGCAAAGAATAAGTAGCTGTGTCACTAGGTGTATTTTGCTAGATTGTGCTGGCCTAGGAACGTACCAATAGAAATGTTTCTGATTATTATACCAAACTTCTAAGTGCTGCTCATACACGGAGAGAAAAAAAAAAAGAAAAAGAAGAAAACCGGATGACTATGAGGGCGTTATTTTTACCCTTTCCTCTATCGTCCACTTCTAATGCTAAGATGGTTTGTTTATTTGTTACGTACCTAGCTAGTAAATATCACATGAGTAAACCTGAGGCCTCTGCCGCCCCTCGCTTACTTCTCGTCTCGTCACCTTTACCGGCTCTATCAGGTGTTAACCCTCTGCTATTTTTTTTTCTTTTTACCTCACATTCCCACACACGGAGAACTAATTTCTTAAAGCTTTCCAAATATAAAAAGCTTTTCTCTTGTAGCATTCCTAGTGGTAACTCCTTTTTCTTTTATGGTGCTTCTCTCGAGGAAACTGTACAATTATCTTAGGTACATCCTAAGGTACGCGCGACTTCTGATACGTACCTGATATATAGGGTCGTACCTGCAATCGTACCTTCCTGCCTCACTCAGTTTCGCGCTTTCCGTTGCATGACCTAAAGAATTTATTTTCAAGAAGCTTGCATTTGGGTCTAAATTTTACCTTGTACCTTTCCCGTACCCTTCTTCACCTCTTACCTCTTACCTCTTACCTCTTCACCTCTTACTTTTTACCTCTCACCTCGCAATCCACTATAACGCACAAGTCAAGCTTTGCGCGTCCTAAGCATCCATATCGTTACTTCGAGGTTCGTCTACGCATATCAATCGATCATAACCTTGGTAAATTGATCAATCCGATGCTACTCTTCGTCCTTTCATTTTTATCTTAAGCCAACTCTCTTTCGAAAGAAGATTCCTTGCGCGTCGCATTATTATTCTCCGAAGTACTTCTTAGCTTGCTATCTTTTACTCGTCCTACATCGGAAAGGTATGTTTATAACCACTTGGTATTTGTCAATCCCTTCCCCCCTTCTCATATCAACATTGTCAACACGCCTTCCTCTGCGCGCGTTATCGCCCTGCTCTCTCCTGATACGCGAGCCCGCCTGCTATGATAAGTCTATATTCGCTAACAAAACAACAGTTACTTTGGCAATGGCTTCTCCGAGCATGGCGTCAATTGATAGCAAGGAAGGCCGAGATCGCAAGCCTTCGCAAAGCATCTCACAACCTCAGGCATCTGGAACAGGAAGGAACTTAACTCATCGCCGCCCTCGCTTCACTAACCTAGACGAGGCTCACCGGAACATCACTTCCAAGCATGCGACTGGCAGTAGCTCTGAACTTCACAAATTTGATGAAGAAAGCGAGGGAAGCCGCGACGGCTCGCAACAGTTTGCCAGCCCGACTGAGGGATCCGATACTTGCTCCACCCTACCCCAGCACGAGTTCCCGCCGAACACCATCACTTCCTCTACTGCAAAACCCTTTTTACCCTTCCATGTCGCCTCTACGATCTCCACTGTTGCCAAACTCGACATGCCTGAACCAAAACGAGAGCCTATCAAGGTAGCAGAGACTTTGAATCACAAACCTTCGGGTCCTAAGATGGATGAATACCCAAATGAATCGGGCAGTACGGTAGAGAAGATAGTCGATCACTATGCCAACCATACCCTCAACGGATTAAGCACACCTCGCGCTGCGACGAGGTGTGGGTTCAGGGGAGAGGAAACCCGTCCTGCGTACCGTCGTTACTTCCAGGACGGCCTGCCAGCATCGAATCCGCCTCAGGGTGGGCTGCCGGATATACCCCTTGGTCACTCGAGGTCTAGGTCAGTCCTCCAAGGCATTTATGAGAAGAGTTCGCCTATCACCGAGACAACTATTTCTAATTCGCAGCATCTTCTCGATGCTGAGGCGCAGGCAAGCGAGCTTCGGAGCGGTCCTAAGCCGATGGTACCTTCGCCGCTTCGACTTCCATTAGAGCGCAACCCGAGAGCTGGATTGCTTCACAGCGAGCAATTAAATAATACCGAGTCTTCCTTCAACGATATGACAACTAGTTCAAACAACGACCCTTTCAGATACGATCAGCGAAACAACTGGGCAGCTATTACACCTTGGAAGGAAAAGGAAATTAGCCAAGCTCTTAGACGGGTGAGTAAAGATGGAGGCCCCAGCGGAGCTACCATCTTCACTCCCGAGGGGAGCCCGCGTCCTGCGATCTGGCCAATACTAGATCCGGCGCTCAATCGCGCCGAGGTGGCCTTGAAAAGTAAACGTCCGGAGGGCCAGTTCTTTCACAAGGCTGCACTTCAGTCCGTCTTGCAAGCTGATAGTGGCGATACCCAGGAAGTTAAAATAATGATTGGAAGTCCACCAGAGCCACGTAGAAAGAGAGAGTTAAAACGCGATAGAGTTAGCGGATCAATCAAGGATTACATCCAGCCGGATGATCCCCCCGCTGGTTTGCCACTTAGAGATTCTACTGCCAATCAAACCTGGGTGACTGACGGCTATAGTGACATTATTAAGGTTGCAGGAAGTAGCATCGCAGACTATTCTGATGACGACGACGACGAACAGAACAGACCCAGCTTATGTGGTTCGAGCTGCGCTATCATTCAACACCCCCTCAGAGGCAACGATTCGGGACTATACGAGGTGCGAACACTAAAAGACGCTAAGAGATCTGTGCTTCTTCCAAAGACAAGATTATTTAAAGGCGGCACATTCCAAGACAATTCTTCCCGCTATTTCTCAGGCAGCACTTCCAAGAATACCGGCTTCAGCCAGCTACAACCTTTTACTCGAGGACTCTCGAACCCTTTTGGCAAAAAAGAGGCATCTCGAAACGTGAACCCCGAGGAAAAGTTTTCTCGAAATTTCATGCGAAACGGGCCATCAAAGTACGACTTTCGAGACTCTATCTCGGAATATAGTGCCCGTGGAAGCCGAGTCCTTTCAGGTATCTCATTCTGTGGCAGACATATAATCACGGATGTAAATGAGGTTGAATTGCAAGACTTCTCAAAGCGTATGAACGAAGACGAAATCCCCAAAATACCTGGCTTGGAAACTACTAGCAGCAAACAGCCGGAATTAGGCTCAACAGCAAGCGAGCAAGGCAAGGCACCAAGATACGAATCTCGTCTTGTAGATCGAGACTACCCGATCCGTTACGGCAACTGGTTCCAAGAGGAGAAAGATCAAGAGATAGCTACTCAGTCCTCATTTAACGCCTCGTTCAACGGAGAACTAATCTCTCCCCAATCTAAGTTCGAATTCGAGCTTCTTCCCCTTGACGAGGCACAGAGAAAGAATAAGCAGCAGCGAGAGAGCGGTGAGAAGGACGAGACTGAATCTCCATTAAGTCGAACTAATTTCACAATGACTTCTTGGACGAATCGTGGCCCTTCGGCTTCACCTGTACTTCAGCTTCCAAGGCCGGCTCATATTCCAAGCGGTCGGACAGCTCCTCATCTATCGCTTAACTTCAGCCCTTCGACCCACCAGTCTTCTAACGATGCATTCGAAGGTACGTTGTTGTATTTTACTATTTTACTATTGTAGAACTTCAGATTGACAAGAGTTAGACACCCCTACTCCATTCTCTGCTACGAGTCATCGCAGCTCGACCCCTACACCCGCCCGCCCAGCTCGAGCGTTGTTATATCACAACACGTCATCCGAGAGTCCTACTACCACTGGCACATTTAAGAAGCCAAAACGTTCGCTTCTAGGAAGATTTGTGCCTAGGATGTTCTCTTCAGAGGCGCGTAGCCGCAGGACCGTCTCCACTAACACGGTTATTCAAAACCCTACGTATAACGACAGCCGAATGAGCCTCGACGCTATAGAAGCTCTTAGAGAACCGAGCATCTCACGGTACGGTCGCATAAAGCGGGCTCAGTGGTTCACATTCATGGCGGTGATGTCCATAATTATCCCCTTCTTTGCGATTCTCGTCCTTACGGGAGCATTAAACAAGACATTGGTCTGGTATTCCAATGGGGAGGTGGGCCAGATTCGACTCAAGCAACGAACCTTTATCAAAGGCGTATTTCTCGCCCAAAATTGCATCTACGCCCTTGGTACTTCATGCCTTATCGCCGTTTTCGCCAGAATGCATTAGACTCTTATACGCAACGCGTCAGACCTATGTCCTTAGGCGACTTCAGGGATGTCTGTCACCGGTTAATATACCTATTGTCTAAAGCCACTCGTTTTAAATATGGCTCAGCCTAGGCCGTTTTCTTCCGTTTTACCTTCGCGCTATTCGCATTTTCGGATTAGCAACAGCTCCCCTAACTAACTCCATTCACTTCTGTCTCTGAGCACGAATCTAAATGGGACCTGGCCGAGGGGGAATTCTTTTGGGAACCACCTTAGCAATAATTAACTCAAACTTGTGTCACTACCTCTAGACAACTTGTCTTTACTTCCCAGGCCGGCTCGGGACCAACAGGACTACTTTTGTGCGAAGTTGGGCATTATTTCTCTACACATCCATTGACTTATCGCGATCGGTCAATCGACTCGCTACTTAATACGACGAGGATCTTGCTTGAATCTTCCGCTTTGGATCGGATGGCAGTTACTCACACTCTCCTTCAAATTGGATCAAAGAATGAATTATAAAACAGCACGTGGGCGGCCAGAAAAATCAATGGCCATCATATCACCTTCGTTAATCCACGGAAACAAAAATCGGCAGTCGGAAACCAGAAAAGTACGGATGGACGGACGTACTCACTTTGTTTTGTTTTTTTTTATAAGGAAAAAGAAAACCTTTGGTACTTGATGACACTAGCAGGAACGCGTGCGCTTATGCTGTAGATAGAAAACCTCAGATTCTCTACATATAACTTCTCCGCAAGCCGGGTTTGCGGGGCGGACGGACGGATGGATGTTGCTTTGCTCTATAGTCAATGTAATTGTGTGTTTGTGTTCTGTTCTTGTGTTCAATTAACTTGTTGCTTTTAGTTTTCGTTTCCGTCGGTGAAGTAATAAATGAAGTTGATGTGCTATGGTACGTAGGTTAGATTATGTAGGGTATGCAATCAATGTCGTGATGACGACCACACCTACCTACCTAGTACTGTATAACTCCTTTACTCTTGTCTAATATGAAATTGCATGCAGCCTTAATACTACCTAGGTACCTTAGGTACCTAGTTAATCAGCATCGTATCAATTTAATTTTCAAGAATTCCAAAACGAAGGAACAACAACATCATCCGTCTCTGACCAATTAACATTAATATTCGCCGCCTTACGTACCTAAAGTTAGGTGGAAAGTACGAGTGGCGATGGCGAACCCACCCTTGCGCGTCCCTATCGTCGTGGTTTGAAACGAGAATCGCCTCCCTATAGCGCAATGGTTGGTTTAAGGCGTAAGTAAGGTATTTTGTTTTCCGATGAGAAAAAATATAAATATTAAATGTAAATCTTACTGAAGCCTTGCTATTGAAGTTTAGCTTTTAAATTTTCCTTCAAGCCTTATTGAAAAAAGGGGTTTAGTAACTTTTATTCGTCGTTAAAAAGTTAGTTGTTTGGATAGATATGTAAGGTAAGGTTTATGTCACGTAGTGTACCTACATATAAGGCGTAATTGCTAGTTAGCAATTACGACGTCGTTTTTTGTTGATAGTTTAATTATTGATTTTTTTAGAATTCGATAGAGTAACGTTACAGGCAGATAAGGAACGAAATGTAAAAGGGAACAGAAAGTGGAAGATCTCTCATGTGAAACGGAACTCTAGTTTTATTTCGCTTGAAATACTTTAGACATCTCAATACCGTTATTGATGCAGCTGTAAGGTAGAACTCATATAAATTATGTTAATAATTAGTGTAAAAGATATTGTCGTCATTATCATATGTAAAACCCCTTTCTCTTTTTTCCTTAGATGCTCACTCATATACAAGGCCTTCGTCGAATCTAGGTTATCTGCGTCCTTCATTCGACACACTTTACTTCACTGTAACATTCTAGCATCCATAAGTCTTTATTATATATAGTATAGCCCTAAATTCTTTTCCATCATGACCCCCGACCTAATTTCAATACCTCCATACCAGGTACCTAACTCTAAGCTTCCCCGAACACGACTTTTCGGAGATGTTCCGTCTCGCCGCTCTGCTCGCACATGGCGCGGAACATACCCACACCACCTTCCTCATTGCCCTCTAGTTCCCATAATTCCTGTGGTGAGCCGTATTCAGCTACTTTGCCGTCGCTTAGTACGAGAATGCGGTCGAAGTCAGCGATTGTGCTCAGGCGGTGCGCTATGACCACCAGCGTGCTGTCGCCAAATTCCTCGCGGATACTGCGCTGTATCAGTGCGTCTGTGCTCATGTCTACGGCGCTCGTCGCCTCGTCCAAGACCATAACCTTCGGTCGCGAGACAATCGCTCTCGCGAGGCATAGAAGCTGACGCTGGCCCTGCGATAGGTTAAGACCACCCTCTGATATGGGCGAGCGCAGATTCCGGAAGATATTAGTGTTCTTTTTCCGGCCACTATTATTAGACACCGGGGTGGATGTCCCGCTAATTCCGGGTGTACCCGATACCGTTCCATTGCCGTTGATGTTCTCATATTCGCTCTCGGAGATAAGATGCACACGCGCTAGCGAGTCGAAAAGCTCGGCATCGGTATGATTATCAAACGGGTCGAGGTTTGAGCGCACGGTACCGCTGAATAGAACCGGATCCTGAGGAATGATAGCTAATCTACTACGTAGGTCATGTAATTTAATCTTGGAAATATCAAGCCCGTCAATGAGAATACTTCCTGATCGCGCCTCGAGGAAACGGAAGAGCGCGAGGGTCAGGGATGATTTTCCTGCACCGGTACGACCAACTACACCGACACGCTGGTTGCGCTCGATAGTGAAGCTGAGACCTTTAAGCACGGGTGGTAAATCTTCTGCGTAACTGATCACTAGGTTATCCACCTCGACACAGCCTTCTGTCGGCCAGGCTGCTGGAGGGCTTACACCCTCGAGACTTTCCGTTGGCAGTTCTGTATACTCAACAATTCGCTCCGCGGCATTCATTTCCAACTCGACGTTGGCGTAGTGGCGGATGGTCCACATGACGTGATCCGAGAATTCGAGCGCGAATGCCAACCCAAAGCCAGCGAGGGCCGCGTCTATCTCCGGGGCTATGAGAATGAGGGTAGCAACAAACGAAGCGAAGAAGCTTCCCACCACAGCCATTCGCCATCCCATCCAGCGAATGAACAACCAAAGATGCCAGGTCGCCACGGTCCAATCGTCTAGCTTTGTATACATTCGCTCAATATAGGTCTGGCTCTTATCGAATGATCTGATAGTCTGGACGCCAGTCAAGGCTGAACCAAATTGCTCGAACACTGGAGACTTCGTGACAGATTCGAGCCGCTTTACTGGTCTAGCCCCATGCAGATAACGAATCGCGTAGAACGCGCAGACAAGGAGAAGGAAGAACGCCAAGATAATAATCACAGGTGAGACAAACAAGCTCGCGACGATAACACCGATGAGATTGAGTAGTGCAGTGGCTGCAAATGCCAATGAGTATGCCATGTGGGTGTCGACTGAGTGGAAATCTGCTGTGAACCTGTTGAGGATCCTGCCTAGGGGGACAGTATCTAACCACCGCAGCGGCGCTCGAAGCACGACGAAGTTGAGCTTAGCAAAGAGCTGCCTTGAAGCGCGTACGGAGCCATGGAAAATATAATAGTAACGATACGTCGAGACAAGGGAAGTAAAAGTTGAGAGGAAGACGTATATGCCGAGGTAATATACCAGGCTCTTGCTTGACTCGATCGTAACCATAGGCCGGATCATGGTGGCCATGGTGAACTGTTGTACATTAAACTGGTAAGCAGATGCATGCTTGTGTGATTGCACTTGGATGTTCTGTTGATGCTCTTCGTCCGATGCGGTCCAGAGTCGTAGCCACCACGAACGTCCTATAGTTAGTGCTTCGACGAATAAGAACAAGACGACGACCATGGACCAAAACCACCAGGAACCGCTGTAATTCAGGTATGCCGCGTATACTTTTCCCTTGACTGCTCCCTTTTCGCGTGCTTCTTCTTCGACGAATTTACGTGCTTGTGCCCTCGAGAGAACCTTGACTAGAGACTCCCCATTAGGTTCGATATCCGTCTCAGATGTCTCTTCTGAGTTAATTGCAGTAGAGCCTTCGTCCTCCCGGATCTCCTGATCTGTTTGCTCGTGACTCTTAATCTGTTCCAAAGTTCCGGTTTGCTCCAGCTCCGAAACAAGCCCAGCGTTCAGCACTCGGCCATCTCCCAGTTCGACAAGGTACTTCGTCTTTGGTTCGCACAGAGCTACGTGGTGTGTGACTAGAATCCTTGTTCGTCCGACACTGAGCTCACCATTGAGGCACTTTTCAAAAATGTGACGGCCAACATGAGCATCGACAGCACTGAAGATGTCATCCAAAATGAGTATACCGGCACGGGAGTAGATAGCACGCGCAAGACTACATATACAGGTCAGTAATTACTTATAAAGAACGTAGGGGATAGAAGAATATTGCCAATGTGCCGACGTGGGCGCTCTTTTCATTAGCTCGTCAGCCAAGGACTAAGGGGTGACTTACGTGATTCTCCATTTCTGTCCACCGCTCAAGTTGATGCCGTTGGCTCCGATCTCTGTATTCTCCCCATCGCTGAACATTTCCATGTCCTTCGTTAGGGCACAGACTTCGATTGTCTTATTATACCGGTACGCATCATACGGCAATCCAAACAATATGTTTTCCTTCACAGTTGCATTTTCGATCCAAGGAATTTGCGCAACAAAGGCGACAGCACCAGGGATGATCCAATTGTCCCTATTGGCTTTCTGATCGTGACGCTGGGATGGGGCTCGAGGCACGCTGATAGATCCGGCCAGGATGTCGACTTCTCCTAGAATAGCTGCAAGCATCAAACTCTTTCCACTTCCGGTCCTTCCTGATATGACGGACAGTTCGCCCTTAGGGAAGGTAATATTAACATCACGTAAGACGAATCGATCAGGATCCTCATCGTCATCTTCCTGGTTATCAGAAGGCCAGGCGATTGACGCGTTGTCAAACGTAACCTCATCTGCTTCCTTAATGACCTTAGAAATCTCTGCGCTTCTTAGATAGGCGTCCATGCGCTTCACAGAGATCCAAGCGTCAACAAGGTCAGTAGTGAGTTCGGGGATAACAGACAGCGTCACTTCAAGCGCTTTAAACACACCAAGGCTGACAAAAGCGACTGACGGGGACAATGCGCCATACAGGGCTGCATAGACGGCGAGGGACACAGCAGCGAGCATGATCGGGCTTGTAATCCAACATCCAATAAGCATGACGTCGTTTACGAAGGCGCTCCAGACGCATGTTAATTCCCGTTCTCGAACATCGCCAATCTTTTTTTCCCATTGCGGCTCCAGTGCGGAGAACTTGATTTGGCGGATTCCCTGGAGAGCTTCAGAGACCACTTCCATTTTCTCATCCCGCACTTTCATCAAGCGGTCCTGGGCGTCCGAATATCGTTTTGAGAAGTAGATGTTAATAGGAGTGACAACCAACATAGTTGAGAAGCCCGCAAGAAGTGCCTTCCATCCTAGAAGTTCCGCTAGGAAGAGGAGCGATACGATTAGCTTCAAGAGGCTTCCTAGGAATGTGTTATTGAAGGCTGCAAAATCGGATACCCGCTTAGCATCAACCCCTATCAGATTTACAGTACTCTGCTTGCTCTTCTTAATCTGCTCGGCCTCGTCCTCTTCTTCAAAGTCTTCGAGCTGTAGTCTATTAATAGAAGCCTCTCCTATCGGTCCGGCAACGGTCGGCTCAGTCGATCCTGAGGCGGCGGCGGCCTTCTTCTGCTTGATACTAGCTTCTTTAACATCCTTACGTCTCATGGACTTTTGGAAGATGAGCGCCGACAATTGGGCACGAATTGGCACGCATATCTGGGCCCATGATAACCAGTAGATGTACGATTCAACCCATGATTGAACAAGGACAACTACAGCAATCAAGATAACCCAGACCCAGGCTTCACGACCGAGGCGTTCATTACCCTGGCGGTGCTCCAACAAGTTAAGTAATTGTAGGACAACCCACTGGGGAGCCACTTTAAGGAACGCAGTGAGAATAGTTAATATCCATTGAAGTGCGAAAACCCACTTGTGAGCAGCAATGATAGAAATCCAAAGCGGGCCGGTGAAATTCCTGCTTTCCCAATCAGCAGCGGTGTCCTTGGACCTTGTATAGTGGTCTGGTCTAGGTAGATCAGCCAGGTCAAGATTATTCTTCTTGGAGGCTTGGCGAAGGAGGTAACCAGGCCAGCTCCAGTTGAGCTTGCTCCATGCCGAAATGGTATACATCCTGTCAACAAGTTGCCCGTTATAGTATACATCAGGACGTCGAGGAATGGACAAACTGGCAACGGCTAAGCATACGGCCACAACTAATTCTACCACGCGTATAGAAAATACCCCAGTAGAATGTTGCTCTAATAGCAGCACGGCTACGTCGTTATCCTGGACAGTAAGAACAGCGGTGAGGACGACACATGAGAGGAAAGACCAAATGCCTAGATCGTAAGCGGCTACAGAGTCTCGGCTAGCTGCGACACAGATGACCTGCAAGGTTAAAAGGACCTGCGTCCACGTGTAAGTGTTGCGTCAGTAATCTGGCAGTTCCAAAGTTTCGTATGTGTAACGGTGAGCTTACCCAGATTATAACGGCCAACCAATTTGCTAGAAACAAGCCACTTTCTATGGCTTGCGTGCCCAACGTCGAGATCACAGCTAGTAATATCGACACACCAAAACCGATTAGCGAGAGAACCAACATCACGGCCTTGGGCACCTTGGTGCTGAAGGCCTTGACGGCCTCTGGCGTGCTTTTTCCATCCTTATCCTCATAGATTTCGGTCGTGCTTTTCGAACCACGACCACGCAGTCTACTCAGATTCAGGGCGGCAGGGATGGAGAGTATCGTAACGACCCCTAATCCAACACTCGAAGTCACGAGCACCACTGTCTCGTTATCAGACATGTTTGGTGATACGAAAGTTGCTTTCGGAGTTAAGGTCAGGATGTCGAAGCTAGCGGCTGGCGAAAGCGTTCCCGAATACACGCGACAAGAAGCGCGAAGCGGGACGAAAGCACAACCAGGCAAGACAAAACCAACACAATTTTTTAGAGTACTCAATCCAAATTGGGGGCCATCGGAATCCAAAGGGAAAAGAAGAAGAAAAAAAAAGATACTAGTTTTGGATGGTAATTTACTGGTAGTTAAGGTTGAAGATAATTTGAAGCTGCATCTTTCGGTGCGAGTAACAGAGGAATGAGAGAACAATGTGAGTGAGTCACATACCATTGGCTAATAAAGCACTGCTTAACAGAGTACAGTATCCCTTCGGTGCTCCCTGCACGGATTTGTTAGTAAACGCCTTTGCGGCTGGCCGGTTGACTCATGTGGGAAAGGGCCCTCTTTTCCACGACGGAGGAGACCCGGGAAGAGGGTACTGAACTATGAGAAGCCACCCTAATTGCCTTAATTGTAGCATCACTACCCCGGCAGCGAGTCCTAGACTGTCAAAGCCCCTTGCTACCACATGGATATGGCTACATGTGGCTACGTATGGCTACATATGGCTACGTATGTGACATGAGTAGCGAGCGGGTTCGGGGCGATAGGCCGATCCCGATTCGCCCGGGCTCATCCATCTGGGCGCGGTATGGTATCCATGGTGCAGCACCGTTATCCTGATCAGGACGATTATCGGTGTGAGCAATACGGCATCATACCTAACGGTGTAAAGAAGAGACAAGTGAAAGAGACGTGTCTTTGTTAATTAGCGGCTAGAACTAGACCTAAGCGGCGTCGTCTGACGAGTGTCCTGTAGTATAAGTATAACAAGAAGCAGCCCCGGTGGTGATGACGGTGGGGGTGTTTAAGGGACCCTCGTGCAGAAGGATCAAGTTAGTCGCATCTGAACCTACCTAAGCTTAGGTAGGTAGATCTAGAATCAGAAAGTGACCAAGAGTGGTACTGGTATCTAAGGGTATGGCCATATCGAGGTTGGCGGTGATAAATGGAGATTTATAAGGAATAAGGAACAGAACAGTTTTAGTACCTAACCTAAGGTAAATGAACGCCATGAAGTTGGGAAATTGCCAATTTGTGATAATTGAATACCTTGAATACCTTAGGTACCTATAGGTTATGTACTTAAACCATGCGCTTAATTGTACCCAATGAATATCCCAGACTTGTTACGACTTTTTACTCTCAAACGAACTCCTTCCAATAATTCTTCCATTGCATTAGCTCTCGTTCGCTTATAAGAGAAACTTGGTGCAGCAGATGATCAATCCCGAGCAAGATCTGTGTCAGCTTACTTACCTGCTACATTTTGTAGTTCGTCATGTATAATGTGCCTATGTGCCCAGAAGGAACTTTGTACATTATCACAAATCCCTTACGGCGTTAGCATAGTATGCGGCCCGTAGGTTATCATTTATCGAACCGGGGAATAATTACCTTCCTGCGACGCGGGGCACCACCACCTACCTTAGGTACCTAACACAACCAAACCTGCTGTGCCGTACCATAAATACTACATATATGGCTCATGCCCTGCCTCGAGTTCGTTTTTATCGAGTTTTATCATTTCTCCCGGACTCGGAGAGGCGTGGCAACTTCGAGTAACTAATCAAAGACAAATCCTACAATATAACAAAGGAAGACACCCCCCTTTACGGCGTATCCCGCCTATACGAACTGCGAATACAAGCCTACATCACTATAGTAGCTCGATATAACTTAGTATACGATAGCTCGGACCGGGGGCCATCACGTCAGATAATACTAAGACGAATCAAGAAGCTGCAATCGAGAATCTGCTGTCATTCGGCATCTCATATGTAAACTAATATGCAAAACGATATGCAAACGACACCGGCATATATTCGTCTGTTTGCTTGATACCGTATATTGCTGGTTTCAACCCTCTCGTCACTGATTGGCTTCCATATCTTATTTCCATGCACTGATCAGTTCTCGTTTCATAGATGTTCCCGATCAAATGATCTACCCCGGACTGGGAAGATAGAAAGCGTCGTAGTAGCCATTACTGATCCCTCCAGTCCCTATTGATATCGGTAAGGGTGGGATAGGTGAACGGCCAATAGCCGGTATTGCTCGGAGCTTTGCAACGCTCGCGGGTGCATGGGGTCGGTAGCATGGGACCCTATTCACCGCTCCTGCGGTTGGATCACGGATGACGGACCGCTCGCATTGTTTCTCTTTCGCCCATTGATCCTGCAAGTTTTATAAGCGGCCAATTGAGAGGGTCCCGTCGCAAATCATGCAACTTATACATGTTAGTGCTGACGAGGAATTCACCCAAGATCTTCTGCTCAGACCGCTAACCGTCAACCGCCAACTACTAAATTTTTCGAAATGCGGAGCCGCGACCGAACGCTCTCCGGTCTTTAAAATCACGAGGTTGGCCGTTTCAGGCCGCCACATACCCTCCAGAGGCTGGAGCAGCTTTTGACATTTTGACAGAGACGGAGACATGCAAGCGCTTTGACCTCGGCAATGCTAATTCTGAGAAGCGCATAGCAGTAATAATGTGTGAACCTCCAATTCGGAATCCCGTCAGCGTCAAGCAAGATGGTGTCCAGGACGTGTAAATCATGCCACTAGCGATGACGACGCTCGATATTCGTCGCATGTTATTCTTCATGGACAATTGCCGCTCGTTGAGTCGGCCCTGGGCTGATCATGGCCGTTTTATGAGATCATAAAGGACATCGCCGGTATCTACATCTAAGAATGATACTATTGACGAAAAAAAAAACACCGCAATATCAAGGGTTGTCAACCTCACGTGATAACTCAGAGCAGTTCGCAGGACAGTTTGATGTCTGTTTCACTTAACAGCTTATGGCCGGAAGCCCGCCAAGTACGCGTCAAGTAAACCAAGGATAAGGTAGCTGATCTACTATTCGACAATTTGCACATGAATAAGAAATCATGCTATCAACGGTCCAATATCCACTATATGCACTATATGCCGAAACATTTCTATTATCTCGATCTGGTCATAATATTCTTCATTAGTGCAGTACAAAAAGGGAGACTCATAAGAACATTGAACTTTATAGGTAGGTACCTACCTGGTATACATTATGAGACATCTTATCAATTAAGTTGGTTATGATTCACATATCCCCTTTTTTTTCTTGACACATATATATTGTCACTTAATAGTCTACTATGTACGATGAGTGTAGTACCTTACGGGGATCCGCGGGAACCAGTAAACCGTGTATATACGGTTTGAAATTTTTAACCGATATAATACAATTAAATTTGTTAAAATATTTCAAATACTAGACGTTGATGTTTCTCAACGTCTACAGGTATTTTGATATTTAATCGTATTTAAATATTTAGAAAATATGAAAGCGTTTATCTTAAGTGAAGCGTTTGAGTATGGTTTATTTTTAAGATAAGCGTTTGAATATCTAAGGTCTTATTATGTAAGAGCCTCTTCCAAGAGGTAAGAGCCTTTTCCAAGAGGAAGCTACGATACCTTCCCTACCTACCTTGATATATTAAAATAAGGTAGCTTCTCGTACGCGCGTGTAACGTAATTCGTAATTCGTAATAGCCACTGTGGTCAAGGTAGTAGATGCATGCTTAGAAGTAAACCACGTAGAAGTAAACCACACACAAGTAAACCACCACACAAGTAAACATGTAAACGTACAAATAAACCACCATATAAAGTAATAGTTCGAATCTAAGGCTACTTGATTTTTTTGATTTTTTTTCAATTCAACTTAGCTATCGCTACTGCTACTGCTACTGTTACTGCTATTACTATTACTTACCTTCCTACTTTACTGCAGCTAAACCGTAACCTAATGGTTTATATTACCTAAACGTCACATGATTTAAGCGTTTGAAAAATTCTCAAACGTTTGAGAATGTAAACGTTTATATGTATATGCGTTTATTTTTATTTTTTAAATGTTAAAACGCCTTTAAATATTTATATTTTTGAACGCTCGATCAGCTATTCAGGAATTTTTAAGCGTTTATTTTTTTCGTACTGTAATGCAACGGTCATAACACGGTTTACTGGGATCGTTAGATGCTGGTATGGTATCCAGATACCAAAACAGATAGCGGCGTGGGTGAGTTGATCCCAAATTCGACTATATAATTGGCTCTAATTGGCTCCGCGGAACAAACGCGCCTAGACGCGTATATGGGGGTGTCGTTTGCACCCCGTAAATTACTACCGTACGTAAGGTACTAGTAGTTCCTCAGTACCTCGCATGCACAATATCGATAGACAAGTGTCCAAGTTATGTAAATCATTTATGCATACCTCTAGGTACTAATCTCTTAGATATTTTATCTAATATAGGCCGAGTTACCTACTTGGATTGTATCACCCGCCACCAGATTCTTATCAGACAGCTATCTAGGTACCTGGTATTGTACGGTTATCAGCTAATAGCCCTAAAAATCTGTCCAAACGGGTCGCGACCAACAATAAAAGGCACCCCAATAATCCCTGCAAAACCACTAATGCCACTAATGTCACTAATGTCACTAATGTCCCTCGCTGCAACAGTATACGTACAGCTGTGAAGTTCAACCTCACCTTTAGCCAATGCTCGAACCTTCGCATTTCAAAAACGCCAATCATTCACAACTTCGATCCATCCACTCCATCAATCCACTTTGCCTACCCACGCGTTGCGAAGCCTTATTACTTTTCTTTAGATTCAATCTAGGCATTACCCTCAAAGGCGACCACTTTGAATCTGTTAATACAGGTCAAGTATTTACCTACCTCAATTAATTAATATCAATCATCATTTCTTTCTCTGTCGCCCTGCAATCTCCAATCTCCAATCTCCAAGATCAATTCGAAGCAGCCTTGTCGTCTCCCTTACAGCTTACAGTTGGAATTACACCTCGAGCATTCTGTGAGCATTTCGCATCGCGGTCGAATACGTTATATAATCTCATGTCCCGAATGGAACCGTCACCATGAGGTCAACTCCTTTGATCATCAATTGGCACGATAAAAATGCCCCAATCTATTCCGCCCACTTCGAATCTCAACATGGCAAGGGAAGGCTAGCTACAGGAGGAGGAGATAATAACGTGCGTATCTGGAAAGTTGATGGTGAGGGTGAAGAACGTAGGGTCGAGTATCTCTCAACTCTCGCCAAGCATACCCAAGCTGTCAATGTCGTCCGCTGGGCACCCAAAGGCGAGACTCTCGCTTCTGCTGGAGATGACGGCAACGTGATCCTATGGGTTCCTAGCGAAAGCCACAACCCAGCTACATTTGGAAACGAGGGCCTCGAAGACAAAGAAACATGGCGTACCAAGCATATGTTCCGACCAACCGGTTCGGAAATATATGACCTAGCCTGGTCTCCCGATGCTACCTATTTTATTATTGGGAGCATGGACAATGTCGCTCGAATTTATAACGCCGGTACAGGTTCGTAGTCAGATGCCACCCTGACATATCTTCTGTCCAGCTGACTTACTCGTCTATAGGTGTTCTCATACGACAGATCGCTGAACATAGTCACTACGTGCAAGGTGTCGCATGGGATCCCCTTAATGAATATATCGCAACCCAGTCATCAGACCGATCCGTCCACATCTATTCCCTCAAGACTAAGGATGGACAATACGCGCTTACCAGCCACGACGAAAAGACGCCCAAGGTTGCTAGTCACGCCAAAGCAGATCTACCTCCAAGCAGACGTATCTCATCCAACAGCCCTGCACCATCAGATATTGGCTACCGAAGTCAGCTTGCAGCTGCAATTGACACACCTAGCGCTTCCATAGGGTCGCCAGTGCTATCTGCACCGGGAACGCCTCAGTCTGTTCCCTTACCAATGAATCCCCCGAGTGTGGTTAGCCACAGTAGGCGCTCTTCATTTTCATCCCGAAGATCCGCATCCCCAGCACCGTCACTGCCTCTACCTGCAGTGATGCCCATCGAGCCATCTCCAAAACTTAACCATAGTCTTAGCATAGGGGTCAAGAATGCAAGTCTCTATGCCAGTGAAACTCTTACGTCTTTCTTTAGACGCCTAGCATTCACTCCGGATGGCAGCCTGCTTCTGACCCCCGCTGGCCAGTTCCAAATGCAACATTCAGCAGACGGTCTTAAACCTTCATATGAAGTCATCAACACCGTCTACATCTACACCCGAGGCGGCATAAACAAGCCACCTATTGCTCATCTTCCAGGCCTGAAGAAGCCTTCAGTAGCCGTCAAGTGTTCACCTATAATATATACGCTTCGACAATCTCCGCCAGTTACGAAACACATAACTATTGATACTTCTTCGGCAGAAGATCCTATTCCTGCTCTCCCCGAGCCTATCTCCAAACCGTTACCTGCCGTAATGGATCCCCCACCTCCACCCCCAACGTCTTCGGCGCCAGATCCCGAAAAAGAAAGATTGTCTACACCGTCTAGGCATCTAAATCTAGAAACCGGCCCGATTACTCCTGGGCCTAAGCCAACCTTTGCGCTACCGTACCGCATGGTGTACGCCGTAGCAACCCAAGACTCCGTTCTCCTCTATGATACCCAACAGACTACACCAATCTGCGTTGTTAGCAATTTGCATCTTGCTACATTTACTGATCTTACATGGTATGTCCTGTCCACACTTGAAATGTATTGCCCTATCTAACTCGCCTCCAGGTCGAGTGACGGTTCAACGCTACTCATATCTTCATCCGATGGTTTCTGTTCGACGCTATCATTTACACCTGGTGAGCTAGGTCAGGAGTACAAGGGTGACCTTATGGGCCCAAAGATTGCTGCGGCTGCAACTACCGCAGCTACGGCCACCGCTGCTAGCACAGGCCCTCCTTCAAATCAGCCTACACCGTTGCCTACACCAACATCCGTCTTTGCGCCACCATCACCCTTCCCTAGCCACCAGCATCGTAACTCAGCTACTTCTTTTGCAGCTCCATCTCCTCCCGCTACAACATCATTTGTGAGCGCACGGCCTTCATCGCCTGCTCGATCAAACTCTACATCCTCAATCGCAACCCAAATCTCCGTTATGAATAACCCACCTCTCATCGGTGGAAGTATACCCAGCATCGCCGCCACCAATTCCGCCAAGGTAACAGGGGTTCCAATCGCGACTCCTCCTGAAACACCTGGAAACGGTGGTAATATTGCTGCTGGTGTCAAGCGAGAAGCCAGCGAAAACGAAAAGGACGAGTCGTCGGGCGGTCAACCCAAAAAGCGAAGAATTGCCCCAACTCCGGTAACAGAGCCTAAGATCTAAAGAGCAATTATAATTTGCGGGTAATGGGACTAATGTAACAACGTCTGTCAATACTCTACCAGGTCTATCGACAGACTAATCGTTGGAGTTGAGGGAAATTTGGGCTGAGACATATATGCTATGTTTCTTTTGGGGGTTTGTTTGCTGGTTAGGAAAAAAAGAGACGCTACTTGGTCATCATTGATACGCCCCTTTCGCTGTAGCGAATCCTTTTTTTTTTTTTTTTTTTTTTTTTTTTTTTTGTGAAATGTCCCTTGTGTTCGGGAGGACGGTGTCAGTACGTAAATGAGCAAGTGAGTGCGTGGGTGAATGAAAGGATTTGGCATGGCCACTGGAGTTAGGATTAAATACCTAGGCAAATGGTGTTACAACTACGAAACCTGTGTTAATACTTGTGTTAATATCTGTCCTTTGAGCTCTTTTCCCCTGTTGAGTATATGTTGTGATATGTTGACAGATAGTTAAGCCTGTTTTGTCATTTTTTTTAGTTACCGATATAACTATGTGATCTAAGACTGACTAGTTATATAATATGAAACTGATGGTATTCATGCTTTTATATTCCCATGCGAATCTTAATTCCAACATAGGAAAATGTTAGTGGAAGGTTGTTGGAGAGAGAGGAACTTCAGAACATATGAAAACGGGAATTCACACCCAGCTACCTACTTGAAAGCTAGTAATTTCCTGTCAGTCACTGCTACTGTATTAGGTTAGAGGGTTCAGAGTACATATATGGCGACAGCCTCTATTACAACTATAGCATGGAAGGTTACAGAATCCCTATTATGTCGAAATACGTGTTTCGGTCCTCCAGTTCACGGCGGATTAGGTACCTCTCAACAGTCTACTGGACTGTGGCGATGTCTCATGAACACCAGGACTGCTCTTCGCCTTTCTGGCGCTGAAGAGACCTCCTGGGTTTCTCCGCGAAGGCTCGGATTACTTCGCCAAAACTGTCTCGAGCATCGTTGATTATTCGGGTAGCTCCATGTGCCACGGGATAGGTGCGAACTTACCTAGCGTATCGACACATGCTTGCCACTCGGAAGACCCCAGGGGATGCATACCGCGACTGACATACTGTCGTAGTCTGGCGCGAACTCGAGCACCGCATCGCGGAAGTAATCTAGGAGTCCAAGATCCCCCCCCTCCGAGGCCCCCACTACGTTGGCGGTCCGCTAAACCGCACAAGACAGTGCTCTTCCACCTTAGGGACCTCCTGGCTGATGCATGCATGCTATCCAGTATTTTGCTTCCCAACTAAAGTCTTTCGCGACTGAAATCGAGGCCTAGGGAGAGTCTGTAGTAATATCGCATGCCCTTCACGACTGCATGGTCGGGTTTCAAAACGACATCGACGCGAGCAAGCATGCATACCTACTTCTACACAGCTTTCAAATCATCCGAGATAGACGACCGTACGTCCGATTCGATCCAACCCTTGAAAGTCCTTACTTTGCATCCCCCACTCACGACCATCGAGCATGAAATTTGATGGGTTCATCTCCTACAACTATTGTTCAGACAGTAGTAGTATGGTAGTATATCACGATCTCCCTTTTGAAGCTTTCATTTGTTCAAGGTATATGTGGAGTATTAAGTATACTTGTGTCCTTCTGGCAACTTGAAGACGTAGGAAATGGGCGAGGTAATGCTCGTCTACGGGTTTACGGCGGACCCAGTTCCCGTTCGAGGAGGCTTAGAAGTATGTACCTAGGGTAACATAGCGGGTAGGTGAGGTGAGTTGGCCGTAGGTAAGTCTCATTCAGTCTAGTACGTAGCTGCAGCCCGGCAACGTCAACGTAGCTCGTGGTTGTGGGGGCGGTTGTTGTAAGTGAACATTTTTGGAGCATACTTTCATACGAAACCACACCTGGTGTCTAAGAAGGTAGTTTTCAAGCAAGGCGTAGATCTAAACTAACGCTTTAATTTCAGATCCTATTAGTTAATATTTGGGTACAACTAACAAGGTAGCAGGTATCTAATATCCAAACAATTAACTTACATATTGTAGAAGCCCATAATCTGACGCCCTATGTTAGCGGCTTAGTTGGACAATACCGTACATAATCTTTTAGTGTGATAAAAGATCCGCCGAGCCCCAATTCAGAACGGGTACCGTACACTACTATCATTGTCAACTAAGCTTGCTAAGCTATCCGAGTGGTTTATGCAGTGTGGTGTATAGATTCCAAGAAAAGAAAGAATAATAGACCTGTTGCTGCTGCTTGCTGAGCGGAGTAAACGGCCTGACCTAGTGATTATACCTATTACCTATTAGGTAGGTATCTATTATATACCGAAGCGGAGATCCAGTAGTTATGTTATTAGTGTACCGGTATGTGTCATAAAGCCTTGGGTCTTTTACCTCTAGACCCACCATCTGTGTTTATTTTTTATTTTCATTTTTTCCCCTTCGTGCGTAGTGTGGTATTTTGCGTGTTGTCAGGGTCTTACTGTGAATGGCTAAGCTCTGCATACTCTGGCACCTTCCACCCACCTTTCTCCTCCCTTGAGAATCTCGCGATGAGCTCGGGAATACGAAGAAAGCAGAGCAAGCCCGCAATGAAATGAATTAACATGATGCCCCACCGCGATTCGGGCATGCCTAATCGGACCAGGCCTGGCTGTATATCCTGGATCACGTCGACGAAGGGCCGAAGTTTCTCGTCGTAGCTCGCAAAGGCTTGGGGCAGGTTGTCGGGACTCCGATTGATTTCGCCAGCTAGGACGTAGGCGCCGACGAGAGCTCCCGTAGTTCCCATACCGCTGAAAGGAGACGCACAGTGTGCTGCGTCGCCAAGGAGTACAACACGGCCTTTGGACCATGTATTCGTGCAGACTTGAAGGGCTTCCTGGCAGTAGAAGTTCTCCGCGGTCTTCATACCTTCAAGAAACCGGTCAGTCTGCCATCCCGCACCGCGGAATCTTTGCGTCCAGAACTCCTTCTGCTGTTCCACGGGGGCTCTTGGAAGGCTACGTAGCTCTGGCGAGTCGTCTTTTAGGAAGAGATAAACTTGTGTTTCAGTGGAGTTGTGAGTCCGGCGGAAGATCATGCGGCCGCCGGGAGCTAGATACGTCCTGCGGATATTAGTATCCCCTTCTTCACGAGGTATAAACCAATACGCTATGTATATACCAATTCGTCTGTAAGGTTCCGATGTGTCAGATGGTAGGATAGCTCTTCTAATACGCGACCCCTGGCCGTCCGCCCCGACTAGGAGGTCAAACGTGTCGGATGATCCATCAGAGAAATGAGCAGTAACTTGTTTCTCGTCCTGCTCGAAGCTCTCTACTGTCTTTCCAAAGACGTACTCTACATGATATTTGGTCGTATCGTAGAGCAGGCGTACGATATCTCCGCGCATGATCTCATATTCAGAGGTCAGAGATTGGGCACCTTTGCCAGAGGTGTTGGCCACTGCAACATTGTTAGTGAATGGCTAATTTTCCGATTCAGAAACCCAATAATTTTGGTACGTCTCCGGGGTAAGAACTCATCATTCAGCTCGACAGGGACCTTCTGCTGGGTTCCGAGAGTACCGGTCCGCGGAACTAGCCAAGAAAAAGGGGTGGGGGCAAGAAACTCTCAAAGTTACATACTGACGGTTCCCTTGATCCTCCCTTCAGAATCTACAAAGGACACACCCGCTTCGTCCACACGTATATTGCGTATTTCTTCGAGAAGCCCCATACGCTTTGCCATCTCGATACCCTGAGCGCGGAGGTCAATTTGGGCGCCTGTGGCCCTGAGGGCGGGAAAGCGTTCAACGACTACCACGTGGTGATGACTTCTGCGGCCAAGCCAGAATGCAAGGGCCGGCCCCGCAATGCCACCGCCAGAAACGAGAATTTTCAGGGGTGCCATTTTATAAAGTGTTGACTGACTCGCGGGTATTATTCGTATATATTAGTTATATTTGTATACGTCAGTACGTACTAATCTAACACTAAATGGATTTTTTTTTTTTTAAAAAAAAAAAGGAAACAGGAGTATATTACAAATATCCTCATCTCTTCATAAATAGTTTAGAAAGTTACTGAGAGTGACTCATAAAATTATAAGTAATAGCATTTTGTATGAAGAAACAGGTCGGTTCGAAATGCTCGAAATTCGGATAGGAGTCCGGACAGCAGGACCGAGTCCGATTCCTTGCTCCCGAGTCATGAAGTGGAGTCATGAGATGGTCTGTGCATACCACCTTGATCTGAGATTCTAAAATACGCATACGCATACGCCGTATTTTATGATGATATAATACGCTTATTAGTAGATAAAGTTGCTCTAGGCACGGAATTGTTTTAATTGGGGTACCTGGACAAGGTAACATTGAACAACATTGCTGTAGTTGTAGTTGCAATTGCAGTTGTAATGAGTTATTATTGGAGTAGTAAAAACTTACCCTTTTTTATCTCGCACAACTGCAATTAAATGCACGACTGCAGATTCGGAAGGTGTACATGAATAGAAATATACAGTGGTCTGATTCTGAAACGACACACGGCATCAGCAAGTTCCTCTGTGGATAAGATAAAAAAAAGCATGATAGGCAATATTAACTTTATTCGAAAAGCTAAAAGCCTAATAACTTTATTAACCCCTATTAACCTAAGCGCCTTAGGTATATATGACAAATACCATTAGAGGTTAGGCACGTAGTACACCTGTGTGATGACTGGTCTTTCCCCGGATAGTTCGGACGATAGTAAGGCTTTGTGATGTATAGTATCCGTGTATTGTACCTAGGTACCTAGGTAGGTCAATACCTATTATGCAACATGTACCCAGCCACCCGGCTCGGCGATCGCCAGCCATAGGCGTTCACTAGTGATGGTACCTATGCAAGGAACCACAGTACTTCCGCATTAGCGGCTTGGACACCGTAGATCCTACATCAGGCAAGATGAAATAAGGTATCTATGTCTTTAGCGTAGGTAGTTACCTATCTCAAGTTTTTCTTTTCGTTCGGTAGCATTCGGCATGCACAACAAAACCGTAGGACTTTATATGTATTGCCCCGTACAACTCTACTTCGTACACTAATAATACGTACAACCAAACGAGAACACAATAAAAGAAAACAATAAAAGAAAACAATAGTAATAATAATGATGACAACAGCAACAACAACAACAACACACTTCGGAACTAAACTACGCCCCATTGATGAGGCCACCAGTCTGGCATTGGCATGTGCATACATAGTACATAGTAGTAGTCCCCAAGAAGATGAAGAGCTAAGATTGGCTGTAATAGCTCTAAGCAACGGTTATGACGGCTCGCGGCTGATGGAGGCTTGGGAGTGGATGTAAGACTTTTCCTAATTTGGTAACAGGGTAAGGCACCTTGATGCTTTTTTTGTCTCTCTTCCAATTCATTCATGGCTTCCGGGGGCTGACACAATCTCCTAGGAATCTCTCTTATCCCGCTTTTTTCTTATTCCTTAAGAGAGTAGGTGAAGACGAAGACGAAGAATAAGAATAAGAAGAACCCCGTTAAGTATAACTAAACCCCAACACGTCATTGATCAACTCTCTTCTTCTTTTTCTTCTTCTTATTATTAACCATCGTTTCTTATTTTCTTACTTGTTTTCTCTTCTTCCCGTAAAGAGAGAAAGAAAGTCTTCTCTTCGAATTTGATATACATCCCCCCCGGGGCTCCTTTAAGGAAAGACTATGCATATCCTTCCTTTGCCCCTACTCTCGCTTATCTCGGCGGTCCTCGCGTCGCCAACCGGAAATAGCGATGGCTCTCCCTATTCGGCCGTCGAAGTTCGAGATATTTTGATAGGCCGTGCATCTCCGGATAACCCGTCCGGTAGCTACGCGCCCGCTATCGTCGACTGCCCGCGTCAACGGCCGACCATCCGAAATGCCGGTTCTCTTTCTCAGTCAGAGCGAGATTGGTTACAGAACCGCAGAGCTAAAACTATCGATCCCATGCTGAAATTTTTGAAGCTGGCAAACTTAACTGATTTCGATGCCGTCAGCTATGTTTCTTCTAACTCCAAGAACTTTTCCATTGTGCCTAACATCGGCATTGCCGTCTCAGGCGGTGGCTACCGTGCTCTTATGAATGGAGCCGGTTTCGTTGCCGCAGCTGACAGCCGTACTCCGGGTTCAACTGATGCTGGTGGTATCGGCGGTCTTCTACAGAGTGCCACGTACCTAGCAGGTCTGTCGGGTGGCGGATGGTTGGTTGGCTCCATCTTCGCCAACAACTTTTCTAGTGTCGTCCAGCTTCGTGACGGCTACGAAGGCTCTAACCTATGGCAGTTCTCTAATAACATCTTCACGGGGCCTAAAGGCAAGGGCATTTCCGTCTTCAACACTGTCGGATATTGGGATGATGTTAAGGACCAGGTCGATGCTAAGAGGGATGCCGGATATGATGCTTCTATCACCGATTATTGGGGGCGGGCTCTTTCGTATCAGTTGATTAACGCGCCAGATGGCGGGCCGGCGTATACCTTTTCGTCCATCGCTGACACCCCTAACTTTTCCTCCGCCGATACTCCCATGCCGATCCTAGTAGGCGATGAGCGTAGACCGAACACCCAAGTAGTCTCTTTAAACTCGACAGTTATCGAGTTTAACCCCTGGGAGATCGGATCGCATGACCCGACTATCTTTGGCTTCGCTCCTACTCGTTATGTCGGTTCTAACTTTACTGGCGGTGTCGTGCCCAACAACGGCCGCTGCGTCCGCGGATTTGACGCGTTTAGTTTTGTCATGGGAACTAGTAGCTCGCTTTTCAACGGTTTTCTGTTACAGAATCTTACGTCCCCGGATGTGCCTAAGGTCGTAACCGATGCGCTCAGATCTATAGCAACTAGTATCGGCAATGACAACAACGATATCGCCGCTTGGACCCCGAACCCCTTCTACGGCTACCACAATGCCACCAACGCCAACCACGGCGATAAGCAGCTGACTCTCGTCGACGGCGGCATGGACTTGCAGAACATTCCGCTGCACCCCCTGATCCAGCCGGTGCGCAATGTCGACGTTATCTTTGCGGTTGACTCGTCTGCCGACACCGAGACCAGCTTCCCGAACGGTACCGCGCTGCGTGCCACCTATGAGCGCAGCAAGACGGAAATCTCCAACGGAACCGCCTTCCCCGCCGTCCCGGATGCCGAGACCTTCATCAACCTAGGCTTGAACAAGAAGCCGACCTTCTTCGGCTGCAATACGACCGAGTTCGCCAACGCGAACCACATCCCGCCCCTAGTCGTGTACATGCCCAACGCCCCGTACACCTTCCACAGCAACGTGTCGACGTTCGACCCGCAGTACTCGGACGAGGAGCGCAACTCGATCATCAAGAACGGCTACAACGTGGCGACGATGGGCAACGGCACCCTCGACGCGCAGTGGCCGGCGTGCGTCGCCTGCGCCGTCCTGCGCCGCAGCCTCGAGCGCACCAGCACGAGCTTCAGCGCCACCTGCCAGGCGTGCTTCTCCCGCTACTGCTGGAACGGCACCACCGACAGCCGGCCCGTCGGCGTCTACAGCCCCGAGTCCATCCTCGCGCTCGACCAGAGCAGCTTCGCCCTCAGCGCCAAGGGCCGCGCCGCGACGGGCTTGGCCTACGGCGTCTTTGGAATCGTCGCTGTTGTTCTTGCATTATAAGCTACCTAAGCTACCTGATGTAAGCTAAACTAGGGGGGGCTAGGAGACTAAGGACTAAGGATTAGGTATAACTGAATTCAGGATACGAAAGGGGAGGACTAAGCATTGTTCTTGAATTCAAATTCCTCTAAGCTTATTTACTTCTATTACGTTTTTTTTTCCTTCTTTGGTAGACGAGGCTTGGAAAATTTCCTACTATAAGCAGGGTTATATTAAGACATGACAAGGCAAAACAGGGCGATACAAGACATATAGGCGTACCTAGTAAAGGAGACAATAGTTAATAGGTTAGGCAGAATTGTCTGTCTGTATAGATGGCGGGAACACCATATCCCCATCGTCTAGTATAGAGAGAGAAAGAGGAGAGTCGATTCTTCATTTTCTGAATATCAACAAAATATTTTTTACTTGTCCAGTCTACAGTCCAATCTCTCTACCTAACCTATACCTAACCTAGTAACCCTATCGCCGAAAAAAAAGAAAAACGAAAAAGACTGACGAGATGGAATCCGTCCCGCATTTCCTCTACATAGTTACTACTACCTAACTTACCTACCTAGGTAATTACCCTTTTCTCTTTTCTCCTTTATTACTCGCAAATCCAATCTGTTCCTCATGAACAACTCCGCAGCTAACAAAAGGGGTTCCTAGGACGGGACGCATCATATTCTAGGTACGTTTTACCAAACCCGCACGGAGCTTTCCCCTTATTGCCAATCAACGGAGCCACTATCGATTCTGCAGCCCTATAGGCAGACCTTTGCTCGCCAGCCAGCTAACCAGCCAGCTAACTCGGCACGATACCCTCCCTACCAGATATAAATCCTTCCCGCTGGAACCCTCATATACATAGCGAGCGCCGCACTAGCGGACTCGCAGAGCCAACAAGCGGATAGATACCTAGCTAACTAACTAACTACTTCGGACCCCATCGTCCCACGGCCCAAGCCTCGCGCACGATCGATAGGTTATAGGATACGGAACACGCAGTCCCAAGATGGCATAAGTATTGGTTCGGCGATATTGAGACAGCTGGGACCAGTGTAGTGTAGCGTAAAAATCAAGAGAGGGAAGTTATTCCTCTCTCTCTCTTTCTATATGCTCCCGGTGGAATGAAAACAAAAAGACAGACAGGACAGAACAGAAACACCCAGCCCCCGTAGGGTGGACGGCGGAGACGAAGCCAATGGACTCTTGACACCGGACTTAGATGGAGAGGAGAAAACGAGCCACTTGTATGTACGCGTGTGTTTGTATATGTATGTCCCAGGCGTTAGGCAAATATCTATCCACGTAACGCGAGTGGGGAGAAGGGGGAGGTAGAGTGACTACCTGCTTGCTGGATAGTAACACATACATCCTCGCTTAGTTTCTCTTGAAGCATTTTGAGCCTAGCGCTATGGAGCATCACGATACATCGCATTGTATGAAAGGGGACGGGCGGCCAGCTATACGGGTGGGCAAGGTAGATAGGGTAAGGCAGCAACGGCCTTGGCTGACCCGCGCGGGCGTAAGCAACGCAGCGACAGCCCAAGGAGAGGGGGATATGATACGTACGCCACAAGCATCGACATAGTTGGCAAGCTAAGCTTCTCCCCCTCCCACTTGCACTCCTAGGAGACGAGGGCGAGTGCCTCGGTAGAACAGAGGAGAGGAATATATGGCTCTGACAGGTTCCCGGTCAGCGTCCCATAATAGCAGACAGTGATCAGCGTCGCATCGGGAAGCCGCTCGTCGTAATTGGTCTGTTGACGGATATACGATCCATATAATCATTATGCTTAGACGATTTCGTTACACACGTTGTTCTAGCGAGGGTTACCTTAAGTTCAGCCAGCAAGGGGAGTCTATTCTGTACGAACGGCGGCTCAGCGTGGGTTTTTGACGAACCAGCGCCGTCTTCATAGACCCCATAGTCTCCCTTGATCAGCGAGAGGACGCCTCGGTGGACATCTAAATGTTAGGGTCACCGGTGTTTCATGGAGAGAGAGCTATGTAGTACCAGAGGGACTGAGCACGACTCAAAAAATGCTCACCCCCCAGCGTCTGTCCATGGAAACCCCTTGTAATAACGTGACGCCTACCTGTCAAGCCCTTAGACAACCGACAGAAGCGTTGGGTTGGACTGAAGATGACGGCGCTGGGTCACCGGTACGACGCTCCCTAGGCCATCGACACCGTAGACCTAGTTCTCCAACAAGGACGATAGATAGGCATCCAACCATAACTGACCTGGTGGGCACGGATATAAGGGCCACGCAGAAAGCTTACCGGAGTATTTTTCAGAATATTGACCGTAGCTTCTGCTGACGAAGATAAGAATTACAACTCACGAGAACGATCAAACGTGATATTGTCGATTTATCGGAGGAGATAAATGGTCTCCTACGGCGCATCTAAGAAAAGCGCGTTTATAAGAGTTTAGGAGTATATAGAGAAAATATCGCGGAATAGCTAGTTTTCTCGTAGAGTAGGGTACGGCGCGGAAAGGTCCGGAAAGGACAAGCTGAATATCAGACCGTTTAGGGTTGGTTGTTTATTTCTCGAATTTGCTGTCCTCGTCACGCCTTTATTGGCGCAGCAGGTGACTACTTATCAACATGCGAGGCCGTTTCTAGCCAATAGCGTCGTGACAGATGATTCGAGTGCCCAATGTACACGAATAACTGAGTTGCTAATTTTCCTACTACGGAGAGCTGCACTCCAGACGATCCAGACAATCCAAACAGCGACCCTAGGTTTTGATGCTGCTGCATGCTAGTAGCAAGGGCCGATATATTGAGCTTGATTAGTAGCGATCGGATTTGTTTCCGATAGACTGATCTCATAGCTATTTCAAGGGTCTAATTTGTAGAACGATTTGAGACGGGAGCCGCTTCGTCAGGAAACTCTCAGCGAGATCCATCCTGGATCGGACATCGAGGCAATTCTACCGGACGTCGTCCATTGCGGGGGGGGATATTAAATACTTATGACGAACCTAGAAACATCCGTTAATCCTTTTAAATTGGCCCCCCCAAATACCTGGTGTTGCTATTTTACTGGACATGCCAGCGGGGGGATGCTATATACTATTCCAGCCACAAGCATAATGGGGTCCTGGAACGGCCCTTGGTTCCCCATGCAGGAGTTTTGATTGGTATTGTTACCAGGAGGAATAGGTAATAAATTTTTTTTACCCTTTCGCGGCCCCTAGTTCTGGTGCGGAGGTAAGTCTTGCCAAGAATTCCAACATACCAGGCTTACGGTCCCCACGAAGGACATGATTGCAAAGGCCTTTTTTTACCCTATTAAATTGCGTCTCATCCAGCTCGGAGGTTCGGTGAGGGATGCCGAAAGGCCCCCTCCGTCCAGTCACCTTCTACCGACCTTCCAGAAGCGGCGGGAAATAGTATATAAAGTGGTAATGTACCAAAGAGGCGACGTAGACATGCAGGACACTGTGACCGAAGGAGATACCAGGGCTGAGGATGCGCGATAGGCTTCTGCTGCACTTCGAGTTGTGCAGATCGAAGGCGCCGAGTTATGCCTTCGGTAATATCTACCATACGGTAAAGGAGGGGAACACGACGGAAAGGGGGGGATTGGACCGTGTCTGACCGAAGGGACCACCAGCCCAGCCCAGCCACCGAGAAGGGTGCGGGAAAGGTGAAGAGGAACACCTACCCCTAGACGCGGATCGGTATGAGGGTGACACAAAATCTTCGTTCAGCCGTATGCCGAAGAGATTGGATAGACATGGATAAGTAGGTAAGGACGAGATAGAGATTGGCCACGGGAATTCGAGTCCATCGTAGATCGGAAATCGACCATCAGATGACAAACAATTGCATAAAGCTCATATCGGCTGAACAAATCAGTCAACCCGGAGGGGACAGAATGCATGGGCTGATCCATGGCATCGCGTCGTAGACCGAGTGAAGGATGCATATTCGCCTGTGACGGATTTGCATTTCGCAGCATCGGATGAGGGCGGCAGACGGCCACAAACAAGAACAGAAAATAACGGGACTAGGGCCAACCCGCGCGCGAAGGACGTAGACGTAGTACCTAGTAGGTGGAGGAAATATCCGGGACAGGAAAGGAGGAGAAAAAAAAACCTTGCCTTAGGTATCTTATTTACCAGTTTTTTTTTTTTTTTTTTTTCCTCCTTTCCCATCCTTCTCATGCATTAGCAATGGCCGGTAGGTAGCAGGTTTAATGTGTGGTCTCATAGCGCAGACGTGTCTGATCTTGTGTCGCCTCGCATCGCCTCGCCTCTTGACCGAAAGAGCCTACGGTCGACGGGCTGGGGGGTGCGTGTGGGCACTTCGGAGTGTCACGTCTCTCTGGGCTGTATGTCTGCGACGTCTGCGCTGGCGCTTGTGCTGATTGGTAGGTGGAGAGATCCATTGGCGGCCGATTTTTAAACCGGATAAGGAATGGACTACCACGTGTTTACCTGAGATCCGCCGTAGCCACGGCCAAAATCAGATTGAAACGATACATGAGAGCAACCTCATGTCTCGCTGTGTTGCAGTTGGGCGCTTCCCCCCATGTGATTTTTTTTCTTCTTTTTATTATCGGTTGGTAATTAAGTGTTTAGACTGCACATGATAATAATAAAACAAGTTGACCTTGGTAAGCTATAATTTATAATTTCGGAGAATAATACGTAACGGCCCTTTTTTTTTTTCTCGAGAATAGCAAAGGTTCATGAGAAAAGAGAAAGAGAAAAAAAAAAAAGAGAGAGAGGATAACGATCTAAGACAAGATAGTATTAGAGAAAACAAGAGGGGAATTTAGTAAAAAAAAAAAAAAAAGACTAGGTAGAGCTAAATCTGTATGTACCTAAGGTAGCAAACAAGAAGATGTAATCAAGGTAGTCGCATGCTGCGTACATGAACGTAGTGTTAGATATTGACTACCTCGTACCTAAGCCCCGCCGCCATCTTGGGAGAGGATACCATGCAGAATATTCGAGGTGAAGTACTCCTTCCAGGATCTAGAGTGGTATAGATACTTTTAAGTGATGTATCAGGTAGGTGAGAAAGATGGAAAGAACTCGGCCCCGCACGCACTATTCAAAGCTTTACATAGTACAAGTACCTAACAGGAACCTCAACTCGAGCTCTCATTGGAGCCTTGTATTATAGTACCTCGGAAGCCGCACACGATCCTCGTCGAGTCTTTACAGAGAGAAAGAGAGAGAGAGAGAGAAAAGGTTCTTTCTTTCCAAGGAATTTTGTTCATTCCTTGGAAGTCGCCAATGGTCGGGCTACTGATATTATTATTAACTTTTGGTATCTTTTTTTCGTATCGTACTTACCTAGGTAGGTACCTAGACCTATAGGCTATACCTATACCTACCTCTTGCCTACATGTACTACTTGTATGTAATGGCTATATCTACCTTAGGTAGGTATACATAAGGTAGGATGTATACTTATGGCTATATCTTTACCTAAACCTACCTTATTTTGATCAGTCGCATAATCACCTTGTCGCATGTAATCGCCCATAATCACCGTGTTATTTTTTATCCTCGTACGGCCCTTGCTCATACACCATACAACATCATACAACACCATACTCATCATACTCATCATACGCCATACGCCATACACCATACACCATATACACACCATATACCTTACAGCATATACCTGCCACATACCTTACCTACCTTACCTACCTTAGGTACATATCATCTTTTAGAGTGGACCGGCCTGCGCTCTGCGAGGTCGAAGCTTAGATCTACGGTACCAGCTGTACTCGTTCCCGGTCAACTAACGACAGGTCTATCAACGGTCTATTAACTCTGCATACGAAGTACATACACATACATATCCATCCATATTCGTACATATCCTTACCTATTTCTTTCTTCACTTCGCGGCAATTTTGCTATCACCCTCGTTTAAATCCCCACCCCCCGGTGCCAACATCCTTCTAATCCCTTGAATCTCCCCGTATAGCGCTCTTCCGAGCCGTCTTCGTCACCCTTCATTATGAGGTAGCCGTACTATCGCTGTGTGAGCGCTAAGAACGACATGCATCCTGCACCCAGTCTGTCGGAGTCATTCCCCAAAGACAGCAAGAGTGAGGATAGAGGTCAACAAGTCTCTCATCAGCATGAGCAGCAGCAGCAGCAGCAGCAACAGCGGCAATCCGCCGGGCATCATCATCAATCTCCTCAGCAGCCACTCCAACCACACCAAGGAGCACCGCACACCGAGCACGTGCGGCATGGAAGCATTCCGGCATCCCCAGGCCAGTCGGCGACGCCCATGAGGAAGGATACGGGCTCATCCACGTCGACGAATGCTACCGATTCGACGGCCATAACCAATGCATCGACTGACACCAACTCGACCGCCTATAGCGTAGAGTCATCACAGTCTATCTTCTCGGTCAAGGATGGTTCCGAAATCTCGCACAATCGCCGTGCTAGCCGCAGGAGGACGGGGCCTTTATCGGCCCAGCAGAGAGAGAAAGCAGCGCTGATTCGGAAGCTGGGCGCTTGCTCCGATTGCAGAAGACGGAGGGTTGCTGTAAGTCACATATTACGATCTACCTACCTTAGAATGTCGTTAGCGGCGTGAAGCTCACATGATAACCCTCTCAAGTGCCACCCCAACCATCATAATATGACGTGGGAAGATGCTATGCGGAAATATCGCTCGTCCAGCCCTTTGCAGGAGCTGGCGCCCCTGTCTGGTCGCCGGATCAGCCCCGCGCCAAACCATGCAGCCCGCCCCAGGCATCACTTCCCCCAAGATCCTCAGGAGATGGAAATTGACTCCACCCCCGCTACTCCTAGTAACACCCACAATACGCCAGGGCGGCCACCGCTCAGCGACGCTAGGATCCGGACGCCTCTTCCGTCAGGCCCGCGGCTGGAGAAGCCTATCTCCACGTCTCCCCTGGCTGCTGCGCCAAACCATTTCGCATCCCTGTCAAGTGTCGACTCGATCAAGGTAGATCTGGAGAATGCAGCGTCGAGGATTCTTTCCTCGCCGCACCGCAATCGCTACAGCAGCGTCTGTGCGCTTCTGATCTACTGGCAGGATGATGAGCACCCAGGTGTGATGGCCGCGGTAGAAGAACTGGCTGGGGTCTTTGGTAAATACTACCAATTTTCGTATGAGATACTCAAGATTCCGTCATCCGCCTCGGATGGCTGCACTAACTCGTGGCGGTGGCTCTCGCGGATAATCAACGATTTCACGGACAAAAGTGACACCAGGGACGTCCTTAAGATCGTGTATTACAACGGGTATAGTTACTTGGACGAGCATAGAGAAATGGTTCTGGCAAGGTAAGTTATCTAGGCGTCAATATTAGGTTTCCCGACCATCTAACTCTTGGTAGTTCCCGGGACCGTGCGAAGGCTTCGACTATTCGATGGAGCGGTATACAACAGATATTGGAGGAAGCGCGCTCGGATACTCTGATTGTGATGGATGCAGCATACTTTCCATCTTCGAAGATGGTTCGGCAAAAGGGGGTGTTAGAGCTTATTGCAGCATCTTCCTCAGAAGACTACTTCGACGTGTTGGATCGAAACGGCTTTACAAGAACGTTAGCTGACCAGCTCCGAACACGGGCCACCCAGCGATTTCCGAATCCCCTGTCAGCCGCCGAACTACATTCGAAACTCCTATCCGTCTACCCTAAGATTATCCAAGATAAGCACCCCGAGAAGGGGGTGGCAATAAGCTTCCCTTCGCCACTGCACATACAAATCTCGGGTAACTCGAGGTTACCCTCGATTACGTTATCTCCGCCGCAACCACCTCGGGCGCTTTATCCCGAGAATCCCCACGGCCCCCAGTTAACATTTTCGATGCGGTTGACCGAGGCGATCAACCTTGAGAGCTGGGACGAATGGTTCCGCATGATGCCAGATGGGATCAGAGACTTCAAAGTCGAGTGTCCATACGCAACTACGTTTAGGTGACGTCCCGTCTCCGACCTGACATATTTTCTTCTTCTCCCTTGTTTACCTAACGCGTCAATCTGCCACGAGACCACGATAACCAACAATTTTTGGAAGGAAGCAAACGAGCAAGATGTGTATTGCTCGTCACTTTTTAGGCGACTCTCAGTCACCTATCATCATGTTGCTGCTACAAGGAATCTCTCATGACTTTTTTATGTTCAATGAAAGACGATTGCGACTAGAGGTACGGAGGGCGAGTTGTGTTTTTTCTCTCTTGCATACATCTCATCATACCCACCCCTATTTATGTCCTGTTTTACTACGGCATATAGGGGAAGAGGCTTTAGCTACGGCTACGCCTTATAATCTGCATAGATTTTGCTTTTTTGGCCACCCAGCTCAAGGTTGAAGTGTGCGGTTCAGTGTCGTAGCGTAGAACCCAGTGAAGATACCCAACAAATAGACATAGACATGGTAGTAGACGCTACCTATAGTTTTAAGAACCACATACCGCTAGCAGTATTGTGGATTATTTATGAAGCAAGATGGAGATAAAGCCTAGTGGTGAAAGGAGCATCCAAGAAAGTTGAGCTGATGTATCCTGAGGAAACTAGTAGTACTATTGACGCCGCAATTTCATAGTAAAAAGGAGAGGAATATACTCATAGTTACCTAGGTAGGTAGGTAGGTACCTAAGGTACACACGCCTCTCCTCGACCATACCGATTGCTCCTTGATGCAATTTTGATTTCTCCAACCGTGCATTCGCCCATGTCAACTATATCCTTTCCCCAACGCCACAAACCACACTTTATAAACATGTAATGCGCCTCCCCTTTTCAAGTTTAGCCCACGTTCCTACGCAGGTTTTAAGAAGTATATGGAATAGGGAACTGGGTACCTCATAACTTTCAACCAACCAACCAACCAACCCGATATTAAAAAAAAAAAAACTCATTTCATCCGTTCCATTCATACCCCCCCTATCTAGCCTACTTCACTTCGCTTCGCTTCACCTACCCAACCCACCTCTCACTCCTCCGGAACAACAACCTCAACTCCAGCACCCTCACTCGCATACCTCGCGCCAGCGAGTATTATCTCCCTCAACACGCCGAACTCCTCCTCGTCCCGCGGCGCGTACACCAGGACGTAGCCCCACGGCAATATCCCCCGCGTCCCCAGCACCCCCGATAGCCGGTGCCGCTCCCCCCACCCGCTCTCGATCACCGTCTTCGCGTCCCCCGGACTCATCGTCAGGTGCACGCTGCCTTCCCCGTGCACGTGCGCGAACTCGCCCTCCGCCCCGCGGCCCAGACGGATCCGCAGCTCCTCCTGCTTCTGCTTGTTTTTGCCCGCGTCATCCTCGTCCTCGTCAGATCCTTCCCGAGGTAATCGCAGCCACAGCGCCCGGTGCAGCGGGCCCTCGAGCCGACTAGCCCTAGCCTCGAAGACGCGCGGGTTCGCGCGCGCCAGCGCGTCCAGGAACGCCTCCTCGCGCGCGACGGTCGCGGCGTCCGCCTTGTCGGAGGTCTGCCGCTGGGGCACGACGAAGGACGGGACGGCGGGGCGGTCGCCGCTGCGGGCCGGGAGGGAGGTGGTTCCGGAGTAGCCGAAGTACGACCGCTCGCCCGCGGGGCCGTACGCGGCCGCGACGTCCTCGAGGCGCGTGTAGGGCCGCGGCAGCGGCTCCCGCGTGTCGGAGCGCGCCAGCGCGCGCATGCCCACCTGCAGCAGCCACCCGAGGAAGTGGTGGGGGATGCCGCCGGGGCCGAGGGCGAGCCAGGCCCGGTACGAGGAGCGGATGTACGCTAGGAGCGGGGTGAGGGCGGCGGCGAGGGCGGCGGTGAGGAGGATGGGTTTTTGGTGGGCCCGGAGGACGGCCGGGTCGATGAGGGCGGTGAAGTTCTTTTGGAGGAGACTCATTATGATGGTGGGTATTACGTGTATTCGAGAGAGAGAGAGAGAGAGAATGTGTGTGTGTGTGTAAATAAAAGAGAAAAAAGTAAGTTTGTATGAGAAGTGTCTAGGTGGAGATACCTAAATTCGAGATGAAACCGGGATTAGGTGGATTAGACGGTAGGTATTATAACCACTTGACGTAACTCGGATCGGACACAGCAAGCTCGGCGATGTGGATGTATGTCCGGGTCTGTGCTGGATTTGGCAAAAGCCGGTGGTAGTTAATGGGTAAAGAAAACGTTAACCTATGACTGATGAATCCTTCTATCGCTTTCGCATCTATTTAGATGTCTACCTATAATTGAACACTTAACAGAGCTAGAAAAACGAACTTAAAAAACAGAAGAAAAAAACCAAAAATCGATGTTATTCGTTATTTTATGTAATACTCATTTATTTGTTCATCTACGGATTCGTGCGTATCGCAGCCGAGGCAGAGCTTAAGCTAAGGATCGGCCAGTGGTGTGATGTTAGACGAGAAGGACGAATTCCAAGAGCTAGGACAAGAATAGGTTAGGTAGAGGTACCTAAGCAAATCTCTCTCTTACGAAGGGTGCATGCCAAATTGCTAGGGATAGAACGGGCTTCGCCTCTAACAGATGAGAACGAGTCCCGATCAAATTTCGTATGGAGGGGGACCAAGCGACCGAAGCGCCGAGTGTTTAGATGTAAGCAACTTGCATGCGCTGGCTTTCTAAGGTTCCATTTCGATAGAAAGTAAATATTCATCATGGCGCGGGTCAGAAACTCTGGACTTTCTATTCGAGTAAACTACCACCTAGGTACCTTGTAATAATACCAGCCCTATACCCAAAATAATGCATAGATTTAGTTAGGCAAGTAGATACCCGAAATCTCTATTCGTGTGTCCTGTGCATCGTAGGTAGTGCAATGCAGATAAGCAGTAGTATTACCCAAATTTCTCAAAGGGGCTTATTAGCGAATCCAAGCTGATTATTCCCGCCGTGGAAAACGACAAACTGTGCCTTCAGGAAGATATCCCCGTAAATCGCAAACCGGATATTCCCCGGAGACGCCTGTATGCCCCCGAAGCACGTCGTCGCGTCCTCGAACGTGTCGCCGTCCACGGGCGCGAAGTTGATGAAGTCGCCCGGGATCACCGCCTCGTGGCTCCCGATCATCGCTGTGTAGTCCGGCAGCGAGGCCGAGCACGGGAAGACGTAGCCTCCCGCTCCCCGCACGTCGTTGACCGCACCTGGAACTTTCGAGTAGTATGCGTCTGCGATCTCTTGTGGGAGAAGTAATAAAGTAGTACCTGTATCCGCGATGGCTTCGTGCGGCGCGGAAACGGCGTCGGAGCCGCCGACGGAGTATCCTTCCGAGGTAAACTGCCAGAAGCCCGTCGACGAATTAACCGGCACGAACGTAATTTCCCCCGTGTATTCCGTCTTATCAACGAAGCCGAAGTTGTAGTTACCCGCTGCGATGTGTTAATATTAGCTAGCTATACTATCCACATAAAAGCACTCTTTTTTTGTCGTGGACTTACGCTCCGCTTTCCTTAAGTTAGCGGTAAACAGGGGAGAGGCGAGATCTGATATCGCATTCTCGAAGAACGTCTTCTGCTGGGTAGGTCTAACCGTGTTGATAGAGCCAAATGCCAACCCAAGCAGCCCGTCTGTGTCAGGTCGTTGCGTAAAGGAGACCGAGACGTTACGGGCAGACTCTACTGCTTGATTCTGAACAGTAACCCCTCCAACTGAGACTGTATCCAAGTAAACATTTCCATTAGAACTGCTACCATCCCCGTAGCTGATAGCCCACGATTCGCCTGGTAGCAGCTGAGCCGTCGAGCTCTGTTCAACGTCCCACTAGAGTATGCACAGTTAATTACAGTCGGCTCAGGATGTCAATGAATACATTATCAGACAAGGGAGGGCAAGTGAGTCTGAAAGAGACGTACGGCATCCTGGCCCATGACTTGGTTCGCCGGTGTCTCGGAACTAAATACCCACAGATCGGACGAACCCGTATCGAAGTCCAAGTTCAAAGTCTGCGGCGGAGTACCGATCTCTACCGGGCATAAATACTCGGAATCGAACATCTGCGGGACCGCCGCAACCTCGCCTAGAAACCTCTATAATAAGTCAAGGCGACCAGAACCATTGGGTACCTGATAATCAATTATACCTTGAGGATCGGCAGTAGAATTCTTCCCAGCTCCATCGTTCCCCCACAAACCCAGTTCCTTCAAGATCTCCTCTATCGTCGAGAGCAGATCATCCGGGACCGCGGCGCCGTATTTCGAATACGCCCTCGCGACGGCCATGGACCCCCTCCCCTTCCGCTGTCCGTAGAATTTCTTGTTCGCAACCTGGTGGATCTTAAACGTCATGCCCCCTAGAGTCGTAATCTCGAGTCCTCGATCGAGCGCTCCTCCACGCTTCCGCACGGGACGAGCCGACGCCAGGTCAGCGCAACAGCAGAGAGCGTACGCTGCTACCGCAGCAACGGCGGTGTTCGTAATTTTCATAGTGACAGTAATTATCGTCGATTTTTATACTTGACCCCACCAAAAAAAAAGATAAAAGAACAACTTCAAAATAACAGGAAGAATCCAAGCTCTTGAAGAATCGAATAACGCTTGCTAAACTAGAGCAGATTCCCGAACCAGCGAGCAAGAAAAAAAAACGAAAAATAATAAGAAAACGAGTGTTGCAAGGAAGCGCATATACTATCAAAAGGGCGATGTAGAAAAGGAAAACTGAGAAAAAAAAATCAAGCTTGACGCTGAAAACCAAAAAGATACGCCGGATGCAAATACAAATCTCATACTTCTACCATCGATCCCGGTTTCACACCACACACGGCGGCGTATCGCGTATCCATCCCCGGGGGCGCGAATGCGTAGATATCTACAGTACTTACTTACCTAGGTAGATACCTGGCCTTATGCGACCTACGCGGGATCAGAAGAAGTTTATGCATCGCGATGGGATGATGGATGGATGGATGGATGATTGATATGCCCAGGGGAGTGGATATTATAAGCCGTTACGGTTTGAAGATACCGAGCTACCAATTTGATACCTAAGCTATAAGCTTTGTCCGAATTAAGAATTGCGAAAGGGTGTTCGCGCCTTTTTTCTTCTTCTTTCCGTGGAGAGTTGGGAGTGGTAGTTTGGCGGCGATCATTCATGCCTCTTTCTCTCTCTCCCCCTTGCTCTCCCCGTTACGGATTGGATGATCAAACGCGAGATCCGCGAACCGTTATATGCCATGAATACCTAGTACATGTTTTGTTCGTACAATATAGGAGTTCATATCGTCGGCTCTGGCACTTGCCTGGGCCAACAGTCCCGACAACGGGAGTTCATTTATAGCTGATGTAAGTCGGATTGAGATTGAGACGAGACTGTAATATCTGATGGTAGTAAACGAACGATGTTGTATTGGTAACGTTTAAATGTGGGACCAAGCCCTGAAATCCCAAGTAATAGCCCATGCTTACGTAACGCACTACAAGACCAATCGGTACCTGAATCTTACATAGGAGGTACCAAACCTGACATACCTATCCTTGTCTACAAGCACTACCTAGGTCCAGCTCGCCGTGCCCTGTACCCAAGTATACTAGACACCCGTTCATATCCATATCATCAGCCACCCGCACCGCACAGGGGCAACGAAATACACCACATTGTGCGTATACGCGAAATATGTATTTATGAGCCTGATCTGTACATTATGTCACACACCCTCCCTTCCGCTACCTTTTGCCGCGAACGCCTGCGCACTAGGTATGAGACCTGTACAAGTAGAAAAAAATACATAATAAAAGGGATAGTGCCCTAGTAGTCTCGCGCCATGATAACGACCCAATGTCCCAGTGTAATGAACGTCTAAAATTACAAGCACTTTTTTTCTTCTCTATTCGTCCAACCACCGCTTAGTGCTGGTGTCCATGTCCGTGATCGGTGTCCCCGTTATGATCGTGATCTACTGTATGGCTGGACCCCTGGCTCGATCCGGCCTTGGAACCGATTCCCGAAGGTAGCGAGCAGCAACCTTGGCCCACGCAGTCGTCCACGCACTCCAAAAGACACACATCCGGTGGGTAGCGGGGCGAAGCTTGTCCGTCAAGTGTCGTAGAGCCGTCGTCAATAGGGTTGCAGTCCTGATCCAGACAAAACTCGGGTTGGATCGTGGCGCTGTGGATACCATATGCATGGAGACACTTCCGTGCCTGCTTAGCAAGCTTCATGTACCTCTCTCCTCCTTCGCTTGTAATAGGGAACGCGACCTGTACGTGCAGCGACGCGATCACCTTCGTGTCGGAAAGCTGCCAGATGTGAACGTGGTGGCAGCTAATGACACCCGGTAGAGCCTGAATGTCTTCTTTGATATCCTGAATATCGATGTGATCCGGTGTAGCCTGTAGTAGCACCTGGGCTGTCGCCTTCGTCAAAGGAATCGCGGATTTGAGAATGATGAGAGTAATGAATAGCGATACTGCCGGATCAGCGTAGTATCGTCCCGGCCATTCAGTTAACCATATGATTAAAGCTGTGACAATAACACCAACGTTTCCGAGAGCATCACCCAAGACATGGAGGATCATAGCGTTCATGCCCATGTCGGCATGGTTGTGGCTGTGTCCCTTCTTCCTCGACTTCGACATTGGCCTGTTGTGATGATGGTCCAAGTGCGTTGCGGAGTCACGTCTAGCACGATGGTGATGGTGAGAACTTCTTGATCGGCTTGAACAGCCCTTACGAGCAGAACCCTTATCTGCGCCACGCTCGTTTGCAACCAAAGGCGTAGTCTCGTCAATGGATTCGTCACGAACAGGAGAGCCCATGGGACTATCATCAATAGAACTTTCGTCGGTCTCTTCGTTACGGCTGGATCGGCTGTGCTCAATGATGTCCTGTCTGAAGCTGGCGGGGTGAATGCTGAAATCATCGATGCTAGCCAAGCGGCCGTGCTTAAGGCTGCCTGCGCGTCGACGTTCTCTCCCCCTAGGGACAGAGGTCCGGCCGGCACCTCGTTCCTGGAGATCCGGCCTTCCTGACTGCCCAAATTGTACATGGCGAACGGTCTCCGGTGAGGTGTTCGCAGCACGAGCTGTTGCTATTGCTACTTCGGGTAGTATAGATGCCACTGGGGCGCGCTCGTCCAGTAATGCCTCCGTCGCAGTTGCTCTACCTTCCTCGGCGGCCGCAATGTCGTCGTGCTTGTGAACATGTTCGTGTCCGTGGTCGTGGTCGTGGTCGTCATCGTGGGAATGGTCGCCATGATCGTGGCCATGTCCTCCAAGAACCAAGAAACCCGCAAGATTTGAAGCCAAACCGCAGCAGCCGACGATAAGAATGAGTTTCGGGTTCGAGACTTCCTGAGGCTCAATGAACCGAGTTATCGCTTCGAGAATGATTGAAACGCAAAGGGCGATTAGGAAGACAGCGTTAAAGGCAGCACCGAGGATTTCGGCGCGAACCCAACCGTAGGAAAATTTGTTGGTAGTTTCTCTCTTAGCAACTGTCACAGCCCACAGACCAATAATCAGTGAGATGATATCGTTAAGCATATGGAACGCGTCCGCCATCAATGCCAGGGAATGGACCATGAAGCCTGATATTAACTCCACGAGAAAGAAGGCGACATCAATGGCCAGCATGATGCTGATCCGGGTAGTTTTCGACCAGGCCATCGTGGCGGTTTGTGCTCGACTGATCGATCGAGGCGAGCTAGTTCGCGAAGAAATTGTAACGGAGAGCCGAAGCTCTATTTACTTCCTATATTTCTGTTATGTGTAACAAAAAAGAAGAAGAAAAACGCAGACAGACGGAAAGAGAATAAAAAAGTAAGGGAATTAAAATTATTAGTGCCGACAGCACGGGATGATGAACCTAGACCGGCGTTGTTCGGTGTGATGAAAGGGGAGAAAAAAAAGTTACGTGAAGTAATTAAAGCAATTAGTTGCTGCCGAACGGCTTCTGAGACTTAAATAGTCTTAGCCATGCGACAGCTAATACTTGAGTACCTAGGTATTTATTGACTGAACGAAATCCAAACAGGGCGAGAACGTTTCGAAACAGAACGAGGATTTCTGAGACGCAGTGGGAAAGACTGTTTGTGTTTTCTTTCAGAAAAACGCAGGGGAATTTGTTGTGGAGCCTGACAGGGCGATTAAAAGATACCTCATGGGCAAAGACCCAAGCTCGGTTCGGAGCACTATTCGGAAGTCGCAGATGGCGGGGATGTTGTTATCAGATGCTGTACGGACCCGGTATACGCAAGAGGTACCTAGGTACCTAGATAGGTAGTAGGTAGGTATTAGAGGTAGATATGCAAGTCAAACGGAAGGATCTTTGTTCTGACGCGATTGGTTTCCGCAGGATTAGTTTTCCCCGAGGAAAGAGGGAATTTAAGGGTTGATGGCGGCCGCTACCTAGGTATTATGTCATAGAGGGTTCCAGTAGGGCGGAAGATACCTAACTGTAGTCTATGATAGCAGCGAAGTACCTACCTAATGTATAGCCGAATAATCAGGGGCGGTTCCCATTTAAATCGGGCTGATCGGATAGCAGATAACAGTCAGCATGCGCAATATACCTTATGATGTCGTAACGTTCAAGCGGTATCGTTAACGCAGCACCTGTTCCTGTAACTACCCCAGCATTTTTGTGACTTTGCAACATGTACACTTTTGCGAATTAAAACGTGTAAAGTGCGCGACGAACGTAATTAATTAATTTAATTAATTATTTTCAAAATAAAAAACTAAAATATATAATTAAATAAAAATTAAATAAATTAAATAAAAATATAAAATAATAATAATTATTATTATTAATTATTAATTTTTATATTATAATTATTTAAAAAAAAATTATAAAATATAAATATATAATTTATATTTTAATAAAAAAATATTTTAATAATATAATTAATTTTAAAACATAAAATTTATAAAATTAATAAATAATTTATATTATAATTAAAATATTATTAAATAAATAAAAATTTATTGTCACGAACCAACAGCCGACGAGATCACGTTCAAGCTTACGAGCGGGGTTTGTTCATCCCTTGGGAACGGATAAACCTCGGAGCGATCATGGATCTGATGAGAATTAGGGATCTGATGGATCTGGATCAGATCCATCAATATCATCAGATCCAACAGATCCAAGCAGATCCAAGTAAGAGTCATTAAGCAGTATGGCAAGAAGGACATTTCATATAACTATCGGACGTTTCTCATGTATCTAGTCATTCATTTCAAGCTCATTAGCTATCAATCTAAGTCTTATATCTAACCCATATAAGGGGAAGGACTCCAAGCCTTCCTGACGAACACTTCAACGTTTATTTTGACACTTGACTCGTATCGTTACTGTTTACCTGAAAATCAAGACCCATCGGCACTACACTCCAACGGACCTGAGTGTAGGTTCGTCACATCAACGTACGTATGTACGATCTTTTCAATACATATGTACGTACGTACGTACGATCTTTTCTATATATATGTAATCTCTTCCATACGTATGCGATTAAAGTTACGATATTCAAGATGTTTACGATACGATACCTATGATACGATACTATGATACTCATAATATTCACGATACCCACGATACCCACGATACTTACGATACCCGAAAGGTTAAAGACGTAAGACGTAAGACGAAAGACGAAAGACGTTCGTAAACTCAGGGCTTTTGTGCACCTCGAACGTGGTGCCTCATGTATATTTATTACACTCATATTGTAAAAACCATCGCATCCAATTAAAAGCCCGGAATCTCGCTCATTCTCCATAAAAGAGCCTATTTAGGAAAAATCGATCCTACCCAGCCGATGCAAGTTGGTGACAATAACCCTTCGTAAACTCAGGGCAAAGTATCAGCTACTTCGAGCACGTCCCTTATTGTGATCAGTGCCACTGGTGAACAGGTGCTGCGTTAACGGTAGCCCGTTCAAGAAGCATCGACCGATCGTTTACATGCTTCCATTTCCATATTCTATTTCCATATCCAGCTTTGTCATCTAACCACATCAGCAATCCTTTTTATGCACCTAATGTTGGAATGCGTGCCTCAATTTTATTATGGTAGATTTTTAGTCCCTAATCTTAAATTCTTGTTTGTTCTCCAATATTTCAACGCTCATTCCCAACAACATTGCCATTTTCCAATACCGAACTATTCCCTAAAAGTGGGTTGAATATCTAGGAGAACTTCCCATGTTGCCAATACTATACGATTCGGGACCATTTTTCTAGGGATGAATAATCACCCTCTTACCCGAGTTAGGTATCGCCACCTTTCTCTTATAAATCCTAGCAGAATTATATTTTCATACCACTGATAGCCTTGAGTCTGTGATGGGGTTTTTACAATCACTGAGTACAACTGAGGATTACTGGGCAAAGCTCATGAACAAAATGTCCTTCATCTCCTGACTTCCCAAACGTCAACTCAGTTGCCTCTAAAGCCGACCTAAAATATTTTGTCAACATCTCAAAACATGTCCCTCTGCATCATGGCTAAAGTTCGTCATGCCAAAACTTGCTAAGGAAAATTGTGGCGGTGATCATTTTGTCATGCCCCTCAGTAACTTCGTACATTGGTACGGCACGCATTAACGCATTATAATAGCCGCCGTCGTCGCATCTAGAGCTTGTAAAATAAGTAAAGCTCTTATAATAATAACCAATAGTAAGTAGCCGATACTATGTTAAATGAAAATAGCAATAGGTATCAGCTCTTGGTTTCAAAGGCGTAGCTCTTTGCGTTTTCCCCCTTATCTATTCACGACCAGACGAAATCGAATGCGTGGAATCGACTTTGTTGACTCTCGGGTGTGTTTAAATTCACTGAGTGGATAGCCAATTAAATAGATATTTGGAATGTTTTGACTTTTGGAGGTATCTGTCCCGCTAGACGCCCGTGGTAGGGGCTATACGACTTCCGTAATGATATGATGTAAAGTAGGCGCCTCTTCTGATTCGCAACAGTTGTGAATGCTGCGGGACCCTGATGTCTTTTATGTCTGCTACAGCAGCAAGACTAGTAGCGTCAGCATTCTGTCGGTTTCTATGCCCAAGGTAGATAGTATTTTATCAGTATCGAGGAAACTATGGCAATAGACGCCGTCTCGATAGACATGATACGAGATCAGAAAGCGCTATGCAAAGCCTATCTAGGGTGTATTGTTTATGAAAGGATACTCCAGTGACTCGAATATAAGCAGGAGAGAACTCTTGTCATATAAGAGATTGTCCAGACTGATCTCGACCATATGTCCGGCAAACCACTGTATGTAATATGCTGGACTGGGCTACTAAAATAGGAGTAGAGAAATGAAAGGGAATGTGGAGGAATAGGAGGACTCACGATTAGTGACTCTCAATAAGATAATTTGCCGTAATATCTCTAATGGTGACAGAACAAATTCCGTCAGCATCTTTTCTCTCTAGAAACAAGGATGAGTCGAAGAAATACCCTCGTCAAAATAGAATTCAATGGTGGTAGGAAGATAGAAAGTGCGCCTTAGCATCGCCTATCATTCTCGATTCTCGTAGCGCTGTCGCTAGAACGGCAACTATTTTGACATATTCAAATATTAGAAGTAAAGCAAGCCGTGACACGGTGTAGAGGAGAGCTGGCGGGTATTGCTTACCTCCCTATCGGTATGGACAAGGTTAAATCTTCCCTTCGCGGTCCTTGTCCTTGTCCCTGTCCCTATCACAGTCTACGTGGCTCCTCTCTCCCCCCGTTCATCGTGAAGGGGATACGACGATGACCTTGCCACTGATGCTACCCAGGACATTAATGCCATCCAGTAAGCACTCCAAGTCCACGAATCCCTGCCTCAGTCCCAAGATATCTTCCCCTCGACCATGGGCCAGTCGCCGGAAGTAGGTAGCATAGGAGGCATTGTTTGAGTGGAGTGCCAAAATATTTTTACACATGGATACGAAGAATTATCTTTACAATGAGGGTTATACTCGGCTTTATACATGTTCTCCTTAGAGCTAAGGTTGGATAAGGTTATAGACGGACTTGGTTGGGGAATAGGGGGGCCAGGTGTAACAATGGAGACTACCTACCCCAGTGACAATAATGATGATTGATGGATAGATATAATAACAAGACATAGAGCAGAGCTATGTTTAACGGCACGATAGTATCATTCGACTATCTTTTTATTACAGGTGTAGTAATGCTGATGGCTATTTTGGATTGTAGTTGGATAGGTCTCCCTACCTACCTGCGGCCCAGCCTGTTGATCTCACCGCATAACCGCTTAGGGGTAAATATCTTTAATTGTTCACCATCATTGACACGTTATATTATGCGCTCGCAGTTTAAAGTATCTCTCGATGGGTTTCAGGCGAGCTAGCCGCGTCCTCGCTGTTTTGGTATATCGGGCAGCCGTCCATGTACGCACTTGACCAGGACAACGATTCCATTTGAGACACATACGCATAGGTAGTGAGATCTAGTACCGGTAGTTCTAAGAGATGTTACTGCATTAGTCTATAACACCAACTTAAGATTCTAGGGCATTCAACTGCAGAGGTATCACGCCCATGTATCAACCTTGACCACTTGCTACGGTAACATCATCGCCACTTGAAGGCGGGGAAGCAGACTTGTAAAATCTCCTCGACGATATTGATGCAGACAAGCAATGTAAATGTTTACATTCAAGTAATAGTTGCTACATCAAGGTGTCATGCTGGGTCCTGGCCGCGGGAGAAACGGGACATAACCGTTCATCTTGGCGCTCAGCAGTATCTGCTGCTAATAATGTGGCGCATATTGATAGTGAACATCGATCGTTACGACACTTCTGTCCGTGAGAAGCAAGTTGCGTGCGAGTGACCTATGGGTGCTTCTAAACTTACAAGAGAGGATTGATCTGCAGGTCGCCGTTGTATACTCCGGAGAGTGTCGGCGCAAAAGAATAGGAGAAACGTAGTATCTGTGGGTCAACCAGCTGACTACCTGCCTCCGTAGCTTTGTACCTATAACATAGGGTCTAGCTATGCAAGGCGAAAATTATAAATGAGCCTTAGGTTGCTATTATATGGTCGAGACACGGATAAGTTCTCTATGCGGGGGAGTATTAACCAACCTTCGGCTATTGTTGAATAGGTACTGCGCGTCTAAGCGAGGCCATGCGGTCGAGATGAAGAAGAAAGAGGGGTTGTCCGTCCCAGTGGGACGGTCTATTAGAAAAGCCAGGCGAAAGTATTAGAAATGGGGTTGTGTACTATATCAGGCCCTTTTTCTGAGATCTTGAGGGTTTCGTTGATAGTTTTCCTACGAAGAAATATACATCAGCTACATGTCTTATCTAGGTCAGCGTGTTTACTTATGGGTCGCCACTCGCGTGACTATTATCATAATACTTTAGAAGCTCGCATGCACGAACATACTGTTCTATTTTGTCGAGAGTCGTTGATCTGGAGTCGTGGGAAGGAATCCGTGACCGACGGCCAGACGTGCCTGATTGCGAAGCAAAGCAACCGCATAATAGGGTAGCCACCCTGCAAGTTGTAAAAAAGGACCAGTCTCACAAAGCTGATGTGCGCGGTACGAAGATCTATAGTTTAGTCGTTCAAAGTAGTGTAACCAACCTAGTCTACCCTAGAAACCGTGGGGGTTTAGGATGGAAGCTGGTTATTTATTACCCAACAGATACGTGACGTGTGTCATGATGTGCTAGGAAAGAGTAATTTCAGAGCCGAGGAAGACAGCCAATAACTATAGTTGGGGAGTATCAGCCGCCGGTATGTATACCAGAACATACCAACTATAAGCAAATTAACATAGCGAGAGCGATTCCAAGGCAACTGCAGCCGATTCGAACCCGGCAAACAATACAACACCTTGTTATTAACGGCCACCAATATCTCCAGACGTGATAAGCCTCGGAGAGGACTGTCCAAATTGCGATGCGTCGCAGCAGGCAGCCAAGGGGCTTCCAACAGGTAAATAACCGGAACTTGAATCTCGTCGATGTACGTCAACTGCGTAACTCGGGCTCCTTTAAGGGCCAACGTAGATAACTTTCTCACATAACCTAGGAAGACGCACTCGAGAGCTACCTCGCGAGTCCAAAAGGGTTAGTTGGTCCGTGCCAAGGCAATGATGATATGATGCACCTCGCAACTGCACTTATGGCTATCATAGATGTTTCCATATATACCTAGGTACTAGGTACATAACCCATTTTAGATGGACGCTTCTCGATTGGAAAGTCGAATCGCTCTTGTTATTGAATCCGTATCGATGAGTCCTAATAGCTGTACCAAGATCCATAGGACGTTGGGTTAAGATTGATAAGCACCACGTGCGTAAGAAGGTCGAGGTGTAACTGGATGCAACTAAATAAGTTGATCCGAATTACGGACGGCACTATGCTGCATGAGAACCGAATTGCATTGGTCGGCCAGCTAACCGCTAAGTTGAAGAAACACGAGGAGAATGCGACCTCCAAGCCTTCGAATGTCTAGCGAGGCCATATATGGTAAGAGTAATACCCTCCTCTTCAGCCACAATATGCAGGCTGCAGGCAAAATATATTAATTGACAAGGCACGGGAAAAGCTCCCGAGCCAATCCAGATCGAATCTGATACCTAACAATTCACACAGCTGGCCTGGCGAATGTGATGTTTACTCGATGGAAAACCAAAACACCGAGATGAAATTAGTGAACCAGTCGAACATACCCAAATGACCATGACCGGCCTCGTAGTCTATGAGGGGAAGGACTCAGTCGTCCAAAACCTCGCCAGCTAGACTAGCTTGCTAGAGACTTACAAGAGATGGGCTCCCGTAAAGCTCGGTTATCTTCTGAAGGGATTCGAGAGGATGGAACAGTACTACTGGATGGGAAGTTGATCAACTCCACCCCTTGTTCTCCTGCATGTCGAGGTGAGTCGCGCCTGGTTCGTGGTCGTGGCGGCCCACTATACGATCGAGAATCGCAACGATTAAACTCGTTTCTAGAACGCATCTGTGCATCTACCTGCCTTGTTTCATATATATACATAGTACCGAAGCCAAGTCGATCAAAGCAACGGTGCGAGAGGGCTGCTGAGACTGCAAAGCTAATGAGCCTCATCGCGGTTCGCCTTAACCTTGGAATTTTGATCATGGTGCATAGGTGTTACCTTTGAAGTTTCGACTTGACATTACTTGAGATGGTACCCTTGCTCTTCAACTACTAAGGTTGAATATATGTGTCGCTACAACATATACCTAGGAATAGGGTTAAAGTTCGTTCGATTCTGACGCACTTCTGCAGTATCAGGTACCTTGCACCTTTAACAAAACGCCCGTGAGTTAAAGCGGAGTTGGTCCGGGGCGGGGAAAGCATTGGAGTGCCTGGGTGCGCGCGACCCTAAGGGAATCCTAGAGCTAGTGTGGATCAGACGGCCCGCCGAGGAGTGTCGGCAGGTCGGGTTCGAGTCTCGCAGCTCCACGGGCGTGGGTTGCGTCATCCGAACATATGGCGGTCAGCCAATCCTTCGAGATAGACTCTATAACCCGCCACTCAACATTTTAGTGAAGGATAAGATAAGTATAAGAAAGTATGTGTGAATGCTCCATGGTAGTTATTGGCAGATTTGGCAGATAGGATATCCATATTGCTGGGTCTCCTCTGAGGACTTGAAGCGCTTCGGTCGTCGCAACCTTTGATCGTGCTTAAAGCTCCGCCACTGCCAGGTCTCAGCAGGGCCGAATTGACCAGCCTGTCCATGGATTCGAAGAAGGTCCAGTCGAAGAGCTTGGTATGCTGTACCGAGACCGAACCAAAGTAAGGCCGCTTCACGTGGAAATGGACCCAGCCTGGCTTGCAGGACTGCCAAACTCACATACCATAATGGTAATAGTGTCTAGATAGAAGAGATCGGCCTACTGCAGGCATGTAAGTGGATATCTTAGGCCTAGCCTGGGGACCAGGGCCTTTTTTTTTTTTTTTTTTTTTTCCCTTGACCCAGATTAGGACAACAAAATATGTAGAAAATATGTAGACTTGGAAAATGTGGAAAATGTGGAAGATGTTGTGCAGTTTGCAGTTTACAGAAATAAGGTGGGACACTATTATGGGACACTATTATTGGTCAATTGATCAATCGGCGCTTCCTTCCTAGGTCTTTCCCGATTAGGGTCCTTCCGGCCCGTGAACCCGATGCGTTAATCGGGTCCCTATAAGATTCCATATATGTGGGTCTCTTCTATTTGACGGAAACAACCATGGAGTTGTGACTGGTGCGACTGGTAAAACCAAACTTTTAAACTTTTCCTGATGGAGAATTCCCGCCCTTGAAGTGCATCATTACTTACACCTACACCTGCATACACATACATACCTATACAAGGTATACGGTCGACAATTCTGGGTCTTGCAAATCCGATAACTACCTCCTTGGGAAGCCATCATTCTCAACTTAGCACCGCTTCTGACCTACGAGTTATGGGATCTGGGTGTATTTTCATGAAATTTCATCAGATTGCACCATGCTCTTCCTCGCCATTAGCACGTAGCCAAGATCCATATAGGACCATTACCGTTCAAGCCCGAGGCCAAAGGAAGCCGGGTGTTGGTCCGAGATTCGCATATTCTGGCCTTTTAGTACCTACCTATATTAATACTTCTAGTAGCTATAGCTCTCATGGTCGGCCATTTACAAGCCAGACCGGTCAAGGATAGAACGGCTGGCTGCGAAGATTCGAGTGCAAATGCCCTATCCAAGAAGGATTCTTAGACCAAGTTAGCACCCCGGGGGCTCAGGACTATCAAAATAGCCCTATACCCCGTACAAGTCTTCTGCCGGCCTTGTAGACGGCCAAATCTCTCAGGTTGCTGGGTCAGAAGTGAAGTAACGCTTCGATCACCCATCCGGTTTGCGCAGAAAGTGTTGCAATGGCCGGTGAATATATGTCGTGTAATAGAGGAGAGTTACCACTCATAAATCCGCAGGGTATATCGATATCCTCCCCAATCTATAACCACTCTACCGTGATATATACGAGCTAATCACAGCCGTAGTTATACTTCCGCTTTAAGGAAGAGAGAATATATAACCAGGAGCCGACTACCTGTGGCTATCTCCCCACCCTTATTATTATCGGTTCGTGATCTGCTGCTGGGATCTTGGCTCGCTTGACCGCCTTGTCCGCCATACCACCCCTTGCCCCCGTGCTCCACGTCCGAATGGATAAGACCTCCCGTAGCGGCCCCCCACTCTATTCGTGCGACACCAACATAGCTGCGTGAGCGTTCTTTTCGTTTCGTCTCCCTTCAAGTACCCTGAAACAACGCTCCTCCGGTCCGTTCATGCCGACGTGGGTATTTCCCAGTTAGGACAAGCAATATAGCGTCCCTCATAGACGGACCCGTCAAGTGACAATGGTTGCACTAAAAGCAACCTAGAGATTACGTCTCACATCGACTCCGGGGCCTTCGCTTTATCTCCACTCCTCACCCCTCGGCGGCTTTGCGGCATATGCCTTTGATTTGATCGAAGTCAACATCCCATTGATAACATGTCGATCCTTCGACCTCCTGCTTGACTTCTGAGCGGTGGTCCTGGGATGCCCGCTTTGGGAAGTGCCGCATTGTCCTCCTGGTAAGTGTTCTTGCACAGAGTGCCATTCGCATCCCAGTATCCCTGCCTTTGTACGTACCGAAGTCCATATCGTATACTTTGATAGATGGCTACCATCGTCTCAGCCCTGGTGTCGTATTGCCTCTTCCCATTGATACATAAGACCACTTCGACATTGGCGCTCGTCCCTGAAGTTACACTTAACTCATATAACTTTCGAGATTCCCTTTATATTCGTGGGGAAAGAGGTTACCTTGAGACTGGGCTTGTTGACGGACTTCGCTTCGCCCTACAGGGCTCTTTTTCGTCCATCAATATTCAAGCGTTTCCTTGACGCACCTGCGAGCTCTCGGCTCATTAATAACTAACCTTGGTAATGCCCAGAGGCACCAAAGTTCGCTCTTGATCACGTGTGGCTATTTCCCCGGAAAATCTGGTTATAGTAGACGTCTTTAGTCATTATTCGAATATGGATCATCTTGAGGACGCACAGTTCGATGGGATAGATCCCAACGCGTCGCCCTACGAGAGTGTCGACAGCAATACCACACCTGATACGGAATTCTCTCCTCCCAGCAGCCCGTTTCGAAAAGTTTCAGTCTCCAAAAATCACCGGTTGATAGCAAGACAGAAGTTAGCTCAACTAAGCCTCAAGGAGAAGGTATATGGTGAAAGAGAATCAATGCCGTCAGATTGCTAACTTGCCAAGGTATCGCTACTCACAGCTGCGGACTTCTGGCGAACTAAGTCGATATCATCTAAAGGCATCCCAGCTATTAAGACAAGTGATGGCCCCAATGGCGCTCGGGGAGGCATATTTGTCGGGGGCACCAAGGTCGGTCAAAAATCTCGAAGTATAAGACGTCGCTCATAGTTATTCTTATGTAGGCAGCCTTGTTTCCATGCGGTATCTCGCTTGCAGCCACCTGGAATAAAGATCTGCTATACACAGTCGGTCAGCACCTAGCCGATGAGGTCAGGGCTAGGTCAGCCAATGTGCTTCTCGCCCCCACAGTCTGCATGCACCGTCACCCTCTCGGCGGTCGGAATTTTGAATCTTTTTCAGAAGATCCACTCCTTACCGGCAAGCTCGCCTCCAGGTATATACAAGGGCTTCAGTCCAAAGGAGTCGCCGCGACCATTAAGCGTTCGCTGCCACCTACCTATTAGCACTCGAAACTTCAACTAATAATCGATCAGATTTCGTAGCAAATGAACAGGAAACCCATCGGCTCACCATCGACTCGGTGATGATGGAACGTCCGCTGAGGGAGCTGTATCTCCGACCTTTCGAAATAGCTATACGAGAAGCGAATCCCTGGGCCGTTATGTCATCATATAATCTGATTAATGGGACCCATGCCGACATGAACAAGCACACACTCAAAGACATACTGAGGGGAGAATGGGGTTACGACGGGTTAGTCTAGTTCCTTTCCAAGTTGACATAAATGGCTGATATATGTGCTTCTCAGAACCGTCATGTCTGATTGGGGAGGCGTCAATTCAACTATTGAATCGATAAAAGCAGGGTGCGATATTGAGTTCCCCTTTTCGTCGAAGTGGCGTTTCGAGAAGGTCCTTAAAGCCATCGAAGATGGCCTACTTACTATTGATGACATAAACGTTGCTGCAGAGAACGTTTTGACCCTTGTCGAGCGCACAAAAGGAGACGACATGTCTGCTGAAGAAGCCGAGCGTGAAGACGATAGAGAAGAGACGAGAATATTGATTCGTGAAGCGGGTGCGGAGGGTCTAACTTTGCTGAAGAACGAAGGGCAAATCTTACCACTTAACCCCCAAACCACCAAAGTTGCGGTCATAGGTCCGAACGCTAACCGGGCCATTGCCGGCGGTGGCGGCAGCGCCAGTCTTAATCCCTATTATAACACGCTTCCGCTCGATAGTATCAGAGCAGCAGCACAGCAGGAAGTTGTATACGCCCAAGGGTGTCACATCCATAAGTGGCTTCCAGTTGCGTCGCCTTTCTGTACTGACAAATCAGGAGAGCCAGGTGTGACTATCGACTGGTTTAGCGGAGACCAGTTTCAGGGCGATGTGATTGTCACTGAGAGGAGGGCGAATACCGATCTTTTCCTATGGGACTCTGCACCACTATCCCAGCTCGGTCCTGAATGGTCAGCTATTGCAACAACTTACATAACACCGACAACTACCGGCAAGCACACGATCAGTTTCATGAGCGTCGGTCCTGGAAGGTTATACGTAGATGGAGAACTAGCTCTCGATCTCTGGAACTGGACTGAAGAGGGCGAAGCAATGTTTGACGGCTCGATAGATTACATGGTCGACGTTCATATGCAAGCTGGAAGGCCGGCACAACTGCGGGTGGAGATGACGAACGAGCTGCGACCGATTGCGAAGCAGAAGATTTTCAATATGACACATAAATATGGAGGTTGCCGCCTCGGCTTCAAGGAGGAAGACCAGGTTGACTATCTTCAGCAAGCCGTAGAGGTAGCAAGAGAAGCCGACGTTGCTGTCGTTATTGTTGGGCTCGATGCCGAGTGGGAATCTGAAGGATACGACCGAAAGACGATGGATCTTCCTTCCGACGGAAGTCAAGACAGATTAATCGAAGCGATAGTGAAGGCCAATCCGCGAACAGTTGTAGTTAACCAGTCTGGCTCGCCGGTTACCATGCCTTGGGCAGACCAGGTACCCACAATCATACAAGCCTGGTATCAAGGCCAAGAAGCGGGCAACGCGTTAGCTGACGTTTTGTTCGGCCGCCGGAATCCCAGCGGTAAACTTCCAGTAAGCTACCTACATAGACTGCAATAGCCCATCGATTCTGTTAACTAATCATGACAGACGACTTTCCCTCGGCGGCTCGAAGACTCGCCGGCCTACCACAATTGGCCCGGTGAAAACTCGCGGGTTATGTACGGTGAAGGCTTATATATCGGATATAGGCATTACGATCGGACGAGCATCGCACCACTGTTCCCGTTTGGCCACGGCCTCTCTTACACAACGTTCGAGTACGGCCGACCGTCTCTTAGCCGGAGGACGCTGACAGAGTCGGCGCCAATCCACTTGATCATGGCGGTGACCAACACAGGAAGCCTGGCGGGCTCTGAGACTGTGCAGATATATGTCAGCGACGACAAGTCGAGGCTGCCTCGCCCCGAGAAGGAATTAGTAGCGTTCGAAAAGGTATCTCTCCAGCCAGAAGAAACTAAGCATATTATTGTTCCGTTGGATAAGTACGCAGTTGGATACTATGACGACTCGGTACCAGGATGGATCGCGGAGGAGGGTACATTTAAAGTACTGATAGGGGCGTCGGCGACTGATATTAGGTGAGCATTCCCCCCGCCTCTCGCTTAGCGATCTCGTTGATCCCTTAAATTGGCGACCCCTAACCTGCTTGACCTATAGGCATACAGTCCCGTTCGATGTTAAGGAATCGTTCACTTGGACGTTTTAATTCTATGCTAGTAACTTATTTCTTATTTCTTAATTTCACTCTTTTACGCACGCAGCAGGGGCGCTATTATCCTGCGCATACGGGGGCTTTGCTGGATTAGGTACTTCTAATATCCCTATACCCTATACGGTGATTAGGCGTGGGGTATAGGAGCGTATTTCTGGACTGTATATGATTCCCGCCTGGGGCGTTCTTTATAACAAGAGCGATCCAGGCATACTAACATGAGAGAGATATCGGATTATACTGGTACACTCTTTAGCCACAAGGGTAATGGATGATCTGAACGAGTAGCTAGGTACCTATACATGAATATACTTGCTTCTTAACGGAGGAGATATTGGATTTTGATATAGGCCTAGCCTGATGTAACTGGTATTTATATGTGTCGAAGCTAGGTAGACGTTGCCATATATTCGTATACCGGAGTACCTAATGTAGATGGGGCGAAATGAAAATCAGGATTTTCATAATAATCCATCTACACTAGGTATTTTCCCTATAGGTTGTACAATACCATTGGGATAAGAGCATATTTGAAACTATTTCCGTGCTAGGGGGGATTATACACTACCCGGTAGTAAAAATGCCTTTAAACGGTGTCCGGGCCAGAAATGCCGTAGCTACCTCTGGCCTGCGTAAGAATCGTAGATCTAGACCGTTTGTTGCGCAGCTAGGCCCCACATAAAAATTTAAGTTATAGCGTATCATTTTAAGGTAACAACCAGGGTCCAATCTTTTCCCACTACGATTTTGGCGACGCTCCACGTTCCTTTTTAGTGATGTTTCAATACCTTACCTTACCTTAGCTTGCCTTACCTCAAGTAAGGTTTACCTTAGGTAAGGTTAGACTTTTGTATTGTACCTAAACTCCAAACTTATAACATAGTACGTTGAACTATTATTCAACTCTTCTTCTGTAGTTTTTTACAAGTTCGATTCCGGACATTTGGGCTTGATAAACCATTCTTGATTTAATATCATTCGCTATTCGCTATTCGCTATAAAATCATACGAAAGGAGGTTATATACTACAGCTATTAACCTACCTTAACCTAAACCAACCCCCTTATGGCTGCCAATGTCGATCGCCATGGCGCCGCCTTATAGCAACGGCTACGGCTACAGCCACGGTCACGGCCACGGCTACCCCTACCCGTCGTCTTCTCTACCTACGTCCTCCTCGTACGATTACGGTTACGGGAGTAATAACGAACCGCAATCCATCTGCGACGAGATAAGCGCTTGCGTCGGAGTGATGCTGGGGCAGTTATGGGGTTACTTAAACGGACGGGGTCGACAAGTCGCCTGGGGCTGGGCTACGAAGGCAGCGCACCAGATCAAGAGGAACATGACGCGACGGCGTCTCCTGAGCTTCCCGCATCTGCTCGTCGGTCTTTGGGTGCTCGTTATGCTGTGGGGGGAACGCTGGGTGTTCGCGAGTCGGATACGAAGTTGCGACTGGGACCATTGGGAGGACTGGGTAAGTGATATCATATTGGTGTAGAACAGGAGCGCAAAGAAAAAGGAAGTGGTTAACATATATTCGCAATAATTATTATAGCCAGCTGGAGCAACGCCGCATCGCTTAATATTCATCGCCGACCCCCAGATTATCGACCCTCACTCGTACCCCGGTCGCCCGTGGCCCCTCAACCCCCTCACCATGACCATTACCGATAACTACATGCGGCGATCGTATATACAGCTACAAAAGCAATTACATCCCGACACCGTCTTCTTTCTCGGCGACCTTTTCGACGGCGGGAGAGAGTGGAAGACGGCGAATGGGAACTTCGAAGACCCGGAGTGGGCAAAGGACCACCGCCCGGCAGAAGAGCGGAAGCACTTGAAGGAGTGGCATAGGAAATACGGCGACAATTACTGGCTGCGAGAGTACGCCAGGTTCGGCAACATATTCTACGACAACTGGAACTTGGGAGGTGTCTCCCCCGGCCCGGGACAGCGGGGGCGAAAACTCATCTCGAGTTTACCGGGGAATCACGATTTAGGGTTCGGCGCTGAGGTAAAGGTTCCAGCGAGGCATCGGTTTTCTGCTTATTTTGGAGAGACGAACAGGGTTGATGTCATCGGAAATCATACTTTTGTGTCCGTCGATACTGTGTCCCTGAGCGCCGGCACCTCGAGCATGAGAGGTCAGGTCGATCTGCAGCCTATCTACGGCCCTGTCCAGCAGTTTTTGAAGGAAGTTCAGGTGACGAAGCGTAGAGCTGTTCAGAAGGAGGTGCGGTTCTGGAGGGGTGAGGTGGAGGAGGTTACTTTCGAGCAGAAAGTCGAGGATCTTGAGACGGCAGACTTCAGCAAACTACCCACCATCGATCCGGGAGAGGGCGCACCCGATTTACCGACCGTCCTCTTAACTCACGTACCTCTGTACCGACCTCCGGGGACCCCCTGTGGCCCGATGAGAGAGCACTGGCCTCCGGCGAAGCCGCCCAAGGGACAAACGGGGCCGGTAATCCCAGATCACAGAAATGCCATCAGCGTTTCGGGCGGATACCAATACCAGAACGTGCTGGATCCGGAAGATTCCCAAAAGCTTATCAAGAACATCGGCAACGTGATACACGCCTTCTCCGGAGACGACCACGACTACTGCGAGGTGGTGCACTCGGCGGAGCAAGGGAACGTGCGCGAGATCACGGTCAAGAGCTTCAGCATGGCCATGGGGGTGCCGACCCCCGGCTTCCAGATGGTATCTATGTACAACCCGATCGACGAGAACGGAAACACCCTCCCCGGGTCCCCCAAGACTACCCTGCAGACCCACCTCTGCCTGCTCCCGCAGCAGCTCTCGACGTTCGTCACGTACGCCGTCCTCGGCGCCGTCACCGTGCTGGTGCTCGTCGCGCGCGCCTTCCTCCTCCCCGTCTTCAACTTGCAGCCTTTCGCCCTCGAGCCCGTCCACCAGCGGTACGCTTCCTCCGCGCTGCTACTCCCAATCTTCAAACCTAAGACCGAAGGCGACGACCGCTCCGCCTACGACGCCAAGCCGACCTCGTCTGGAACTTCCTCGTCCAAGTTCCCTTCGGCGCGCGTCTCGTCGACGACGCGGCCGCGCGGCCAGTCCATTAACAACAACGGCGGCGCACAAGCGAGCTCGGGGAAATGGGGTTGGGGCCAGAACAACAACAGCAGCAGCAACAACAATAGGGGTCCTCGAATAGAAATTCGGAAGGACTCGTATTACGACGACATTAACAATAACAATAATAACCACAGCTACAGCTACAGCTATAGCGATTACAGCAACAAGGAAGGGGGGCGCGGCGACGCGTGGAAGCCCGCGTCCAGGGCCAGGTCCTGGTCGAGGTACACTACCCTGAGCGTCGTGGGCAGGGAGATATGGACGACGACGTGGCGCGTCGCGTGGATGGTTCTGGGGTTTTTCGCGTGGATTACGTATCAAGGGTAAGGCTAAGGGTAAGGGTAGGGTAGAAGAGTTAAGTAAGGGAGGCAGGGAGGGGGACCGGTATGGAATTATGTATGCCCTTAGGCACTATGTGTGCGTACCAAGGTAGTAAACTGCGACGCTTTAAATAGGTTATAGGTAACTTGTATAACCCCCCTCCTTTTTTTCTTCTTCTTTTCTCTATGTGTCTAGGTTTTACGTTTGTCCTATCCTATGTTTCCTTTTCTTTTCTTTTTTTACGGAAGAGAGAAGATATAAAAGGGGTAAGTAAAAAAGGGGGGAGATACGTAAAATGGCTACTCGAAATCGTTCTCTCTACACGGATTAGCGATTAGCAATGCTGGGGATAGAACACTAAGGAAAGATGATTAAGGATATGTATTATCTACCGTGGGTATAAGGGACCTTATATATATATATATATATCTCCCGAACGGTAATAATTACACAAGTCAGATTCCACTTAGCTACCTACCTAAGGTGTCTACAGACCTACAATCGCAACCCAAGACACGGGAAATCATACAAGGATCCAACTTGCACACTACAAGAACTTCGTAAACAATCACCGAGTAGATAGGACAAAACAATTTGAACATTTCAACTTTTTTAAATTCGCCAGGCACTTAGTTAGCAGGTAGCTAGCAACAGATCCAACTCGACCACTTATCTATTCAAGCCGTGCTGTGGGTTACCCGCAAGAAAAAGCAGTAGGATCTTCCCCTAGAGGGCCACCTGCGCCGCAATAGGTATAAAAGTATAGCGTAAGTATACCTAATGGCTTATCCCACAATACGGGTGTCGTCGAGGAACCAAAAAGAAAAAAAGCCTGTGTTCCTAGTCGAGGATAAAAACATGGGAGGGGGACCTTATGCGGCCCAGTGGCCATACGCGCCTCGTCCCATATTTTGAGGCGGTTTGATATATGCCTAACATGATCCCGTAATTGTTCCTCCCCCAAAATAATAATGATGTCGCATGACGTGATACCTATGATGCCGCCCTTGGTACCCGCCAAACCCATAAGCCCACCGTCCCAGAAAATTCCAATTGTGAATTGCGAATGATTCCCTAGTGGTCCAACTCCAACTCCCGTTGCCGTAAACTCCGTCGCGCGTTAAACTCCTAAGCTGATATATCCAATGTGACACCAAAGAACAGAAAATCCCAACGCCCCCTTCGGTAGAGGCGGTTATAACTAAGGCGGAGGCGGTCGCGTTCCGACGGACGATAATAAAGAATCCAAGATCAATAGCTGAAATCGACATTACCCATACCCATTTGATTTATTATTTTATCCTCTTCCGATTGGCTGTCATTAGGGTTGGTGTCTGTAGTATGTATCGTCTGTACGCTCTCGCTAGTAGTCGTCGTAGTTCTAGAGGCTTGTTGTAATTCGTGTTCGGGTGGCGGAATGCCGCTGTCGGCAAATCCGTCGTCGCGCAACTGTTGAAAACTCCAGCTCGGCTCAAAGTTTTTGCTTTTCCAAGCAAAGGGAACGCGTTCGTACATCTCGTCGATCTGCTCCAAGCTGATTTTGCTCGTCTCGTAGATCATACCGTATACGAAGATGGCGGCGAGCACACAAAAAGCTCCCCAAACGTAAAAGACCTTAGCCCCTAGAGCAGCATACCCATTTCCTTCTTCCACCATAAAGGGCGTGCCGTAGCCAATACCAAAATTTAACAACCAGTTGGACGCCGTGGAAATCGACATTGACTTTGCGCGAATCTTGAGAGGATATATTTCTGAAGTAACGACCCAGGTAACTGGACCCCACGAGGCGGCGTAGAAGAAAACGAATAAGGAGACGAATACAATGACTAGTTTAGCTACCAATGAGCTCTGCGAGTCACTCGCCAGGGTGGAAAACACGGCGATCACGAGTTGGCATACAGCCATACCCAACGCGCCGACAATAAGTAGTTTCCGACGGCCCCAAGTTTCTACAACGAATAACCCGGGGATAGTCGACACGACATTGATGACATTCATGACGAGGGAGATTAGGAAAGGGTCCGAGACACCAGCGGTGGTGAAAAAGGTAGTTCCGTAGTACATGATGAAATTGATGCCTGTAAGTTGCTGTAACATCTGAAGACAACAACCAGTCAGCGTCCGGCGACCGAGATGAGGCGTCCCGACGAAAAGGTCACGGTAGGAGGCGGTTCCTAATGCGAGTTCATAGTCGTGGTTCGCTTCGATTTCGGCGAGTTCTTCGACAAGAGCGGGATGGGTTATATCGAGACGTCGAAGGCGACTAAGAGCGAGACCAGCGGCATGTTTATTGCCTTGCTTAATGAGGAATCGAGGGGTTTCGGGGAGGATGAGGAGACCGAGACATAGAACACAGGCCCATGTGAATTGAAGACCCATGGGAATCCGATACGCAGCTGCACCGGCCATCTTTCGCGTGAGGAGATTGACGATGGACGCCGCCAATAGACCGAACGTTATCGAAAGTTGATATGCGCAAACTAACGTACCGCGAATCCATTTCGGAGCCATCTCAGATTGATATAAAGGAACAAGGACAGATATAGATCCAACACCAACACCGGCGAAAAACCTACAGATTGGCATTAGCAAACCCAACCAGAGAGATACAAATTAAAGAAACCGAATGTGAACAACACACCTGCCCGCTAGCAGCATCGGAATGGCATCCGCGCAAACCTGGAATATGGCGCCGAAACAAAAGACACAGACGGAGGCGATGATGGAGATTCGACGACCTATCCAATCACCGAGAGGGGCGGCGATGATGGAACCGATAACGGTACCGGCACTCAAGATGGCGACGATGATGGATATTTGAGAAGGGGAGAGGTCATAACTGCCGTCGCGGTCTACGTAACCCGTATTGAATTGACTCTTGAATGAACTCATCGCAAGGATACCGTTTATCGACCTTGAAAAGTTAAGATAGTTAGCGTATATTGCATTACGTACACCTATTTCCAAGAGTTCTTCCAAAGCATTGAAACATGAATCAACTGAAGCGGAAGGTTCGGGGTTGGGTTTAGGTTGTGTGGTGTGTGGTGTCTTGTCGTGGCGTCGTGGTGTCGTGGTGCTCACCCTGTATCGTATCCGAACAAGATACCACCGGTCGCTACAAAGAGGCCAACCATGATCGCCGGGGCAGAAGAGCCGGCGACATTGTCGGGTTTGTGCCAGCCCATGGCTATCGCCATGGTGACGGTGTTTCGACGTCAAACCGGCACTATTGATGATTATTGCGTCGTTCGTAGTCGATAGGAAAGAAGCAGTGGTTGAATTATACGATATCCCATATACGATGTCCCATTGATTGAGAGACGCCTTTGGGGGGATAGGACAATGTAGGTGGGAATCGATAGGATAGTGGGTAATAATAGAGTTGCGAGTTGCAGGGTGGAGAAGAAAAAAAGGGCAGAGGGAAGAAAAAAGGCGGGAGAAAAGAACCAGAGGGTCAGGGTCAGGATTAGCACCACCAACTTCCAACTGGGGGGGGGGACGCTGGAGAAGAAGCAATGGGAGTAGTACAAGAAAACAGCGTTAAAAGCGCCAAGATGTCAACCGATTTGATTGGCTCTGGATCAAAAGTGGGTGTGCCTTAAGCGAGTCCAGTCGACGGGGTTTCGATTCAAGGAAGTCGCTGGACATCGAATTTGGATTTCCATCCTGGTCTTGTACCTACCTAAGGTACCTACCTAACCTAAGGTTAGTACCTATAATAAGTTTGTAGTTTGCTGCATGCTTACCTCCTACCACATGGGCACTAGGTGCTTTGAGGTACATGTATCTTGCATTTCATGTATTCTGTGTTTGTACCCTGTAGGTATCTCCAACACTGTTCAGGTTAGCCTCTAAGCTCCCCAAGTTCCTGCGAGTCGCTGAAATCTCTTTGGACTGAACCTGTTTGCTAGGATACTAGCCTCTAGGTATGTAGGTTAGCCTGGTCACAACCAACTGCTATCGTACGACATCGAGAATACCCCTAGGAATTTAGTAGCCCGGCAACAAGGACTACCGTGGTTTAGAGCCATGTGTATAAAAGAGGGTATATTACATAGTTGTTAGTAAGGAAGGGTAAGGTTAGGTAACGAGATATATGACTTGGTACCGATCCAGTCGAAGATTTTTACTACTCACTCAAAGAGAATCTCTATACGATAGGTAAGTTGGCAATACGAATATCACTCACTCGCATGGCAACATAACCCGCTGAACCGATTGAAAGGAGAATACACAGATGTAGATGTAAGTATCTGGCACGCACGCAGCACGTCTCAACTCTCAACTCTCAACTCTGCGCTTGCAGCTATCCGTATTCGGACTGGTAAGATAATATAGACAGACAACTAGTAAATCTCGTTGCCAAGGGGATAAGACCGTCCTCTATCGAAGCCTATCCCGTATATATCCTAGGCGCCTTGGATTTGTTGGAGCATGCAATACCTATCGTTGCACACCAATATTTGCGGCCAAGTGCCTAGCTACCCTAACGCAAGGTAGGAAAATAGACGGCTCTTGGGAAGGATTCACACCTGCTACGGCCGACCAGTCGATACCTTGCAGGGAACGCAAATTGGTTTCCTGTTTGGTCCTTGCCTCAGAATTTCGTAAAACGAGTGTAATAACTATGGCATCACGTACTATCTCGTTACACCTGAGCAGCCCGAGGGTAAGGAGAGAGGTAGGCAAGCAAGCCAATGAACGATATCCTCGACCCGGCGATCCCTTAATCCATATTTTGGGCTGCAGAACTTGTCTTGGGTGAGTGTGACACAGCATAAAAGGACGAGCTAGAAGACGTACGTAAGGGTAATCAGACTATCCGACTAGAAAAGTTAATAATAAGCGGTGCATTAGTACCTAATATAGTATAAGCCGTCACGGGGTAATGGTACTACATAGTGTGGATGTAAGATGAAAGAGAATCAGAAATAGCGGTGATATCGTCGATGCTCCATTAGGATTAGAGGGATTTTAGGTAGATGCCCAGTACCTAGTCGACACCATAGGATTAGATGCAATTAGATGGTTTAATAGTGATGGTCCAGGGGGGGTGTAGTGTCCTTGGCTGCTAGAACCAAGACGACGAGTCGTAAATGGTGACTCGAATTAGGTAACAGGTAATTCAGTCTTGAAAGAGTTAAGCTTGGTCGTTGGTGCGGAATGAGAAGAGAAAAAAAAAAGGTCCAGCTAGCAGTAGCCGTGGATCACAAGAAAGCCTTTGCGGGGAAGACTGCTCCACGATGTAATAATGCCCCCATGATTCCAGGAAAAGACAATAGCGGCGCAAAGCGTGGAGACTCCACGCGAGAACGGCGCCAAGAATGTTCCTTATTTGGAAACGACCCTGCTTTTATCATTTTAGTTTTTTTTTTTGGACCATAAATTTCTCCATCTGGAAACGGTCTCTTTCTCTCTGGTGCTGCTGCTAGATTAATGTTATGCATATATGTATGAAATGTACATTATGTAAGATACATAAACTTGAAGTTGTTAGGTATTACTTTCCTAACTGCCAGATTGGAGCAATGAAAAAGAAATCAAGGTACGAGGCTGAAAAGTACCTAACCTAACCTAACCTAATGCTAGAAGCCACGCTATTATGAGATGGTACCTTAGGCAACCTAAACTATTTGTACGTATCTAACTTTACCCCGGGGTCCCCCCTGCTCTGGTCAAGATTTGGAATACCCAGCTCGCCTTCTGCATTCAATGTGGATCCCAAGAGGTACTAGCTTTAGGTATTACCTGTATTGTACTTAATCTAGCCCGCCTGGGTTGGATGTATTATTTAATGCGCTTGCATTCAACTTCTCCAAAATCTTGACAACGGTTCTCCGTAAATCGTTGCCAGTTATCAAATGATCCCTTTTTCGGTCAGCGGGAAATATCGGCGTCACGGCCGGCCACATTCCATTTCTCCTAATCCGTAGGGGAATTATCTTTCTGCAGCTTGCCAGATACCCCCTAAAGATCGGTCATTTCGAATCTATGATTGCAGGTAGGCAGTGTGACATGTCGTCGACAATTGATAGGTACTGTAATGTTTGACCAGAGATGCCCGGCGATGATCCAATATCATGGGCGATGTATGGCAAATAATATACCTGACCCTTTTCGCATCATCCGGGCTGAAGTTACGAATTCTGGACGACATCAAACACCCGGGAACATGGGAGCGCCCAATGACAAGTCAGAAGAGGCCAACACCTGAAGTATCCCCATTAAGAACACCTACCGAACCACTTGTCCAATCACAATGCCCCCTTTTCACTATCCTCGCCGCACAGGCACAGCCCAGATTAATATGTCCTCAATCCTGTAACAAGCCAGCCAGTTTTACCAACATTCTCCCTTTCCCTTGCCGCGAGGTCAAAGAGGGAGGGCCTGTGCGATCATCCACGTTCGCTTTCAATCACAACTGGTTACCTGTCCCTCGGAGCCAAGATCAGGTTAGTTTCTTGTTTGTGCAGGTGACTGAAGCAAACCTCCATACCGGTAAGAGATGCCTACCTACCTACATACTTGGGCTTGGGATTATTCAAAGAAAGAATTTCTTTTCCTGCAGACTGTAAGCTATCTACGAAAGCAAGTTACCAAACCCCGGAGAAGAGGGTTCACCCCGTATGTGATTCGTTACTAGAAAAGAAGGCACTGGCTGTTACGGACAGGCTTACCCGTGTCTTATACGAAAAAGTTGCGCGCTCACGGCCGTAAAGCTCGGGTAGCTACGAGATAAAGAAAGAAGAAGAAAAAGAAACCCGAAGCTACTTTGTTACATCGGCTTGATTACGAGGATTACGAGGGGCATAACATTATGGGTATCTCAGACCGTTAAGTACGTACATAAGAGAGAATGCTCTTCCTGAGTCCTAACCACCCAACCTCGGATCGTATATTTATACAAGAAGAATGAAATATTCTTCTTTGCTTTGAACCGCTTGGCTTTGGGTTCCGTAGGGTGATGTTAAATTCACATTTGCCTGTTTCCCTTTCCGTGTCCCCCAGGTTCCAGACCAGAGGCGCTTTCAGCTAATTTAGGTAGTTTCATTGTACAGAACTTCGGGACCGGAAGAAAAAGTCCACGTACGTATACGTATACGTATATGTATACATTGTCTACATGCCTTACATATGAGGTATGCAGGTAGGTTTCCTAACATCACACAAAAATTCTCCTGAGAAAAAAGAAAAGAAAAGAAAAGAATAATAATAAAAATAATAAAGTCCGATTGCTATGGGCCCAGGGTCGGTCGTTGGGTTTCGTCCGAAAAGACGGATTCAAAGTCGAGAAAGTGAAGCTTACTATGCCTGTGCCTCCTGGGGACGCAGGTTAAGTTACCCTTTCCCACTGGACTGGCGTCCTAATCCGCTACGCTAGACCATACCATACCATACCATATCTAGTATCCTCGTTGGAAGAGCGCAATACGTTCCGCAGAAAGCACCTGTTTGAAAATGGAATAAAAGCTTCTGACAGGCACCATTGTGTCACGCCGTGGAAGCGTAAATGGACTGTATAGGTACCTAAAGCAAGCTTCCCCTGAGAATAGGGGTACGTGTTTACTATGAAGAATAGGTATGGACGCACATCTTTGGAGATTTGCATGTGCCCCCGACTTGACTTGGGAAATATACCTTTCCCCTTCGCCATCTCCAAAGCAGATATTCTAAGTAGTGATGCCCACAAGTATACCCAGTGCGTCCTAAGCAAGTTCCTCTCCTTCAACTTACCACGGATCCATCAACAACGATGCCGCTGGAGCACATGAAGACGCAATAAGTCGGCCTCTTCCTAAGCGAACGAATATGAGCAGACAGAGCTAGCCGAAGCGGTGCGTTAGGAAGGTATGTATGTACCTAGGTAGGTAGGTAGGCATGTATGTAACTCTGTAAGAGGTATGTTTATTTGTTTGCTTCTCATTGTTTCCCGTGATTCATGATTCCACACCCCAGAAAGCCGCAATCAGCTAACGGTTGTTAATCAACAGCCGAATGGTAATGCCTGGGTACGGCCCAGAAAATCGCCGTTTTCGTGTGTGCGTGTCAACGGGTCAAGATTAGAGGACGCTGTGTTAAGTAGTTCATGACATTATTTACCAAGGTAGAGGATATCTGTCTGCGGGGATTTGGTGTTGGTTACAAGATGGTTGATGTGATATGGTCAAGTTTACTCTCTCGCCTTAAGCTACGACTACGACTGTGGAAAGGAACGTTCCATGAGGGTTCACTTTGGGTGCTAACCCACTCCCACACATCTTCAACATGGTTCCCACGTTCGAATCCATATTGTAGGATCTGATATCTCTTATCTGGAACACTGCACGAATGGGGTCATGGGACGGCGGAAAGACTCCTGCCCTTTATGTTGGTTGGCGGCATATTGGACAAAGGTATGGCCATAAGTAGTTGTGATATGTTTGGCCATTGACACACGAAACATCTAGATTACTACCGTCGTCGTCTTTAATTCCAAATAAGGGGCCTTTTATATCGAACACACCCTGCCTATCAGAGACGTTTTGGACATGGCTAGATAGAGATCCGGTTCATCCAGCCAAAGGCCGAACGAGATGTGGTAAACGAACTGGATTATAGGCCGGCCGTATCAAGGCACATAAATATCAAGGTTAACTCAATGATGGCATTATAGTTGTAGGCTAACGAGCATTAGTACTTGTGGCCGATACTGCATAGGTATACAATCAATACAAGACTCGTCTCTAAACTAGCATGGCAAGCAGCAGTAGCAGCCCGTCTATTAGGAATTTCATGCTGCCCTTGATATATATACTATGCAGTGTTAGGAGTCATACACGTAGTATGTTAATAGGGCTGAACTAGGAACTCCTAACCCTCTATTCTCAGACGAAGGAGCTGATTATCCCTTATATATCCAATAAACCTCTATACTCTACCTTCTTACCCTCCATATCCCTAACTACACCAGAATGAAGAGCAAGACATAAGTAACCTCCCAACGAGTTGCGAGAATCCACATTCACGACCTGTCAAAAAGGCAACTCAAGTCCTAATGCACATAGTTCGGACACCACACTCTTCCATTGCACCTCATTCAACTCTATAATTACCCAGATAGCCACATACTTAGAAACCATATATAAGCAACTTTTGACTTCCTTGAAGTTGTCCTCTTCGCTAGTAGGAAGCACCTTAGGTAATATCCTTACCTAAATAGCCTACCTCAAAGAAGAGGTGTAGCCGTTAACTGCTGGTGAGTTGCGAGGCCGTCCGGGGACCAGTTATACGTTTCGTACGCACCTAACCTAATGTACTAACTAGACTAGCATAGCATTGATGATGCCGTAGGTACCTAATATAAATTACGAAATTCCGTCTAGAGACATCTAGGACTGATCTCGAAGAGCTATTGATATTAGTACATGCCTCACTCATATATGACTGGGCGACTTTACCACGTTTAGTACTTACCTAAAGTTAAGTGATGTGATGAGACGAGACAAGATCGAGACATGTAACCTAGCGAGAAGCCCCTATGTTGGGGGGATTCTTGATAACCTTGTATGTCATACTGAGCGTTGAAAGCCGTATAACTATCTCTAACCTAACTGAACGTATTAGAACATGTATATGTAAGGTAGGTAGGTACCTTAACTGTCCAAGTCAAATAGATCACAAGCTATCCTGTCATTTCTTACCTACGCAACAAGCATAACGTTCAAATCACCCGATAGCCTCCTTTCCTACCTACCTAGGTAGGTAGGCAGGTATCTTATCGAAACCTCGATCACCAACATCACAAAAGCACCCCCCTCCTCCGAACATAACGCTCATCACATCATGAACACACATATCAAGCACACACACATTAAACCAATCAAGATCAACTCCAAACTCCAAACGACATAAAATCCAAGTGATATATTCCTAAAATGCTGATACATCTTGACGTAATCCTATACTACCATATCATATCAATACATACGGCCCCGGGCCATCATCATTCAGCCCAATGCAACAACGACGACCACAATAACAATAACAAGAAGCGGCTCGCGTAGCTGCTGATTTTACTATTTCGCCCACCCCATATGGTAATAATAATAATAATAAAGTCTGGGGTGCTTCTGGCGTATCTCATTACACGGAAGGATTTAACCTAGGTACCTGTCAGGAACACAAAAAAAATGTCGAAATGGGTCTTTGCACGATGTAAAGCCAATTCCCAAAGCGCCGCCGGATTAAAGTTTTTGTTTCCTTTTCTTGTTTTGTTTTTCGGGGGGAGGGGCTAGCAAGTAACGCTTAGATCTTAAGGGTAATCTCCTGTTCCTTGACGCGCCCTATGACTTGCTGGGGCGCGTACTTGGGGATAACCTCATCGTCGTGCAACATCTCGAATTCTTGCGTCGCGTCCCGGCCCATGTAGTTCATGATGGCCTGGGGGCCGCCGGGGTGCTCGTCGAGCCAGTTCGTCAGGTCCAAGACGATACCCTTGACAACAACCCAAAGGTCTTCCTTCTTGTTGTGCTTGGCTACTTCTTCTAGCGTGAACTCCTTCTCAGGGATCTCAAACTTCTTTGCCTCCTGGGCCTTTCCTGCGGGCTGGGATGACTTGCCACCGTCTGCCGTCGGGGCCTTTTGATCAGCACCTCCGGATGATGATGATGAACTCGAAGCGCCGTTTCCCCACTCAATCTCCACCTTACCCGGTTGTGAAGGGTCGATGTGTAGGGAGATCTGACCAAGACGCTGGGCGGCTCCGGCAGAGCCAGAGAGAGCCTGCTGGAACAAGTAGTTGCTGGCCGACTCTCCAGCAACACGGCCGTAGACTACACAACCCAGAAGCGAGGAACCACCAAGTCGGTTAGCACCGTGGACACCACCGGCCAACTCACCACAGGCGAATAGACCCTCGAAAGGCTTCTTCTCCTGGTTCAGGACTTGGGCCTTGTCGTTGATCTCGACACCACCCATGGTGAAGTGAAGAACAGGTTCCATCAATGAGACGTGGAAGTTATCGTTGATGTCCAGAGGCAAGTTGTGGAAGAACTTCTTGCCCCAGGGGTCCTTCTGCTTACCCTCGCCGATGGCGTTGTAGGTGGTGAATGTCTTTTGGAGATGCTCGGGCGTGCAACCAATCTCCTTTGCGAGCTCCTTGCCACTCAGCTTCTTCATCAGGCCACGGCCAGTGTAGTGACGAGTGTGGAAGTCCAAGACGCTGGAGGCCTTGGAATTGAGCACAAGCCGGATAGGGAACTTGCCCCTGTCCTTCTCCTTCCACATCATGTTGGAGATATAATCTCGGTGGCCGAGCTCATCGCAGAATCGGTCACCGTCAGCGTTGAGCAAGAGACCACCCTCACCACGCAGGGCCTCAGCAGCCAAGAACTTCCACTTCGAGCCGGGGTCCTTGGGGTCGACAAGGCCTGTGGGGTGGACCTGGACCTTGTCCATATCAATTCCGTTTCCTCCGATGGCCATTACCATCTTCTGTCCATCACCGGTGGCGTGCGAGCCGTTGGTGGTGGCAAGGCCCATAGTGTCTGGCCTATGTTGCTTCAACAGGGAGTTCTCGCCGAAGTCTGCGGCGTAACCACCAGTAGCAAGGACGACGGGACCGTCGAGAGTAGCGCTCTCACCACCGGCCTCATATGTGACACCGGTAACCTTGTTACCATCCTTGTTTAAGTTTGTGACGCGAGCCTTCTTGATGACCTGGACGCGTTCGGGTTCGGCCTCGGCGAGTTCTTCTAACCTTTGCATCAAGGCGTATGTGATGGCCATACCGGGGAACTTAGCGTCGTGTCCTCGGTGTGTCCTGGGTTGAGAGTGACCACTATCAAAACAATTAGGATAAAATACCTAGGTGAAAACAACAAGATTTTCTCTAGACTCACCCAAGTCGTGAAACTAAAGTCAAGTCCAGGTTGAAAACATCTTGTAACCACTCAACAGCGCCTGCAGATTTGTAGGTGAGGACCTTGATGAGATCGGGTCTGGCCTGGTCTCGTGCGGATCTGAGGGTATCATCGTAGAACTGCTTTACGCTATCCTTGATGTTGTTATCAACCTGTGTCCGCGTTAAAGCGCCGTTGATTCCAGATGTGGCCTTGGTTGAGTTTCCTCCGAAGAATCCTAAGATAAACAAACGAATTAGTCTCCAAGCTCGTCCCAATCGTAAATCGAATGAGCTTAATTCTCTCTTACCTTGCTTATCAAGTACTACGACATTACCACCACTTAGGTAGATTGTGTGCGCAGCACTTAAGCCGGACACTAGATGCAATTGTCAGTCTCGTCGTCGTTGGAATGATGACAGCTCACACAAAGAGCGGGGAGGGAATTGAAGCTTACAGCCACCACCAACGACGATTACTCGAGGTGCCATTTTGATTGATGTGGTTTATTTATACGGAACTGCCTTTAACTACCGGTGGGAGTGATGATGTAGAGGAGGCAGGAGAAAGAAAAAGGTGGAGAGAGAGGATATAAAGTTGTCTGAAGGAAAAGAAAAAAAAAGTTTAAAGTAAAGACGAGAATAAATGAGAAAAAGGGATTGTCGGGCTTGATATTTCGTTGTAACTGTTTTGCTAGCTGACCTTCTGGGCCGAGTCGAAGCTGCTTTACTTTGAATTGCTTACGTTCTGATTCGTGCGCGGGCGTGCCGAGGTCAACTTCTTAGCGCATCAGGGGCCAAGCAGGTACCTAGATACAATACAATAGGACCTAGGCACTTTGTACTTTCACTCAATTGGTACTTCTAAGGTTCCCTCTCTCCAGTCAGGTAATTACGCAGAAGCCAAATCCGTACAATTTGCTATTATCGCATTGAATATCGATGGGTTTTTGTTTAGAGAATTGGTCGATGATTCACATCTTCTAGAAATAGGTATTAACACGTAGGTATTTTAAGTATCTTAACGTACAGGTATTCCACTTTTAGAACTACGGCTACTGGCATCCAAGTGGCACACATACCTATGTAGACGGAAGCAGACTCGAGGTAGGTACATAACACCTGTAATAACCCTTCGCACAATATTCGGCCGAGGAGGTGATGTCACTAGGTAGCTGCCCCAGTCTCGCGTACTCATGTACACCGAATTATCCGGTACATCTTGACCAGAATGCCGAGGCTCTCTATTTAGTTAGGTACATGCTTGGTACCTAGGTAGGTACCTACTACCTACTAACTCTTACACTATGCCGTGTCTACTCTGGCAGATTGGATCCTCCACATTCAGAAAAGAAAGAGAAAAAAAATTGCTTATGGGGTAGAGTCAACGGCTCTAAAGCTTCTTCCCCACAGTCACGAGCCTGGCGGATTGAACCTTGCACGGCGGGAACCCACGGGGATTTTGAGATCGGATTAGATGTGTGCATCAAGGACCCTTTTTGTTGGAGTGATATATGTACCTGACCTGATGTAACTGGAAGGTGTCGACAAGAGTATCGAACGATTTAATGCATTGTTCGGATTGTATATACAACTGCGGGATTACGCTACGATTGGGTACATGGATGTGTTGCCTACAGGTATGCAATGTGTAATGTACCTACATACACAGTACCTACCTATAACAGTAGGAATGAGTCTAACAATATTAGCAACAATTTAAACACATGTGATTCTCCTCCCCCCCAAAAGCTATGCCCCGGACCGGCAAAGAACGAAACCGGCTTATTCCCCCACACGAGAGTCGCGTGTCAGATGATTCTCTCTTAATAACTAATACCCATAGCAAGACTGGTTCGGCATGGCAGCTGATCTAGTAAATCTGGGGTTTTCTCACTGGCCTAGTCCCTCGCTACAGAACTGTGACAACTAACCCCATAACCGACCTGCAGGGTGGAAAATAACAAGGCCATATTGGATTTATTTAGCATGTGAAAAATGCGGGATGTACCTACGTCTGCACGCCTCTACGGGTAGCCGCATCGTTAGCTTACAAAACTTAAATTCCTCGTGAAGGATTACGTAGGAGGTAGTAATAATAATACATGTCCTATTATCCCCAAATAAGAAGAATAAGCAATATTTACCTACGGAAGTAAGCAATGTTCCTGTCCTAGGGCTTGTTGGGGGGTATCCGTGACCTAAAAGCCTCGAGAACTAATATTTGAAAAAAGCAACCCGAAATAATAATATCAACACCACCCATTTACTAACCACCGCCATCTTTATTACATGTCAAGTTCTCGTCTCAAAGCACTGGTAAGGGTTTCTGTTCCGCGGGCCTCTGCTGCTGTCTCGCCTCGTCCCAATCCATAAACCCCCAAATTCGCTGGATCTTGCCGTCCACAATCTGATAGGTCGCATGCTCGGTGAACTGGACGGGTCGGCCATCGACCACTAGTCCGGCGTACTCCTTCACCGGCGTTCCAGTGAATTTCAGCCATACTGCCACGCGCTGAGATTCCTCGTCGGCGATCAGCGTGTGGATTTGCACTTGGAGGTCCGGGATCGCTGTCACCGTGTCGTCCATGATGCGACGGGCCAACGTCTTGTTGTTGAGTATCTCTTCTGGTCGGTGGACGTACTTGACATAATCCGTCTTAGTTCGGCGGGCGTTGAAGCTGTCAACGTAGGCTGTAAGGATTTCCGCGAGCTTCTCGCGGGACAGCGGTGTTTCCATCTTAGGGACCGGCTCCTCGCTGATGAGATTGGGCGCAAAGTCGGCATCGGGTTCTGCTAGTTGCTTGCGTATCTCGTCGCTGTTCACCGCGAGTAGAGTCTTAGAGAGCTTGCCGTCCGTAAACCATGCGATGCCTCGTTCCACTAAATAAATATCGTGGCCCTTAGGTAGGTAGCCTAGGAGAGGCATCTCGGGTTTGAATTTGACCCATATTGAAAACGAAGCACATTGGCTATTCTCGTCCACAAGGATGTTGTCTTCGTTGATGGTAATATCCTCTCCCATCAGAAGAGCTACATGTTCCTTGACATGCGTTGCCCACGATTCGGGTGTGTATTCGGTGCCGTTCTGGTTGTATGTTGAGTGCAGATATTTAGGCAAGTCGCCCAATCTCTTCTCATTGACGCATTGGATCCAACCTCTGATGGTGGCAACTAATTCCGAAGCGGTGGCAGGCATGGCGATATATTTGTGATTTGAGGTTGAATTGATTTTTTCCCCTTCTTTTGTTGTACTGAGGGTCGTTTTGATGAGCTTTATGTCCAGACTTTTTTGTATCGTACTCGGCGGAGCGGAAAACCTAGATAAAAGACCCTCATCGGCGACTAGATTGGGAAGTGACGAATAGCTGACCGCCACATGATTATCAGGCATGATCAAAGAGACATACCTGCCTCGCCATGTTTCTACGCACGTACGTGTGTGCGGCAATAACGCAGCTTATTCAACGCCAGTACCAAGGTCCTAATAACTGACGTAACCCCTACTTAGACCCAAAGTCTGCTTTTTTGGCGCCATCTTTGTTCTAATAATAAAAGAAAAAAAAAGCGGTATTGGTAATCGCTTCAGCTACAAAACGCGCCACGCGTCTCTACTAATATTTCCAAGGTGGAAAGGTAGGGTAGATGGGGGCAGATGGGGCAGTATATGCCTAGGTACCTACCTACCTAATGTAGGGTAAACGGAACAGAGTCCTCTTCCTTTTTTTCATAAACGTCACCATCAAATGGTTGTTTTGGCCCCTCGTGAATGTGTGCATGGCCATACTTATGTCCGATGAGCCAAGGGAGGTGACAATGCTACCGTCAGAGTGGCTTAAGTTGGCGTTTGGCTGAAGTGATAGAACAGTGCCATCCTGGCCTGCATGATTGGCTATTTCTGTTTCGAGGCGCATAGTTTTTAATCTGTCCCAACCGTCTTTCCCCTCGACAGCAAATCCGTACTTGACATCGGGCGACGTGGTGGTAGAATATTTTGAAGGATGCATTCTTAGCCAGCAGACGACCACAACTTCCACGCCGCCCACGCTCAGCCGTAGGTAGCCGAAGAACTTTTCACCCCCAGTTATAAATGCGTTTAGACTATAGTCAAACGATTCTTGTGGTATTACCTTGACCATTCTAGAGGGAAATTGCCCTTCAAATCGGAAGAGCAGCACGCCAATGTATTTATCTCGTATGAGTTCGCTACATACCCATGGTGCGACTGACTGCTTCCTAATATAGATGCGGTGTGTGGGTATATCGGAGGTACGGTCGCCCGATAGTATAGCGAGGGTGCCTGGGTTTTTGCGAATGTATCCATCAAGCGTCAGCCTGATGTATATGCCGTAAGATACCTTCCGGTATTTATCTTCGGAGCATGGACCGGCGTACCCAAGCGGTAGGATCAATGTATCATTAGGCGCCCTATATAATTGGACATCATCGAGACGGAGACCCTTGTTGGTGATGGCAACCTCGCCGCGAAAGACACTACTAGCGCTCTCGCGCTGTAACGGCTGCGTATCTGAGAATTCGCATGGATGAAGGGCGAATATGCCACGATACCGATCGAACAAAGAAGATGAAGCATATCCTGGCCGTGCTGTCCATGCAAATAACGACAAGTCGTGGGTCTGCTTGCAGATCTCCTCTTGAAGTCGAAGAAACGCCTTATCCCCCTCGCCGTACAGTAGGGGCATATTGATGTCAAAAATACCCAAAAGGCAATATGCTATATCCTCTGGTCGCGTAGTCTTTCTTCCGGAAGCCCAGCGCACCCGAGTACCGACTGGGGCAGACCAGATTAAGTAGTTGCGAGTTAAAAACTCAGGCTCGATTCCCGTCACTTCTGATATTGGGTCTAATAACCACGAATCTTTGGTACCGATGAAATCCCAATTCCTGTCGTAGAATTTGACGACACTCGGCGCTAGTAATTCTTGAAGCGTCCAGCCCCTCGTGGTCCACTTGCATTCTCTCAGCACATCTGGGGTGACCCTTTTGTATGGTCCAGGTGAAGTATCCCAAAAGTCGATCGGCTCAAGGGCCATATCGCAAAGCCAGACAAAACACACTGCTGCCTGTTGATACCACCTAAACATGCAATTAATGGCCTCGGACAATTCGGCGCTGCTCGTCTTGTCAATACAACAAGTGTCTACCCAGGCGTACTTGAGCATGTGTTCGTCTTTCGCCAATTGACACGTTTTCACGATCTTAGTGAACCCCCGTAGCTTTTCAACCGACGCGCGTTGCGTGGTATCTGAGAATTGCTGGAAGGACACTTCTTCATCCTCCCACGTGTGTGATAAGACGGCATAGGCGCGCTCCGTAGGGCTCGCAACAAATTCGAGCTCTAGTGTTGTAGTGTTAATCAACCACATTTTTTTTTTCTTTATCTGTTGCTCCGCTTAGCTCTAGGATGGAATGAGTTTATTGAAATATGGCATTGGTTGTTAATATTATATTAATATATATAAATTCGTTCGTAACGGAGGGTGGCTGATACTGTACAAGGTTGTGTCGCGGGATAGCACCTGCGCAGCTGCAATAAACCAGCGTAGGATCATAATGTGGCTTTTCGTCTTCGTTACTAAAGAATAGGTACCTGTTTATCAATACGTGATGAAGTTTGGATAGTCCGAATTTTATGTTCATTGGCCGTGGAATTGGTGTTTATTGAACGGGATTACTTTAAGACATATCTTATGAACTGTCATTCCACTCCCTTCCCGCATTTTTTTTTCTTTCTGTGTATTTAAGATATTTTCTTTCGAGTTTCATCTCGACGAGGGGGGTTGATAGTGAAATTTCTAAGATAATTACCTACCTGGTATCTGGGGGGAAAGATGTTTACCTAGTTTACGGTGGGCCATATGCCCCAAACCGCCAAACCGCCAAAAAGTATATGACATAATCTAAGATTGGATGACATAATCATAAAATAGGTAAATTTTTATTAAACCCCTGTTGAGCTTCCGTTGAGCCCCCGTTTAACCGCCGTTTAAAAAAGAATTTAATTTTTAATTTTTTAATTTTTTTTAATTTTTTTTTATAAAGAACTTACACTTAGGTCCGTTAAAGTATAGTGCTAATAGGTTTTAATTTTCAAGTAAACAGTAATAATATAAGTTAAATATTAAAATAAACGTTAAAATATTTGTTAAAAAAGCTTAAAGTTTTTTCCTTTATATAAATTAAATATAAAACTTAAATTAATAATTAATAAGCTTAAAAATAAATAATTAAATATATAAAAAACGTTTAATAATTATATGAAATGTTTTTTTTTACTTTTTATTATTTGTTGGTAGGTACGTACGTATAATATAAAGCAATAAACAAATAAATCAAATAACAATGGGGTGAGACTGGTGTATTAATGATGTCTAAAGGAGGAAGAATCTATCTGAGGCTAACTCGCAGTGTGATGTCCTTTTATACAGTAATAGTGGGTACACTGTTTCTCCCTTCAGTATCGGCGGCAAGGCACCTTATCCCCGATAAGGTGCCTATGCGCCGATGTCACACAACCACCATTATTATTATTTATAATATTTTTATATAATTTAATTAATTTAATTAAAATCACATAAATATAATAAACTTACACTTAAATCCATTAAAATGTAATAATTAAAGTTTTAATTTTAAGTAAATAATAATAATATAAATTAAATGTTAATATAATATTACAAATATTTATTAAAAAAGCTTAAAGTTTTTCTCTTTATATAAATTAAATATAAAATTTAAATTAATAGTTTAAAAAATATAAATAAATGGTTAAATATATAATAGTTTAAATATATTTATAAGCTTTTTTTATTTTTTTTTAAGGTTATTATGATTTTATTAATTTTAATAATTTTGTTAAAATTATCGAAATTATTAAAATTAATAAAATTATTACCTTTTATTAAATTATTTAAGATTTAATTACTTAATTATACGTTTTAAAAACCTTATTTTTATATAAAATATAGTTTTTATACTATTAATTTATAATATTATTTTTTTTTTAAATTTTTTATCTTTAAAGATTTTTTAATAAGCGTATTTTTTATAATATTCCTTTTTTCTTTTATTATTTTTTAATTAATTTATTAAAATATTAAATTGTATATTTAAATTTATTATAAAAAGTAAAAATTATATTAATTAACGAAAAAGTAAAGAATTTTAAACTTTTTTAATTAAATTAACCGATATTTTATATATATTGTACTTTAATTATATTTATTTTAAAAAACCCTTATATTATTTTTTACTAAATTTTTCCTTTTATAATATTTATATTAAAAAAAGTTATTATTTTAATTATAATATGTAAAAAATAAATTTTTTAATTAAATTAAAATAAAAGTTAAATTCTTTTAAAAATAAGTAATATTAAATAAAAAATAAAATCCTTTATTTAAAAAAGGAGATAATAGATTATTTTAAATAAATTAAAAAAAGTTAAAAAAATATTTTTTATTACTTTTCTTATTTTAAAGAGATTTGTTATAAAGAAGATATTTGTTACGAACTAACAGCACGGAACCATACCTTGTAAGGAAGCGGGGTTCTTGAACGTACGATCCAGCGGCTATACCTCGGGTAACCTGATGGAGGGTAGTGATCTCGCTGATCTGGTTGATCTTGGCAAGATCAACAAGATCACCAAGATCACCAAGATCACGATAACCTCAGAAACGAGGGATAGGGGAGGTCCACGAGTATTTAAAAACCATCATGTATCTAGACACTCATTTACGTTTCCTTAGCTATCAATCTAAGTCTTATATCTAACCCATATAAGGGGAAGGACTCCAAGCTTTCCTGACGAACACTTTCAACGTTTTATTGACACTTGACCCGTATCGCTACTGTTTACCTAAAATCAAGACCCCTGTTACTACACTCTAACGGACCTGAGTGTAGGTTCGTCACAATATTATAAAAGGAAAGGCCTTTATAATCTTTTAATGTAAAAAGGAATTAAATTGTAAAGAAAAAAAAGAAAAAGAGGGTAAAAGTTAAAATGCTTTTAATTAAACTAATTTATCTTTGTTTCTTAATTTTTCCGGGGGTAACTTTAACGGGGTTACTATTTTTTAAAATAGTTTTAACTTAAAGTTAAATCCGTTATTATTTATAAGCGGTTAAGATTTTCTTAATAAAATACCTTTATAAGTTTTTAAATGTTTTTAAAGTACTTAATTAATTCTTATATATTTTCTTTTAATAAATAATTTTTTTATTTAATTAAATATTTAATTTAATTCTTAAATTGTTTAAAGTTTAATATTTTTTCAATTTTATATTTTTAATTAGTTTTAACATTTAAAGTAATTTATATAAATATATTTTTAAATGTTTTTTTTAATAAAGAAATATAAAATATTAAATATAATTTTATTTTCGTCAATAATAATAATTTATAATTAATTTCTAAAATAACTTTTTTAATTTTAAAAGGTTTAAATTTCTTATAATTTAATTTATTATTTAATTTTTTAATTTTAATATTTTATTATAATAAATAAATCTTATTTCCCTTTTTAAAAATTAATCTTTTAATTTTATATTAATTATTATATCTTTTTATTTTTATATAGTAATAATTTATTTCGTTATAATTTTTACTTTAAAAATAAATATTTCTTTTATATTAATTAATTTTATTATAATAAAATTGTAACCGGTATTTACTTTAAATAAAAATATTTTTATATTTTTATTTATAAAATTATTATATATAATTTTTATTTATAATAATAATTTTACTTAATTATCTTATATTTTATTAATATATATATATATAAATATTATTTTAATATTTAATTTAATTACTTTATTTATTTATTTAATTATAAGTAATATATTATAAATAATTTCTATTTTATACTTATTTTTATTATTAAATTAATTTAAAATTTAAATATAAATAATTTATTTTTATTTAAAATAATATGTTTTAATAATTTATATTTATTAATTATATATTTAAAAAAAATATAAATTAAGTTTTTAATTATATTAAACTTTTTATATAATATAAAATATCCATATTTAATTAACTTATTAACTATTATTTATATATTATTATATAATATATTAATTATAAGCTTTTTTAATAATAGTAATTTAATAATGAAATTTTATATAATAATTTTTTAAACTTTGTTCGGAATTTTTGTTAATTGTGTAAATTTATATAACTTATATTTTATTAATAAGTATATATATATAATATAAAGTAATAAATAAGTAAATTAAATAATAATAAAGGTAAAATTAATATATTAATAATGTTTAAAAAGGGAAAAATTTATTTAAAGTTAATTAATAATATAATATTTTTTTATACAGTAATAATAGGTATATTATTCTTTCCTCCAATATTAGCGATAAGGCATTTTATCTTTAATAAAGTGCTTACGCGCCGATGTTACATAATTACTATATTTAATTATTTTTATTTTATTACACGTATTATAATTGTTAATTACCTTTTTAATTATTTTTAATAAGTTAAAAAAGTTATAATTTCTTATGATTTATTATATAATTTAAAAGATTTCTTAATATTTATATAATAAATATTTATAATATTTTTTAACGAATTTATATTATAAAATTTTTAATATATATATATTTTTTTAAATAAGTAATTATGCTATTTTTTATTTTAATTTCCGTAAGCAATTTTTCGTTAAATATAACTGCTTTAATATATATTATTTATATATTATCTTTTTTTATAAAATATAATGCTAATAAAATAAGTGCTTTTTATTTATTTAATATAAGTACTGCCTTTTTTTTATTATATTTTTTATATTAACGCCATTAGGTTTATTAAATGTGTTTACTTATGTATTTACTTTTCTTATAACGTAAATTATTTTAAAATTAAAATTATTAAAGTACTTTATTTATTTTTAAATTTTAAATCTTAATTTTTAAGTAATTATTAACATTTTAAAATTATTATGCTTAAAAAAAACTGTAATTAATTTTTTTATTTTATTAAATTGATATTTCCATTTTTTGAATATTATAATAATAATAAATAATTCTTTATTATAGGTTTAATATCTTATTTAAGCTCTTTTAAAAGTTTTAGATAAATATGTTATTAAATGTTATATTTTATTATCTTTAAGTTATTTTAAAATTGCGCTTATAATTACGTTAAATTTATTAATATGGATTTGTTTTAACTAATTTAACTTAAATAATTTTATTATTAAATTATTAATAATGGTTTTTTATATTTTTTTAAAAGTTTAGTCCGCTTTTAATATTTATTAAAAAGTTCTTTCTTTTTTTTATATAATAATTATAATAAGGTTTATAATTTTATTAAAGTTTTTTATTAATTATTTATTATAATTAATAAAATTATAAAATTATTATATAATAATAATATTATTTAACGTTAATTAATCTCGTACTATTGCAATTTTTAAGTCTTATATTTTAATTTATTTAAAAGTAATAATATATTTTAAATAATTAATCCTTTATATATAAAATTTATTTTTCTTTAAATCTATTAATAAATTAACTTTATTTAAAGTTTTTAATATTTTATTTACGTGTTTTTTATATTAATTAAAGGTTTTAAAAAAGATTAAAATATTATTTAAATAAACGAAAACCGTTTTTCTTAAAAATTTTCGTAATACAATTTCAATTATTCTTTAAAATATTATTAATATATTTATAAGTCCAAATAATATAATCAAATATTTATAATAATTAAAAAAGGTTTATATTATTATTTTTTATTTGTTACCTTTAATTATTTAAATTAAGTAAAATGCTTTTTTAAAGTTTAATATTATAAACTATTTTATA